CTTACAAAATTTAAGTTATGATCCTTAGGATGTACTTCTCAAATATTAGTACATGATAAAACACATTTCAAAGTCTAATTCTAAAACGCTAATCGTAACCGCCAAACACATTGCATATTAGCGGCTATTACTATTAGATAATTAAGATTATGTCCTATGAGAAAGAAAAATGTAGTCAAATGACATTAAAAATGACTTAATGAAGAATCGAAAAAATCATATACATCAAAATGACAAACTATAATTAAAAAAAAAAAGATAATGACGAATGGCCTTTTTACTCTTTGAGAATTCACTATAAGAATCTAAAAATCTTTGTAATTATTTTTTCCTCATTGCTCTATCATCATCTCCAAGATAACCTTGATTAAGAAGCTTTAATCATGTTATCAAATATATGAATCCAACAAAAATATACAAAACAAAAAAAAAACATTATCGAAGTGCATGGTTACGTAGCAACACAAAAAATGCTAAAGATTTCTTCTTCAGTTAATCGTCATAGGCAGCATATTCATATTTATCCTAATTAAACCAAAATCACTATAAGTAGATTAAACTATGAGAAAATCATACCAGGATAATGCTTTTGACTACGATTTTCTCATATATATGGCTATGAGTGCTTCTTCAATTGGCTATTAACAAAACAAATAAAATAGAAACGTTTATTTTATATATTTAAAAACCTATAAACCTATAAACAAAACATTAAGATTTCCATCAAAAAAAAATATTAACATGCAGACATTATTTGAGAACTGAGATGATACTGAGATCGAGAATGCCTCTTTATATAGTGATGGATATGAGATATCGATGTGTACTCAATATATTTTAGATTTGACCAAATCTTCCAATAAATTTTCCCTATTTTCTTGGCAATGAATATATGAGTTATAAGGAACTAATATATCCGAAAATTAAGGATTGAGATTCAATATTTTTTGGTTGATTTGAAAATCTGTTTGAATTATCTTAGAATTCATATAAGGAAGATTCTGTTTTTTACGACGGAAGATACCATTTTGTAGTCTTAAATCTAATTATGTGATTTTTTTTATATCGCATATCAATTTATTGTTTAAATATGTTACTAAAATCGATTTTGTCATAAATAAAAATTATCATTATCCAAACTTTTCAGAAAACGACATAAATTCAGAGAATATTTAATTAGTAATTTTATTTAATATTAGTTTTTTTTCAAAGGTTTATTTTCTTAATTTAAGATGTAAATCTTGACGAAATCTTAAAAATAAAAGATAATTAAATTAAAATAATGATTTGTTATTATTTGAATTTTTGAAATTTAAAAATAAATGATGAGTCGTTATTATTAAATTATATTAAATGGGATTGTTATTTCTGGAAATATCTATTAATATATTATAAATTTTAATTAGTTTACATATATATACAATTTCGTTTTTTCTTCCATTTATACTAATCATAATTAATTAGTATAGTTTAGTTAAAGAAATATTTTAAAATCTAAACTAAATTTTGTTTTATGATTAAATATTATTTGTATCTAAACAAAATACATGTTTGTTAGATTCGTGATTGGCCTCCGATCCTAAATATTAGGTAATCTCTTTAATATTTTTAAATCCGTTTGACCCATTGACCTGAGTATTATAATTCATCATAGCATTTTTTATAAATTGGGCTGATATAAAATGTTTTCAATGATATATCATTTTCGAATAGCATTTTTTATAAATTGGATTGATATAAAATGTTTTCAATGATATATCATTTATGTTTACAATTTCAATAACATTTTTTTATTTTTTATAACATGTTCGAATAATGGATTATTATATAACATTTTGAATAACATTTTCAATTATATTAGTATATTAGTATAGGATTTTTACTTATTGTATTACATTTTCGAATTGATTAGGATATAACATTCTCGAATTATATTAATTATGTATTATATAAACAAAATCTTTTAAGATCTTTAAACCCGTTGACCCGTTGACCCGTTAATATATATTAGTGAAATAGAATAAAATGATTATAATTAGAGATCTCTAATGGCATATATTGTAATTTCTTACAAAATATAAGTTATGACTCTTAGGATGTACTTCCCAAATATTAGTATAGGATGATTACTAGTAAGTATATATCCATTGAAAGAACTTAGACGGCAATGGTTGTGAACATGTTTTTCTTTGTCCACTTCTAATTACAATATCTTAGTTTGATATCAAATCCAATATTTGTTACCTCAAACTCAAATCACACACATGGTTTGTGTTCGTCAATGGTACGCTATAGTAATATATATACATAGTAGAACTTCATGTATAACAAATTAATTACGTTTGTAGTTAACAAATTAATTAGATGCATACATTTATAAAAGGGAAGAGTTACTCTACATTATCTAAGTTTCTTAAGATAATATAATTAAACACTATAGGAAAATTAGAATGGCTGTCAAAAAAAAATTGAATGTTAATGGATAATTAGACATGTAAACCACATTTCCAAACTGTGATTATATTTGCCAATTAACATTTCCTATATCAATATATTGGTAGGTCCATGACCCAGAATCTTAAGTAAGAAATTTGATCGAGAGAGTCGAAGAAATTTACAATGGACCAATTAGCAACACTCACTTAAAAAAACCTAACAGTATCATATGGTGCAAGTCACTGTACAAGCTTCAATCGTTATAAACTTTACTTAGTGGATAAATCTATAAACAACAAAATTCATGTATATACATTCTTAAAAGGAGAGGAGGATACTATTGATAATGCAATCTCAGTTCATCATTTTACTGTGTTCTTATCCGATCTCCACGTCACTTTCTTTTAGCATCTTGTCATATATATATTGAAAGCTTGTATTTCTATCCACCAAGAGTTAGTTAACACATCCTTAAACAATCGAAAATAGCGACAGATTAGTGATATGAAATGTTTGGCTATGATACAATGCTATATCATAATTGTTTTGGACCTTTTGGCTGCGTTTCCTAACGTCTCCATTCAGCAATAAATGCCAATAATTTGAGCTGCAGCTAGATATTAGATAGTGTATACAGTAATACAGATTTAGAAAGTTACTGAATCTACATTGGTTGGAAATTAAATCACGTATAAAAAAAAAACAAGTGACGACCATGAAATTCATAGTTCACGGTTACGTATTGTTATGGTATAGTTTCCTGTATATGACTTTATTGTATATTAATTGAATACATAATTAGCCGGCATTATCAATGAAATTAAGGAGGATAAAAAGAAGAGGACTTGACCAAAAAAAAGAGGAGAACAAAATCAAAATGGATATGAATTGTTATGCATTTCAATTAAAATTACTATACTCAAAGAAAAAAGGTGGCAGACAAAAGAGTGAAACAAAGTTGACAATTAGAAGTTGCAACCGTGAACATGAAACTGATGTCTTGTCATTTATTCCACGCTTTACTGTTTTTTTTTTGGTTACGAGATGTTATAATCTTTAGCTTTTTAGTATTTTGGATCAGTCATTAACAATATACTGTATGTGATGATGTCGTAATTTGTAAATATATATAAAAGGCCGTATCCGACAAAACATAAACAGTTATTTCTACTCTCTAGTCGATTGTTATTTTCTTTCAACTTTTTTTCAAGTATTTTATACAATGATATAACAAGATATACATACAATAAAGGTGTAAAGATAATTCATAAACTTTAATACATTTTTAAGCATTTAGCTGAGATTAAGAATAGACATTTCGATGTTTGAAGCTATAGGCCTATAGCCTCTGGATCTCTTGGGGCAACTGTTAAAGACAGGCTTCATTAATGGGAATGGCCCATTCCCAATGGGCTTTGTAGTAATTAACAGGCTTCATTATTTCCTGTCTTCACTTGAAATTGAAATTTCATTTCTGTTTAATTCTGGTTCATGCTTTTAGTCTTTGTTTACTATACACTGTTATCAAACTAAAATTAATATATGATCATTTAAATTAACGTTTAGCTGAAAGTAAGTATTTTTCAAAATCTAATACTGTAATTTATATATTAAAAACTAATTTGAATATTGATAAAGAAAGAAAAATAACCAATTAAAATACAATGAATTTGTGAACAACAAACAAATCTTTTTTTAGATATAATGAAGCTTACAAATTTATTTCTTTTTCCATATAACTGTCATCAGAAAGGTACACGAATAAATGATTACAATGACGAATGATTTATTCTTTATTTCTTTCTTAACAAGTTAAAAATGATTTATCAATATTATATTTGATAAATCCCAGTTATTTTCGTAATATAAGCCCATTAATAAATAAAACATAGTAGAGCAATAGGTTGACCAAAATAAAATAAAAGGAAACAGTCGTTATTATGTGTCTTACACGAAATCGGATAACACTAATAACGCGATTAAGAAAACATACAAGTAAGTCTTCGCCCGCAATGTTGACTGACCCATTCTTTTCTTGGTTCTTCTTTCCCTTTCTATTTACGTTATTTTCGATTAATTAAATAACATGTGTTCAATAGAAAATATGTAAACTAGAGACTAGAGGCATCTGATTTCTGAATGTTAGATCAGTTATGAGTAAAATGAGTTAACTGGTCTGCTAAATCTTCAAATGTCAATCTCAATTTAGCTTGAGTTCCTACGCTTGAGAGCTTATAAATTAAAATATATGGTTTGTAACTAGTAACCATAAAACCATATAATATACGATCTTGTGCATATACTTGCACCCCACTGCTTCTCTTTTAGAAAATTCTGAGAAAAATATAAAAGGAGTTTTAAAATCTCACTCGCTATACCATATTGATACGCCTCAATATCGGTACGTAAATTCCAATCAGTTTCCTATTCCTATGTAAATCTATACATTATAATAATTAAAAACTATATGTTATACAGTTTTCTTTGAAATACTGCGTAGAACATAAGGCTGCAGCCGACATTATCTCTGTCTATATAAGACTCATACTTTTTCATTTCCAAACATATTTCAAAAATCACACACAAAAAATCCATACCAAAGCAAAAAAAAAGGTTCAAAAAGAGTATTGTATAGCTGGCATGGCAAAGAGCAAAGACGGTTCGCTACTTAACCGGTTGAGACAAGCCGTGAATAAAGTAAGATTCGTGTTAAGTTTCCAGATAAACAGCCTCTGGGGTCTCGTACCGATGCTTGGTTCTTCCTCTTCTTCTTCGTCAATTCGGTTAAGTTTCAACGATAGACCCGGTTTAACGGCGGCTTTTGCAGAGAATGAACCGGAATCAACTGGTTCTTCAAGGGGAGCGTTGTATAGAACCGTGAGTTATGATCAATCTTCAGATGAAGACATAGACAACAAAGCTGAGATGTTCATAGCTAATTTCTACAGACAGCTTAAGATTGAGAGACAAATCTCTCTGGAACTTAAATATTGCCAGGGTAATAATCAGAGTTTCAACTATAGATCGCCTTAATCAATGTTCATATTTTTATTTATTCATTCGTTTATTTGGTTGTTATACTAAGTAACTAAGATCCTATAATTTTCATTGGGTCTTAGCTGATGATGAGAGGCCTGCTATTTTTTTTGTAATGGTAGGCTTATCCATTATCATTAGTGAGTCACATTTGTTCATTTACATTTATAATTAATTAATGTAACCATGAGAGACAAATGTGATGATGTAATGTCATGTTATTGATTCGAGTATTAAAATTTGTATTGCTTGATAATGCATTCAAAGCTTCTGTTTTAGATTAATACTTTTCATTGAACTATTTGGCTAACTACAACTATATATTCTCAAAATCATTTTGATTACTGCTATAAGTTATTAAATTTTAGGAGGGGGTATTGAACTAAAGATTTTAATGGAATCGAATTAAATGGAATTAATGGCATAAACAATAGATTTTGAAGGATCGTAAAAGATTAAAATCTTTCTCTTTAATTCTAACAGTTATATTTTTATAGAATAGAATAGAATTTGTTCCCACTACGTAAGGGAAATCAAAGGAAGAGAAGAAAAGAGTTTAATAATGGCTGTAAGTCTGTGACTGATCACGCTTCTTCCATCCAATTGTTGAATACTCTCTCTCTCTCTCTCTCTTCCACCCTTTGTTTAGCCTCTCACGATCGCTTCACGATCTGCTGCCTCACTGCGTTTCATGACTTACTGCCGCCGGCCGCCGCTGCCGGAGATAGGATTATAATGATGGCGTAAAGGGTTGATGAGAGAGAGAGAGGAGGGATTGAGATCTGTTGGTTTTTGAAATGCTAGCGAAAAATTGATGTCGGAATGTGGTCACACTACTCCGTCTTCTTGCCGTTCTCCTTGTTACCGTCACGGCCGGTCTACAGCCACGGCCAGTAGTATAATGTTAATTATACATTCCTTCAAAATCTCAACTTAAAAGCTGAGAATTTATCCTTCACATTTTACATTAATTTTTCTATTAAATTCCTATCAAATCATTTTTTCATACAAAACTACATAACATTGAATAACAGTAGAATTTAATAGAATTAAGAAATTAAGAAGTTAAATAACACTAGAATTTGAAAGAATTGATAAAATGTCTAATTGAATAACACTAGAATTGAACATTCTATTAAATTCTTCCAAATTCATTCAGTCAATACCCCCCCCTTATATTTGTTTCGTTAGAAAATTTTAGATTTTTTTTTTTTTTTTTTTTTTTTTTTTTTTTTTTAGAAAATTTTAGATTTATTGGACTATAGTCGCTAAAAAAACAAGTGGTCCATCAGGTTTTCCAATTTGACAATTTGGAATTCCGAATGGTGTTTACGTTTCAAACTTTCGTATAATCAGTTTAAGTGTTTTACTATCATCACTTATTAAAACAACATTATTTTCAAGAACGAACCACACTGTCCACTCCGAATTTGGATTTAAATCTAAGTTGTACGAAGGCGTTTTCAAATTTCATTTATTACATAGAGCATCCAATACACAAATCAATATCATGTTTCATGTACCACAATCATTAGGTGCCTAAAGTTTCTTGCGACCATCATATCTTCTTGTTTTAATCTTCCACTGAGTCGTATCGTGGTTGTGGTCCATCGGCATGCATTCTTCTAATGGATATGACCTAATTGGGCTGAGTTTGGATATTGGACTTTTGTGGCCTAATGGCTGTGTTGACCTATCCATTTAGGCCCACACAAAAATCCAGTTGTTCACTATTTTTATCGTTTTGACTTCAAAATGAAGTCAATTTTAAGATATACAGTAAATTCCAAGAACACTTTTACCTTTTTTTATTTATTTCACAAACACTTTTGCATTTAGATCAAATGTTCTTATGAATAATATTTTCTCAAAATCTTAAATCCCATAGACAATAAAATATGAGGTATGAGAAAAAAGGTAAAGCGTGTAGTAAGATCTAAAAGAAGTCAACGACTTAATTAAGTTTAGGGAAGAAGAAGTGGCAAGATGAGATTGTTGCGGATCACGAAATTCGAACCCACCACGTTCTTAGTTTTATTTTACCAAATTTAAATTTGACTCCAATCAACCTACTTTCAATTTTGCAAGCTATATTTAAATACTTTAAAACTTAAATAAACATTTTTATATTAACATTTTTGGCCAGACGTTAGGCTTAGATCCACCACTTTTTTGCTTCAAAGTAAAATATCCCATATAGTACAAGACCTTTTTCAATTTGAACTTATTTGACTTATATTTGTCAATGTATGGGGTTTGAAAGAAAAAAAAAGAAAAAGAAAAGATTGTAGGTAATAAATAAGACGATCCAATAGAATTTAAAAAATTTCATTAGTTTATATATACGAACGGATTTAATGATTCACAAATTAGGCGTAACTATATAGTGAATTATTAAACTCATTTTCTGGTTATTATTCCAACAATAAGATGTAGAAATCTTTTAATCTATTGACCAAGAATTACGAGAAGAAAAAAACTTTTACGCATATATTAATTTTTTTTAAAAATGTTTGTAGTAGTCAAATATATTTTATACAAAAATAAAAATAAAAACCGGTATTTCTCAAACGATCTTTCTAAAAAAATCTTCGAAAGAAGTTAGTGCAATACTACTGTTAAATTTGACAAGTCTCACATAAATAAATAGAGACACTAGCATGATAAATGGCGTGAAATACTGAAGCAACACACTTGCTTCGTTTACAAACTCTACTTTGAACCTCACGTTCCTTAAGCTTCTCTAAAGCTCTTTTTTGATTCCCCATAACAACAACAACAAAAATATCACCAAAAAAAAGAATCCAAATGCGTTTCTTCTAAGGTAAAAACTTTCGTTTTATTTAATTTCTTACTTCTTCTTCCTCTGTTTCTCAACATCTCTAAGCTTCGTCGAAGAAAGAAGATGAAAAATTCTCCAAGATCAGAAGGAAGAAAGTTCATAATCCCTTCTTTCTTCTTCATCATAGCTCTCTGTGTATTAGCTTTCATCAACGAGATTAGATTCGATAGCTTATTGAGTTTTGGAAGATGTGCTTTGTCAAATGTTCCGATGAATAACGGTTCATCGGAGACTCCATTGTTGTCTTCTTCTTCTGTTGATGATGAGATTAGGATTCTTATTGGCATTCTTACACTTCCTGATCAGTACCCACGTCGGCATTTTCTCCGGATGATCTACGGGACACAGAATGTTCCGGATGGTGTTAAGGTTGATGTGAAGTTTGTGTTCTGTAATTTGACTAAAGAAGACCAAAAAGTGCTTGTTGCTTTGGAGATTATGCGTTATGATGACATCATTATACTCAATTGCAATGAGAATATGAACAAAGGTAATTGGTTCTTCTTTTGCTTTGGTATATACAGGCTTGGTTATTATTTGGCATAATCATAAAGAAACTTGGTTTTTGCTAGGTTTACATTTTTTTTTGTGGGTTCAATATCTACCAAGGTTGTGTTCTATATGAAACGAAAAGGAATAATTGTAACATTTTAAACTAATTTTTCGATTTTTCCAAATATCTACAGGCAAGACTTACACATACTTCTCAAGCTTACCAGACCTATTCAATGAGACGGATGCACCGAACCCACCGTACCATTACGTAATGAAAGCCGACGACGACACATACATAAGACTAGAAAGTCTCGTTGCATCTTTAAGACCACTCCCTCGAGAAGATCTTTACTACGGCTATGTAATTCCATGTCCAAGCATGGATCCATTTGTTCATTACATGTCAGGAATGGGTTACTTAGTGTCATGGGATATCGCGGTTTGGCTCAAAGACTCGGAAATTCCCAAGAAACATCTAGAAGGTCCTGAAGACAAAGTGTTTGGCGATTGGATTCGAGAAGGAAGACGAGGAAAAAACCGATTTAATGCTAAGTGGTCAATGTATAATTTCCCCGAGCCACCAACTCGATGCACACATGAGCTTTGGCCAGACACTATCGCGGTTCATTTGTTGAAGAACCAAGAGAAGTGGATACGAACATTGAACTATTTCAATGTTACTAGCAATCTCAAGCCTTCAAAATTATACCACATACCGTAGATAGTCTTTTCGTTTGTTTTCATCGGATTCTTTCTTATATATTTCATACTTAATTTGTTATAGTGCTCGTTAAGTATGGCTCTCTAATAATCGATATTTTTTTTGGTGGGATGTGTAGTAAACTAATTAAAGATTGTTCAAAAGTCAATCTTGTGGGCTTCTTTTTATAGTTGCCCACAAAGCAACGTTCAACGTCTACAATTTTTGGTCTCTTTTCTTTGTGTGTCCATCTTCTATAGTACAGATTATTACATTTAACTCATGAAGTAACCAAATTAAAGGAAAAATCAAAAAATTTGTCATATCTCATATGCACCAACATCAGGGGTATAATCGTCATTCTACAGGTGAAGCGAAGGCGGCTTGGGGAGTGAATGGGCCTCACGAATAAGATACAGTTTTGCCTGTGACATAAGTTAAATGACAGACGAATAACCAAAAAAGCCCTTTACTCAGAAAAAAAGCAAAAGCGTGACCTAACGAACCTCAACGACAAGTGACATTATCATTACTCTTCTCTTCTTCACCTTTGAGTTTCTCGAGGCTCCTTTTTTTTTTCAATTTGACTGCTTAATAGTGGTTACTGTCTTCAGCCGCCGTCGCCGGATTTCATCATCGAAGGCGACGGAAGCAGTTTTCTAGGGTTTATCTGACGAAGCTCCTTTTGATTGTCATCGGTTCCGGTTTTATTCGTCGATCTTCCATTTTCGTAAGGAATCTTCCTCCTCTCTTCTTGTCGTTAGTTTTGATTCTTCTTCTTCTCGGAGCTGAGATGATATTTTTGTTTTTGATTGCGTTACGGGAATGTTAGCTTCTGGAGATTGGCTTTTTTGATCGATTCGATTCATTGGATTTGTGTTTGCTTCGATTCTATAGATAAATTGAAATAGTTTCTGCTTTACTTTTGTAGGCATTGTTGTTTTCTACATCCGAAGATGGGAAGCAGTCCAGCTCCATTTGCCGAGATTGGCAAGAAAGCCAAAGGTAACTTGTGGACATTGGCACATTACTACTTTGGTGTTTGCGGTTCCCATTTATTGACGATTTGTGATTTGAAAACCTGCAGATCTCCTGAATAAGGATTACATTTTTGACCACAAGTTTACTCTCACAATGCTGAGTGCTACAGGAACGGTAAGTAGGATATCACTTGGATCCTTTTACTTCAATAGACTGACTATGCTCAACATACCAGGGAAGTGCTTATTAATAGTGGTATTACATGCTTTTTGAACCAAAATTGTTGCAGTAAGCATGCTCTTTGATATCTATATATCCCAGTTAATGTACATTACTTTGGTTTCCAATTTCCAAACGTGGCTTTTGATGTATCGTAAGCTGGTGTTGTGATTTTAGTGTCATCTAAATAGGGTTGTTTGGCTCACTTCCCCCTCAAACTAATGTTCTTTAATTGCTTTGAAACCTATGTAAATTGTATTACTGCATAATGAAATTTTCTTTCCTACAGGAATTTGTGGCTACTGGTTTGAAGAAGGATGATTTCTTTTTTGGCGATATAAGCACACTATATAAAGGTCAAAACACCATTGTTGATCTGAAAATCGACAGCCACTCTAGTGTAAGCACAATTCTTTAGTAATACATGTTTTTGCACCTTAACTGTCCTAAACCATATTACTGAACATATATTTCTTATGCAGGTGTCCACAAAAGTAACTGTCAAAAATCTCATGCCATCTGCTAAAGCTGTTATTAGTTTCAAAATACCTGATCACAAGTCTGGCAAGGTCAGTGCGTAGCCCATATGAGAAATGAGTATTATACTCTCGGTCTTATGGAAATGTTTGTCAATTTCTGTACTCAGTAATTTGTTTCTTTACTGTGTTTTCAGCTGGATGTGCAATATGTTCATCCTCATGCTACGCTCAATTCCAGCATTGGCCTCAACCCAACTCCTCTGTTAGATCTATCAGCAACTATCGGAAGCCAGAATGTTTGCCTTGGTGGTGAAGTCAGTTTCGACACAGCTTCATCATCACTAACCAAGTACAATGCAGGGATCGGTTTCAACAACCAAGGCGTCTCTGCTGCACTCATACTGTAAGAAACAACACAATGCTCCATTTTTCAATCTGCTTTTGGTTATGGCTTAATGGGACGGTTACTATTTGTAGGGAGGATAAAGGGGAGAGTCTGAGAGCTACTTACGTCCACACAGTGAACCCAACCACATCCTTCGGTGCAGAACTGATCCGTCGCTTCTCCAATTATAACAACAGCTTCACCGTTGGAAGCTCTCACTCTTTGGATCAATTCACAGTGGTTAAGACCAGATTTTCTAACAATGGGAAAGCAGGGATGGTGGTCCAGAGAGAATGGAGACCGAAGTCTCTCATCACTTTGTCAGCTGAGTATGACTCAAAGGCTGTGACCTCTTCACCGAGGCTTGGTCTCGCCCTCGCCCTCAAACCATAAAACAAGAAAAGAGCTTTTATCAGTTTGGAACACAAATTAAACAATTCAATTTTTCACCAAGTTGCTAAAAAAATCACCCCCAAACGAAAGGTTTGTAGGGTTATTAAATTTAACTTTTGCATTAATATTTGTTTTTTCACTGTGATGTGAGAGAAAAGGGAGTGAGCAAAACCCAATTTTTTTGAGATGGAACTTAGTTTTTGTTTCTTTAGACTTGGTTTCATTTGATTTACTCGATCTGTATAGAAGTACGACACCATCTTCGTCTCGTGATTGATGTGGGGGCCTTACGCTAGCAAGAATCAATCCATCCTTATATACTACTCCTTGCCCTTTGTAAAATATTATTTACGAATAAATAGAATGTAAGGTATTCTTACAAACCTTATCTGGAGACAACCATTTTTATAGAAAATGAATTAGTTCGCTTATAGTATATTATTTTCTAACATCCATATTTTCATCTACAATGTAAGATATTCTTACAAACTATTTCAAATACGAGTTTTGCTCCGTTTACTGTTACATTCGAGAGTTTATCAGTTTTTCTATAATTAGAATATAATTGAACCCATAACTGAAAAGCCCCTTAAGGTATTAAACCCATTAAGATAAGAAAAGCCCATTCGGAGTAGTATAGCCCATTGAAGAAGTATATGAAACGTGGTTTCCTCCTGTCGTTCATTGCGAGAGATCCAATATAGTTTTTTTTTTTTTTTTTTGAGATCCATATATAGTTGCATAAGCTTGCTTGCCAAAGTCGGATTCTGATGTCTAAACGCCAAGATCCTGTTTTTGATAGTTGTATGATACGAACTATGAGTTTTGTGATGAAGGCGAGAGTTCCTTTTCAAAAGGTCAGAAATCTTGACCAATATCTGCAACCATATATTTAAGGTCAGAAATCTTGACCAATATTTAATGTTCTCAAGTTTTCAACACCTTTGACATTTCTGTATTCTTTCTAATTTCCGTTTAATCTTCATAACTTGCCAAATTCAAATACCAATATTTTGTTGACCAAAAAGTAATAAGCTTGCTCATTACATTTGCCCATTAATTAAGAATAATAGTATAAAACAAAAAAGAAATAACTTGTTTCTGTGAAGAGATAATATTATCTTTATAGTATGTTTTTCATTTGTGTAAGAAATGACAAACAAACATTTATTGTATAGTATATTAAGAATAATAGCAATCAAATAGTTTAGGTGATTCTTGGTGCTATGCATATGAAGTTTTTGTCTTGTAATCTACTCTCTAGTCATGTTTCCCTTAATGTCATAATTAAATTCGATTTTTAGGGTCCCAAATATTAAAATTGGAAATGACAAATGTTATATAATTAGTCCAACCCATACAATGTTCTTAATGTATCCGTCTAACTGTCATGTCTTTAAAATTTTCTATTCCAAATTATTTGCATTGTTTTGTTTTGAACTGCCGCACATGAAATGTTTGCCTCTATTGATTCAAAACTTGTTTTATTCTGTGTTAAAACTACCTTCTTCTTCTTTTTTTTTTGTTAAAACTACTTTGCTTGTTAATGTAGTTTTTTATTTCACAAAAAGCATATACAATACAATAGTTCGAATTAATAAAATAAAATATCAGTAGATTACTAGACAATTTTCCTTGGATTGGAGGAAACTCTTTTTTTTTTTTTCGTCTGAATATTTCCATTAGATTAACCATAAGAGAAATACAAGGTGGAATACTAAGCCGGCGGAAAACATAAATATCCCCGGAAAACTAAGCCGGCGGATGACAAAGATATCCCCGGAAAACTAAGCCCAAACAAGGGAAGCCAACTAGAGAAAATGAACAAAAGCAAGAACCACAAGGAACCAAAGATCTAAAACTGAAACTCAATACATCATATCCTGCACCAGTCCCATAGAAACAGTTTGGCATCGAAGCTGCGCCAAGAAACATGAGCCTCGATAAGAAAAATCAAGAGCACAACAAGCAACAACCCGACAGAACATAGAGCGAGACCAATCCGCAACAGAGCACAGCCACAAACACCAACACGTCAACTCCAGAAAGATAAAGAGCTTGGGCGAAACTAAGCTCAAAGAAAACCTTGAAAACGACTGAGGAAAAGTCAAATAGGAAACTCAACGTGAACATTTTTTTTTCGTCGCTCAACGTGAATATAATTTCGTGAACATATCTCCAAAAAATTGTAAAGTTTTTCCATATTTAAAAATCACAAACAAATACCAAAATATATTTTTCTTCTCCATGTTAGATTTTTCAGAGGGCATTTTACATAGCTGTACTTGTCTATAACTTTTACTCTGCAACAACCCCAAAATCTTTTTAAGCTTATTCACTTTCGTGAACTATCACATCATCACATCAACTCTTTACCTTTTTATATTCATACCTCCTGGAAATATATTTCTTTTTGGTTAAATGGAAATCAAATTTTGGTTATTTTATTCAATTTACATTGTAATTACTAGACCTAAAACAAAAAGGTTGCGTACCTAATAATCACGTGAATTACTTTCATTTCTCGTAAAAATGTCAAAAAAAAAGAAAGAAAACACATATTTAATTATTAATCAATATTGAAAAGATGACAATTTTGACACACACTAGAAATCCGTTACAAATTTTGTAATTTATCTAAAAAAAGTCTAAAGACGTTACTTGAAAAAAGCAAAGGAAAAGTCTAGACATTAATAAATCCAATAATTTACGAAAAGAAAGAAAACAAAAGGGAAAGTCCCAAACAAATCACTCAAATCCAGCAACTCCATTACTAATTAGCCTTGAATTCAACATTTCATATTCAAAGAAAAACTCCAAAACCCAATTTTGTATATACTCTTTTCTTATTTCTACACTTGTTCTCTTTTAATGTCCCCACCTATATCCCCCTCTTGCCTCTTTCACCATCACCAGGCTTAATATTATAGCTTTCACATTTTTTATTTTCTCTATTATAAAGTTTATAAATTGAGACAAACCCTTCTCTTCTTCTCTCTTCTTGATCTCTCAAAGCTTTCACCTTTTTCCTTCTTCTCCCTCAAGTTTCCATTGGAAATCATCTCTAACCGATAAACCAAACGAAACCCATCTTTTATCTCTCCTAATCTCTCAAACCCCACAATTCTCTCTGACCTTTCACAAAAAATCCTCTGTTTTCTTCACTCTGTTTTGACAAAAATCCTCTGTTTTCTTCACTCTGTTTTGATCTCAAAGCAAAAAAAACATGAAAGAGTATTGGACATCATTAGCTTCACTACTCGGAGTTTTAGCTTTCTGTCAAAGCTTAATGCAATCAATATTCCCACCGGAGCTCCGTTTCGCTTTCCTCAAATTCTTCAACAGAATCTTCCACCTCTTCTCTATTTACTGCTACTTCGACATAACAGAGATCGACGGCGTCAACACCAACGAGCTCTACAACGCCGTTCAGCTTTACTTAAGCTCCTCCGTTTCAATCGCCGGAAACCGTTTAAGCCTCACCCGCGCCGTTAACTCTTCCTCCATCACTTTCGGTCTCTCCAACAACGACTCCATCGTCGACACCTTTAACGGCGTTACAGTCCTATGGGAACACGTCGTTACACAACGTCAAACTCAGACTTTTGCTTGGAGACCGTTACCTGAAGAGAAACGTGGATTCACTCTACGAATCAAGAAAAAGGACAAGACTTTGATACTCAATTCTTATCTTGATTACATCATGGAGAGAGCTAATGAGATTCGTCGGAAAAATCAAGATCGGTTGCTTTATACTAACTCAAGAGGTGGGTCTCTTGATTCAAGAGGACATCCATGGGAATCTGTTCCTTTTAAGCATCCAAGTACTTTCGAAACTTTAGCTATGGATCCGATAAAGAAGCAACAGATTATGGATGATCTTAAAGATTTTGCTCAAGGACAGTTGTTTTATCAGAAGACTGGTCGGGCTTGGAAGAGAGGTTATTTGTTGTACGGACCACCAGGTACTGGTAAGTCGAGTATGATCGCAGCGATGGCGAATTATCTCGGTTACGATATTTATGATCTTGAGCTCACTGAGGTTCATAGTAACTCGGAGTTGAGGAAGTTGTTGATGAAAACGAGTTCTAAGTCGATCATTGTGATTGAAGATATTGATTGTTCGATCAATTTGACTAATAGGAAGAAGAATAGTAGTAATGCCGCGTCGCAACGGAGTTTTTACGACGCGGAAACAAAAGCCGGGTCGGGTTCGGGTGGTTCGGGAGAAGAAGGTGGTAATGGGAATACTATAACTTTGTCGGGTTTGTTGAATTTTACAGATGGGCTTTGGTCTTGTTGTGGAAGTGAGAGGATCTTTGTGTTTACGACGAATCATATAGAGAAGCTTGATCCTGCATTGCTTAGAAGTGGGAGAATGGATATGCATATTTACATGAGTTTTTGTAATTTCTCATCGTTGAAGATTTTGTTGAAGAATTATTTGGGGTATGAGGAGAAAGATATAAACGACGACGTTTTGAAGGAGATGGAGAGAGTGGTGGAGAAGGCTGAGATGACGCCTGCTGATGTAAGTGAGGCTTTGATTAAGAATAGGAGGGATAAAGAGAAGGCGATTAGGGAGTTGTTGGAGGATTTGAAAAGTAGAGGGGAGAGAAATGTGAAAGATGGGAAATTGAGGGGTGGAATTGGGAATTTGACTGAATTAGAAGTTGTTGAAGAACAAGAGAAGAGGGCTATAGATAGTCAAAATGAAGATGAGGATCATGATGAAGAAGAAATTGAGCTTGAGGATAACATATGTAAGACAAGAGAAGATTGAAATGTGTTTTTGTTGTTGTAGTTTCTTTCAAGTTTTATAATGTAGAACATAATGGTCAAAAGTGGTGATCTTTCTTCTTCTTTTGGTTGTTACACAAGTAGATGAAACATGAAAATATGAAACTATGGAAGTCAGAAAGTGAAAGAACAAAAATTTGTTAGAATGAGAAAAGTTAAGTATAAAGAATAGATAGAGAAAAAAAAATTAAAAAGGAGTTTCAAAAGGCAAATGGTTGATGAAGATTTTGTATGTGGGGAATGGGAAATGCAAAAAGTGGATCTCATTGGGTACCATTGAGCACTATGTATAAAATAAAATTGGACCAAATATTTGTCAAACTATAACAATGCGTTAGTCAATAGCATTTTAACATTTCAATAATAGTATTTTTTTTTCCCGTTTGGAACTTTGGATATTAGCCTTTAAAGTATCAATTGATCGTGTTTTGTACCCGTTATTTTACTACGTACAATCGAGCACGGTTCGGTATATTTTTTTTACTCAACTTCAACTTTTCTTTATCCAAAAAAGAAAAGCGATTATAGTTTATCTACTTCAACATAAATTTTAATCCAATTTGGCATTATAGAATACAACTTAAGATCATAATTCTATTAAAATTTTCCTTTAATTCTATGGGCCATTCTATTCTCTTCTTAGTTCGGTATTGAGGTTTGGGTTGGATAATGATATGTTTATTACAAGGTTTGGAAGCAGTGAAAACTTTTAATAATTTTAATACAAAAGTTATCCAGTTTTAAGAGTTTAATAACCCAAACACCTAATCTCAATTACTAAAATACAAAAAAATACAGTGGCTATTATTGTTTTTTCATATACAACAAAACGGATAAAAGTATGAATTGTTATTGAAGACACATGATTCTCGAATCAAGACTACATTGAATACTTAATTGTTTTCATACATCTTGCTCCTACTAACCTTCGTGTATAGCATGTACTCGCCATTTATTTAATATAGTGATTGTTATAATAGGTGTAAAACCAAACAAAATAATTGGTCCTTTTTGTGTAGTGATTAATAGAGCTGTCATATATTAGGTATGTGGTTTAGAATCATCCCTTGCATTATAATATTGTTATGAATACGTTCTTATATGTCAATGAACACTCAAATTATATGTTTTATTAATCAAATGTGAAGTGTTAAAGACTTAAAGTTGACGATCTGGTAGGCCAAGTTGATCAAAATCTCTTTTTTTTCATCATCTCTTTAGAGGTTTGTGTTTAGGATCCCACAGCTTCTGCTTACTTTTTGAGTTCTTTGAAAAGAAATTATGTTATTAATCAACTACTTTATTATAAAAAACCTGGCCACTAGACTTGTCACTCTACCAAAAAGAGACAAATAGTAAATTATTATTGATGATAATTTAATTTTGTAAACCGTAGTTAGGAACGGATTTGTACTTGGTGCTTAATACCCACACACATGACATTATCATTTTAAATAAAGAAATGTCATAGTGGATAATTGACCAAAGAATGACATGTTCTATGGATTTAATTCGGTTGGTATGGTGTGAGAATATACTCGGCTGAAATTTTATAATTGACAGGAGAAAGATCTATATGACTATATGTTGAGAATTATGTGGAATCATTCTCACTTTTTAAACTATACATGATGTATAGTAAAGCTACACAAAATGTGCTGTACATTATTTATTTAAAGAGAAAAGATATGTAAATCTTTAATGAGGTTTTGCCTTATTCAAGGGAGATCATACTAAAACCATAGTGGTTATTGTTAATGTCACTCAACAAAATCGGCCATCGCATGCACTATTTTGCATCAACATTTTTTGCAACAACTTGCAAGCGGACACTAGTTTATCTATAGCAGCCTTGGTTAGTACACAAGACTATATTACATGTTCTGATCAATCAAAACATCTCTACTTTTTAGCATCTAGTTTATATCTTAAGTTTGTTATGTTATAATGTAATATGATATTTAGAGATCAACAATTTCAAATTGTTTGTGATTATCTTTACATAATATCTTAGTCTTCGTACTTCAACAACAACAACAATTATTTTGATACTTTTATCACAACAATTAGGAGAATCTTCCACTTTACCATTTGCAAAGTATATTTGATAAACTTAAAATTGTATTCCTTATTTCAATAATAAAAAAATGTGAAAGCAAATCGAGTAAAACAGATAACATAACAATGAAGAGATGTCAAGATACACAAGGACACAAAACCTTACATGACACAAAACAAAAATAGAATAACTCTCAACAAAGGCCAAACTCGAAAACATTAGAGAAATTTATAAACAATGTAAATCTTTTAAAGAGAAACTTAATCAATTGCACATATAGACTCCGGTTTCGTACCTGTGATCTACCTCATAGAAATCTGTATTTCCCTCCGCAGCTGCACGTAGACTGATACCAGACAAAGAAGTATTTCCCTGAACCGAGAATTTCACATAGCAAATGATTTCTGGTTCTTCCTCACTGTTATCTGAATCGATAGGCATACGTGCTCTTAGTCTCCCGGGACTTCCTTTCAGAGGAATCTCCGGAATTTGCCATTTCAGTTCTCGATCGGTTCTGTTTAGTATTGCTTTAGGCGAAACCTTGAGCAATGTGGGATCAACCGGGAGTTTCAGGATAAAGTCGACGTTTTTCAGAGGCTGAGGTAGATCCGGATTTGAGACGTATTGTATCATAAGTGAGAGTAAAGTCCCGCTAATTCGTTTCACCATTCGGACTCTAAGAGGCAATGGGGTTAGTTTAGGTTGCAAGCTATATTTAAGGATAGGGATTGGTTCTTCTGATGGAGCAGTTCTCACGTGAAACAAACCGTTACCTAAGCTACTGATCCGAGAACTCTGCATAGCAAATCTCTTACAAGCAGTAGTACCCTCAACACGGAATGAGAACTCGGTTTCTTTCTCTTCACCAGAGCCTTTGGGTGGCATCGTTTTCAGATAGATCACACCCATTACTCCTACTCTAGCAAGCAAGGATTCTCTAAACTCGGTTCTAATTTCCTCAGAGATATACATTTCAGGACCTTTCATCTCAGGCTTTTTAACTAAGTTATCGAGATTACCTCCATCTTTGCCTTCCACTGCCTTAGGATCACTGGTGTGCAACAGCTCAAGCCCACCGAGTCCCTCCTTCTTTTGAATCTTCTTTGGTCCCATAAACTCTGAAGGATCCAACCCACCTCCCCAAGCATCACTAAACGATTCAAAAGTTTCTCCAATCGTAGCCTGTTCATTGCTGAACTCAATCCCACCATATTGCCCTTCGAATCCTTCCACATTGATGTGCGTAGACTGTGTTGCTTCAGCTGGAGGCAATGTCGTCACTTCGAGTCCAGCCAATGCCAAAGTCAAGTCCGTTGAGGACGGATCCTTAGTCTTCTTGAATCCACCCACAAGTTCTTTCTCCTTGTTAATCGTTTCACTAGCTGCAAAAGGATCCTGATTCTCCGGCTCTGGTTCTTCCTTCAATTGCTCTGATTCAGGCACCACTGGAGCCAAGCTCGCCGCAAATTCGTCTCCAGCGGAGATAGTCTCTGAAGGCAATTCAAATCTTGCGTTGGAAAATGCGTACACAGAAGCTTGATGCTCTGCGGCGTGCGATTCCACAGCCATCCAACTATCTGCTCCTCGGATCTTATTCTCAGTATCAAGAGCCGAATGAACCATCTTCGCAATCCCATCTCCGTGCATAGCACCAAGCATCGCGGCAAGACGGATATTACTAACACCACGCAAAACAATATCAAGCGCCATATAAACCTCGGCATACTTCCGTCCAAGCTTCTCCGGAGTCACTTCAACTCCACGACAAGCAGTAACAATAACACTAACAGCTTGATTCACAATATGAATACACTCAAACACATTAATCGAATTATCATGATCCGCGACAGTAACACCAAGGATATAGATAGAGTTCACTAATCTATAAACCACACGATACTTGCTCTCAACACCAACAATAACCTGTCCATTAGAAGCAGCAAGTGGATCATCACCTACGAATTCCGCCGCCGTGGCATCGTCGGGATCTGCAACGGAGGAAGAAGAAGAAGAAGCTTGATTCTGTTTCTGATTGGTTTGTTGCTGATGCTGCTGCTTCGAGGAAGCTAATGCTTGACGCATTTGACGAAAATACGAGAGAGCGATTAGGGCTCTTGCTGGTGGAAACCATTCTCTAGTTTGGAGCAAAATGTCGGATCCATTTGCTGGTTGCAGAGCTAGGGCTAAGCACGACATGATCGCGATTCGAAATTCTATCCGGGAGCTTTTACTGATCGAGACTCTTCGATCTCAGTGTTCAGATTGAATCATCAGAGAAGCATCGTCTGATGAAGAAATCGATCAGATCTGAGAAGAATCGTCGGAGAAGAAAAGGAGAAAGAGAAATGAGATCTTCGTTGTTGTGATTTGTGAAGTAGTTCACAAACGACGTCGTTTGTGAAACTACTTCACAAATTACCTTAATGGGCCTAATGTCATGGTTTGAAAATAAGCCCAATTGTAGGTTAAACGGTGTCGTTTCATGCGATTAGGTCTTTTTGAATTTTGTAGCGCCTATAATTTTTCGAGAAATTTAATTGATAGCTTTTGGCGGTGAAATGCAAAATGGGAAAATGAAGCCGGAGAATCTCCTCCGACGATCGACGGCGAATCGTAAACTAACCACCGGCTGTGAAATCCTCGACGAATGTCTTCGTGGCGGAATTTCCTGCGATTCTGTGACGGAAATCGTGGCGGAGAGTGGCTGCGGGAAGACACAACTCTGTCTTCAGCTATCGCTCTGTGCCCAACTTCCGATTTCACACGGCGGACTCAACGGTTCTTCTCTTTATCTCCACTCCGAGTTTCCATTTCCGTTTCGCCGTCTTCATCAGCTCTCGCATTCGTTTCATCAATCAAACCCTAGTATTTACGCGAATCACAATGATAATCCTTGTGACCATGTGTTTGTACAAAATGTTCATTCTGTAGACCACCTGTTCGACATAATGCCTAGGATTGATGGGTTTGTTGGGAATTCGAAAAATCGGCTTCCTTTGAAGTTGATTGTGCTTGATTCTGTAGCGGCATTGTTTAGATCGGAATTTGATAATACTCCGTCTGATCTTAAGAAGAGATCTTCTTTGTTTTTCAAGATATCTGAGAAATTGAAGCAGTTGGCAAATAAGTTTGATTTGGCTGTTGTGATTACGAATCAAGTTACGGATTTCGTTGAATCTTCTGATGGGTTAAGTGGGTTGAGGATTGGGAATTTGAGGTATTTGTATTCGTCTGGGAGACGAATTGCTCCTGCTTTAGGCTTGGCTTGGGCCAATTGTGTGAATTCTAGATTTTTTATTTCACGAAGTGATGATAGTATTGGTAAAGATAGAAGCGAAAAGGACGAGAGCAGTTCAAGTTCTGTGTCCAGAAGAGCTCAGAGACGGCTTGACATTGTTTTTTCACCTTATTTGCCTGGGAATTCTTGCGAGTTCATGATCACACGAGAGGGGATTTGTGCGGTTCAAGCGTAGGTGATCTCTGGTGCTATGTAAGATCATTTTTGTTCGAAGTATCACGAGCTTTTTTTGGAGTTTTTGTGCATTATATATGTAGATTGCAGAGGGATCCGGGAGATGGATTGCAGCAAAGCCAGGTTCTTTCACATTCCTCCTCTTATTTGGATGTGATATAGAAAACCGCTTTCGTGCTTGTCTTTAGTTTAAAAGCATTCTGTAAACGATTCCTCATTCTTATAATGCTTTTTGTATAATTCCAGTTTGCTCCCAAGTCTACTGCAAGCTTCTCACTTTGTTCTCTGATTCTCTTTTCCTTTTCATCATTGAACTTTCACATAGACTAAAACTACTAGATTTCCCACTTAGTTGCTATCTTCATCCTTTATTGATTAAATGACTGAAATGGTTTAAGGAATCAATAGGGTTGATCGTTCTGGTGGATATAGTTTTTGTATATATACTGGTACTTGATTCATATGAACTCAGCAATTCTGTAGCTATTTTCTTGATTCTAACCAGAAAATGACTGAAATCACAAAATATGGTGATGCATACCTTAAGAAATGCCAAGAGTAATTCATCTAAATAACATACCTCATTGTATTCTTTGACCTATTGGTATATCTCAAATGGAGTTAAAACAGATTACTTGAAACAAAGTTCTATTCCTGTCTTTAACCCTTTGATATTCTTCTGTTTTTTTTTTTGGTAGTCATTCAATGGCATTGGAATCAATTGCTGCAGTTCAAGAGGATCAAATCAGTTATCTGATCTAGACAAGTATGAGAGAGTCAAACTACGGCTGAAGTTAGAATAACCGTTGAATCATCCCAAGGACACGACAAAGCTCTATTAGGAGAAGGGTTTGGCTGTTGGCCTTTGGATTAACAAAAACTCTGTAGTCTGTATACACAAACCTTCATTTTTATCTGTATAGTTTTTCAATGTCTTTATATGTTAAAACATATCTTGACATTCATTAATCATTATGAGCAACAATTTTCTCTCTCTATGTGATCCGGCCCATTTACATGATATGGCCCATGTTCATAGACCTTTGTTATATACGTCATAGTTTACGTCACTCTACAGCGTAAAACTAACTCCGACTGGTACTCGATTCCGATTCGGATTCGAATCAACAATGTCGAATCCTGCAGCCGTCACCACCGCCGTCACCGGCAGAGGATCAATCACTCACGTCATATTCGATATGGACGGTCTTCTTCTCGGTAATCTCGTTGCATCTGATCTTCAATCTCAAGCTTTATTTGATCCTACTACTGTCACTGACACTGTCGTTGTTTAGATTTGCTGGTTTTTTAGTAGTGAGTGTTTAGTTTCCAGGATCGATTTCATATCATTGAGGTTAAGATGCTAAAGCAATTAGCTTGAATCTGATCGAAAATCGGACAATTGAGTTTTTTCTTCTGTGTATTCAAAATCTCCCACTTCATTGTCAATTTTTACACCTAATGAAAGCAACTCATGCTGATTTGGTTTCTGTTGCAGACACAGAGAAGTTTTACACTGAGGTCCAAGAGATTATACTTGGTAGATTCAATAAAAAATTTGATTGGTCTCTTAAGGCTAAAATGATGGGTAGAAAAGCAATAGAAGCTGCCAGGATCTTTGTTGAAGAAAGCGGGATTAGCGACTCTCTTTCTGCTGAGGACTTCCTTGTCGAGAGAGAGTCAATGTTGCAAGACCTTTTCCCTACTAGTGAGCTCATGCCAGGTACATTCTGCTTTCTGTAGCACATTTTGTTTGCACACATGACATATGGTTCTTAGGAAGATTACATGTATGGATATTTATGTTTTGATGTGGGTAGACGCAAGAAGGCACTGCCTTTGCGCTGAATCGTAATCATTCATTTAGAAGAAAAATGACTCGGTCTCTGCTTTTATTTTCATTTTGTATTTGTTCATCTCGGTGGATCTTATTTGCGTAAATCTGACCATTTATGCTACAAGAAAATAACCACTGAAACAAGCCTTTATACTTTTCTGGTCATGAACCAATTCTCTTTCACATTTTCAGGGGCTAGCCGACTCATCAAGCATCTCCATTCAAAGAATATTCCAATATGTATCGCTACCGGGTATCTCTTCACCTCATCAACACATCCGTTACATTGTTTCCATTCTCATTTTCAGCTTCTTTACTTTACAATCCAGAAATTGACTTGTTATGTTTGAATGTACGGTTGCAGTACTCACACACGGCATTATGATCTAAAAACCCAAAGACACAGAGAGCTTTTCTCATTGATGCATCACATAGTTCGCGGTGATGATCCAGAGGTGAAGCAAGGAAAGCCTGCCCCAGACGGGTTTCTCACTGCAGCTAGGAGATTTAAGGTAACTAACAGGCAACAATCTCCAATATTCTCCATTACTAGTTCATCTTTAAAATGAGTTGTAAACTAATGTTTCCTCTTCGTCTGGATTCCTTAGGACGGTCCTGTGGATTCACAAAAGGTTCTGGTGTTCGAAGATGCTCCATCTGGAGTTCTTGCTGCTAAAAACGCCGGAATGTAAGTGGGTTTCTCTCATGTAAAACCGATCAAAACCGAGACATTTATTGTATTTTACACCTAAGAAACAAGTTTATTCATCTTGATTTCTCTCTACAGGAACGTGGTGATGGTACCGGATCCTAGACTAGATATCTCTTACCAAGATGTTGCAGATCAAATCATAACCTCTCTACTCGATTTTAAACCGGAGGAGTGGGGTTTGCCTCCATTCGAAGATTCAAACTAAACGATACAAGCGTCTTCAAGGTAATGATAAAAACACAAATCATGAAAACGTATTCTCTGTCTTATTGTACTGTTTTGGCATGTACATGACAAAGCCATGAGGCATTATGTCGTCAAGGGTTCTATGATTTTCTGGCTATTGAAGATAAAAAACGAAACTAAGTGGTGACATGACGAGAGACCAAACAAAAAATTGCCTCAACGTTTAAACAAATTTTTTTTGTTCAACTACTCTTACCCACAAGTTTCAACATTGGCTTATCTTATTTTGTTCTTGTCGGGATAGCTGAATTGATTCCTTCTTTATGGTTTGGAATCTCTCTTCTTTACGCATCACTAACATGTGTTGTTACTGCATAAAATTAATACTCTCGTCCTTTCTTCAAGTTTAATGTTTTATATTTGTCAATGTAAAGATCATTACACTATACTTAAGAAAAATAGGGTAAATTTAGTATTACAACCTGTTTTAAACCTGTGAAATCTAAAAAACATACGAAATAAAAATTTGATTCAGTTTTTATGTCGATTTCTCAGTACCATCTTTGTTCACTTTGTCAACTTTTTTGTCGATTCATTTTTTTTTTTATCATTTTGTAAGTGAACAAAGAAGCAAACACATCCGATGATAATCTTACAATAATGCCATTAGGATTAACCGACATGAGCTGTTACAAAACATCGTTGCCAAAACGGTCTTTCTCTTCACTCGTTTCTTTTCACTTTTCTTGTGTTTCCCTTGACCGGCAAGATTCGAATTCTCTTTGCTACACGAACAAAGTCCCTGTGTCCACAAGCCAATTTTCTCGTTAACGTCCAAGTATTTATATAACTTCAAATGTACGAGAAAACAGTTGTTTATGATCACAAAACCTTAAACAACTAATTGAACCAAACATTGAACGAAAATATTTTTTGAAGAAAGGATAACGGTATCAAACACAATAATACTATAGCCCGCAAAATTGAGTTAAAAGAATAAGAATAGCAACAAAATATCATTTCACTAAATTATTGTATTTTTGTCTTTTTAGAAAAGCAGAAAACTTGTGTTTTTTTTGGCAGCTAGAAAACTTGTGTTTGTAGTATATACCGTTATGAACTAGGGAAAAAAAATCTACTAAAGTTTTCCTATTTTTAAAATAAGGCCCCGTTTTATAGTTTGTATATATGACGACCGTCCTGACAAGCAATAAAGAAGATTAATTAAGGGGAGGAAAATTACTTCCATGTAAGATCGCCGGCAAGAAGGAGATCGTTCTCCATGTCTTCATAAGCAATAAGATGGCCAGGAATGGCGTTTGACAGATCAAGATCGTCCGTCGAATCAGCCCCATCGACAAACATTTGTCTTAGAGCCAAAGCCAAGCTCTGATAACTCCCATGCTTGTCTAGGCTTATGCGTTGGCAAATCGAACGTCCCTCGAGCACAACCGTAACCGGAGGAACCACCGATGAAACTAGATCGTCCTCCACGTTAAGGCCAAACCCTTGGAATGATCTACCGGCCGCTTCGGAGCTGGAGTTGCTATTGTTATGGTTTTTCGAAGCCGGTTTGGATATGAAAGGTGTCGTGGTGTCACGAGGTTGATGTGTGGTGGTGTTGTCTTGATGAAACCTTCTTTGCAATGAGTCTTGGCTTTGTGGCTCGAAACTGTTCATATTGAAGGCTTTTAGGGTTTTTGTAACTTAGAGAAGACAACGGACGGTTATATATATGGAACTCAAAGTGTTTCGTGTTTTTTTTTTTTAAGCTAGAGAGAGAGACTGTGTGTTGATGAGATTCTGGTGAAAGTGAATGTATGTACATATAAATAGATAGAGCCATAGAGGGAAGGCGTAAATTGTGTGCAAACAAAGGTGTCTTTTATTTTTACATTTTATTTTTTGGTTTAATGTTGTCTTAAATTTTTCATTTAATTTGAAAGTACATCTGCTCTTTGGACTTCTCGTTTAACAATGAATCCTCAATTAAAAATCAATTTAATATTTAATTATTCAATGAACAGTTGGATTCACGTAAATGCATATGTATTAAATGTATTTTGCTAATCTAACTATATAAGACTATCAAGAGCTGATACAGAAAATGTTCCAGGTTTACGTGGACAAGAAGAAAGCTGACGAGAAAACATAAAAACAGTTTACAAGAGTCAATATATAATAAGAGTAAGAACTAGAAAACTCCAAATTAAAGACATTATGATAAAATGGTGATGAATTAAATAATGAAAGAAGAGATCTTGTAATTTGTAACGCATGGGCTGCGGAGACGACCGCGCTGCCGTCGCCGAACGCCTCGCTTCCTTGACTCGCGCCTGGTCGGGAGTTCCACGTCATTTTCTTTTCACACACTAATTAATACACATCAAGCATACTTAAGAATATAAAATTTAATTAAACAGTTTAACACACGCATATATCCACACGACCACACATCAATATCATATAGAATATAGATACATGCATAGCCATATACATCCATGGAACATTGCATACGTATACAATTGAATACGTTTACCAGTTTATCTCATACGCATATACTTTCGGATTAGCACTTGGTCCAAAATGCAGACATTACCCTTAAAAAAAAAAAAAAACGTGTTTCTATGGGAGGAGTCGTTTAAGGTAAAGAAGTGAACGTTAGACCACAAATGCGGTTTACACGAATAGTTAATGGATGCATACTAATTCGGATACTAACTCGAAATAAATAAATAAAAAGTTTCTTCAATCTACCTAAAATTAGTTGGACACTAATAAATTGAAACTAATTAAAAATTATGTTAGCTAGGGACACTACTAATTCCAAATCAATAGTCATTCAAAACATTATACACTATTTTAAAATCGCAAATAAGTACAATGACCAAAAGTATACGTAAATCATATGTATGAGTCAAATAATTACGCCTACAATTATGAGATTATGCTGAAGTGTTGATTTTCATATTGAACGTTTTGTTTGTTGAATGAAAAAGTTTAACGGTGGATCCAACAAGCAAGAGGTGAATAAGCTAAAGCAAACCCAAGAAGACATAAAACGAAGCACAAGAAGCATATTTTCTTAAGTTTGAAGCAAACAATAATTTATTCTATACATTTAAAATTTAAACTCGGGATTCGAATAAGAAGACTAGAAGATCCGACATGAGAGGCATGGAAATGTTTAAAACTTACCTCGGTTTCATAGATTTCAATTTAGAAGTATAGTTTAACACATTACTACATTTTATATTTAATCATCTAATTAATTTGTCTCGATTTTTGTTTTTTTCGATTCTACAGACATACGTTAATGTTTGCTTATTTCACTCCCCGATAATAATCAAAATTTTAAATAACAATCAAACAACAATTACCCGCTGTTTTGGTCTGTTTCTAACCAAACAATGATAATCATTTTGTCAATGCTCAGCTCACATGATAATAACAGGGCCTTACACACGAAGCCCAATAAGGAAGCCCAATTAAAACCTTGTGGGCCCATATTCCTCCTTGCTTAAAGCCTGAACAGTTGGCGCGTCAAAATCAAGTGGAGGAACACTGAAGCAAGTGGGTGTGTCCGCACCGGATCATTACCTTAAAGCTCATTATCAAAAATCAAATCCTTTTGATTATTATTACTGAAATAAAAAGCAAAGTGAAAAAGGAAGAGAGGTTTTAAAAACTTTATTTTCGCTCTTCTCCAGAAACATTCCGTTTCAGATATTTTTGATTTTTGAATTTGTATTCGCTCTCTCTCTCTGCTTAGATTTAGATCTGTTCCTGTGAATTGATTCTCTGTTTAATCGTTGCTCACGCCGTCGTTTTCGCCGGAGAAGGAAGTTCTCATCCTCAATTCGAAAATGCCGGCGAATGATGCTGAGTACGATGTCAAAGTAAGATTACTGTTTCCCGATTTGGTTTTTCTTAATACTTGTCTCGAATTTCAAGCTCCATGATTCCTTCTCTGGTTTCTTCTTCACAGGTTTTATCTCAATCTGCGACGGGGTTAGTTCTTCTTCTTCTTAATCCCCCTAGGGTTTACTTTAAAATCTCCAATTAGTATTGATTTTTTTTTTTTGAGAAGGGATTACACATTCGCTAATGTGGATAATTTGGAGCATTGTACGAAGTATTTGAATCAGACAATGGTTACATTTGGATTTCCCGCCTCGCTCGATCTCTTTTCGAATGATCCGGTTGGGGTTTTATTATAGATTCTCGTCGTATTCATGAAATTGTTTGGATGTTTTGGGGTTTTGATTAGGGTTTTGTTGATTTAGGTCTCTATCTCAAGGACTTGCAATTGTATGTACTCGTTGCTGCAACAACGACAACGTGATATAGAGTTTAGAGAATCTGCTAATGAGCTGAGACAGAGGTGAATTTTGTTTTTCTTCCTTCTTTCAATTTGCTGTGCATTGCATTGTTGTTATTGAATTGTTCTTTGAGGATTCAAGTAGTTTTATCGGTTTATCTTGCTTTAATCGAGTTTGGTGTTTGAGCTTATCTACTTTGATTTTGCGGAAGGGTTTCCTTGTGGTTTATGTGCATTTCCCTTACTGTGTTTAGACAACAATCGGATATAGCTAGACTTGAAGCTAAAGTTGAGAGGCTTGAAGCGCTACTCCAACAGAAGGACAGAGAAATTGCAACAATTACCAGAACCGTAAGTCCTATAAAGTGTCAGCTGAAATGGTTTTTACTTAGGCTCTTGATATAGAAGGGTTTGATTATGAATTCACTCTTTTGACAGGAAGCCAAAAACACAGCAGCTTTGAAGTCTCAGATAGAAAAGTTACAGCAGGAGAGGGATGAATTCCAAAGGATGGTGATTGGTAACCAGGTCTGATAGTGTTTGCTGCTTGCATTAACACTACTTTATCTTGAGGAAATTTGTACTGATGGATTCTCTGCATTTATTCTTTAATCACTGAATAGCAAGTCAAGGCTCAACAGATACACGAAATGAAGAAAAAGGAGAAGGATTACATTAAGTTGCAGGTTTGTGTATCTTTATCTCGTGGAACTGGCTTTTCTGAATCCTGTTTTAATTCTGCATTTTGAACACTTTATTTCTCTCGTAGGAACGGCTGAATCAAGTATTAATGGAGAAAAAGAAAGAATCAAGATCTGGAATGGAGATTATGAATTTACTACAGGTTCTTTACCACCTTCTTGTTTTTTGCACTCAACAGATTTTCCCACTTGACTGATTATCTGTTGTATATAATAGAAAGAAGGGAGGCAACGTGGTACCTGGAATGGCAAGAAGACTGATACTGACTTCTACAAAAAGATAGTACGAGTCTAACTACAAATCAATAACGTTATGCAGAGTTTCAAGAGCATTCCTTACGTATCTCCTCCCTGCAGGTGGATGCGTATGAAGCGAAAAATCAAGAATTGATGGCTGAGAACACTAATCTAAGAGCATTACTTCGATCCATGCAGGTAAGCTCTTTTTCATACTAAGCTTAACTTGAGTAACTCAAGATGTTTTATTCATAAGAAAAGTTTTTTTATCTTTGGTTTTGTTGCAGACAGATATGCGTGATTTTTTAAATGCCCCAAACGGGTCAGCTAATCCTTCATTGGCTGGAAGTGAGAAACGTGAGGCTGATCCTTCACAATCTCCACTGGGTGGGAAGACGGTATGCATAATCTTAGATGATTGAATGGTTCTTGTATATAATCTTATATAGTTGATTGCCCTAGAATCTAACTAACTAGTCATTACACAGGACGTGTTTGATCTACCTTACCGGATGGCTAGAGGTCAAATAGAAGAAAGTTTGCGCACTAAGATGGCTTCCATTAAGGTTTTTTCTTAACAACATTTTGCGTTTACAGAATGAAATACATCTCGTATCCGTGGTTAACTTTTTTTTGCTGTTTGGACATAACAATAAAGGAACGCATGGTTCAGTTACAAGATGCACCTAAAGGAGCATCTGTTACATCTGAAGCAACAGAGAGAGAGCTTGAACTCGAAGCTCAGCTCGTCGAGGCAAGAAGCATAATCCAAGAACAGGTCCTCTTTCTCATTTTTCTTTACTAATGGCTCAGAGACTCTTTTCCTCTCTACATTATGATATTTTAGGAGAAACACTATCTCTTGACTGCTGTTGTGAAACTGACAAGAGCAATGCTATTGCAGGAGTCAATAATGTCGAAACATCTCCCAAAATCAGAGAAGCGAAGGTATCACTTTATATTCTTTGATTTTGGCTTAAACAAAGATGATCGATCATGTGAAACAATTAACAATGGCGAAACTTGTTGCAGGGAATCGGTAGTTCCATTGGCAGCCGAGGTATATTTATAGATTCCTCTCTCCTTCATTTCTTCTTCGTAAAAAGATTAGTAATGAATCTTGCTTGATCTGTATTTATATAATGTATCTCTACAGGGAGTATGAAAATGTCTAGGAGCTCAAAATCTGTGGATCCAAGTTAAGGTATGTTGCGAAAAGAGACTTGTAGCAAAATGTAGTCTTAGTATTGTATTCACTATCACCAAAACTCTCCTTCGATATCTAAGTTATGTATGTATATTCAGCTTTTAGTTGTGACAAATGAGAGATCTTTTATCCGATTGGGATACCATAATCTTATTATATATTGTTGTTTAGTGTCAAAAATTCAAGGTACGTAGTCTCTGTTAAATTAGTAATCACACAGTAAGTCATAGAGAACACCATGTTCATTGTTCCAAGTTCCAACCAAACTAATCAAATCACTTTGAAACAATTTCATGATTTGATTGCTTTGGTCGGTCCAATATAATTTAGGAGACTATGGACTTCTTCTTCTGAACTTTCTCAATTTCATAACTCTAGATGAGTGATAGATACTAGGGGTGTCTTAAATCGTATTTACTTTTTACAAGGAAATCAACTTTTACCGACCAACATGAGTAAAAGTATATTAGAACTGTGTTTCTATAATCCGAAGTTTTTGCTGTAACCTGTTTTAAATTATGATTAATTCGTATGTTTTCGTAAAGGTGGGTTTTGATTGTAGTTAATTGCGTGATTAGTGCGAAGATTCATACAAATGGGTTAAAGAAAAGAACTAACGATATGAAATTGAGGAGTACGCAAAGTTTGGCGTCTCTTAAGGGATTGGTCATTGCCTCTTCACATGCGCATATGAAATCAGCCGTCCTTTAAACTGTATTAACGTGCGCTTCATCTTAAAGTAAACACATTGAATTTAAAATATCTAGCTCTATGTTTGAAGGAAATCAAATATTTTCTTTAGAAAATTTCCAAAAAGATTAAAAGCTTTCTTTATAAACCAAAAAGATATACAATAAATGTGTTTAATAGTTATAATTTATTTCTTCTGTTGGATAATGGAGTTTCTTTAATCGTAATTGCCATGTAAATGTAAATGGCAACAACTTTTATGTGCATTACAAACAAAAATGGGTCTTGTCCTCCGACTAAATCGATGAAACCACAAGCCAACAACCTTCTGGTTTATATTTTGATGTATTCTAGATAATTCAGTTACAATGATAAGAAATAAAACTAACCAATAGGCATATTGTGGTTGGCCACTATGGCACTATGAATGTTTTTAAATGACAAAAATACATAGCTTTTTATATGTTCCAATAATAATTAGTTTTAGACATCATTTTAAGATCAACCAAAAAAATACAATAGGCTACCGAATCACGAAACAAATATTCTTGAGGTAATTCCAAAAATAACATTTAAAACTGTCTTTATATAGCAGATTACATAAATATTTTCTTGGTGGATATATACAATGAATGTTTAAACACTTATGGTTTATTTCTTCTTCTGGAAAACAGAGTTTCTTTAATCGTAGTTTAGAATAAATATCGGATTCGATACGTAAATGCTGCATCAACCAAATGTGTATTAAATATAAATCGATCTTATCCATCAACTCTAAATCTATGAAACCATTAAAACTTTGAATAAATTTTGATGTATTCTAATAATTCAGTTATAACGATAGGGCTAAAATTAAGAAAGTAAGAAATAAAGTTTCTTGTATAATAGAAAGTCAAACCCTTTCTTCATTATATTATTCTATAAACAAGACATTATTATATCAAACTCGTTACATGTATTACACAACACATCATGCGTCTAAGATTCACATAGTCAACTCTTCTGCCCTTAAATAAATTTATATCCATTTTCTCGGGCAAGAATCTCTCTCTTTCCATACATATACACATATTTGCACTCTATATCATCTCCACAAATCTCACGTATCTTCTCTCTTTATCTTCTCTCTCTATCTACAAACGAATATCACCATGAATCAAGAATACGATAACACAACTCCAATACCAAAAGCTTCATTATTGTTAATGGAGGATGATCTATGCAAGAGAGAATCAGAGATCTCAAGAAACTCATCGGTGGGAGTTTCTTCTAGATTGTTCTATTACTACCATCATCGAAGTTTCAACGAAGGAGTTCCTTTTAAGTGGGAGATGCAGCCGGGAACACCGATCAATCCTCCGCCGGAAGAAATCGTTCCTCCGATAACACCTCCTCCGGCGTTTCTCAGCCTTGGTTTCCCTAAACCCTCAATCTCAGTCGTCGGAGGTTCTAATAAACATTCTCTTTTTCCGGCGAATCTTAAGCTTTGGAGATGGAAGAATCTTCGTAAGAGATATTTCTCTAGATGGTCAAGCCAAAGCATGCTTAATAAAGGTAATTAAAACGTTAAGTGTATTATGATAACTTTTATGTACTGGAATTTTCACAAGATATTGATATTTCGGTCAAGTCTAACTTAAAATATTTCTTATGATTAATTTAGATTTTGAATGATTACATTATATGAAATGAAAGAATATTGTGAAAAGTAAAATGCGGAATCTGAATAACGGAGTCACTAAAAAAAAGTTGCGTTTATTGAATCAATATTTTGTCATTAATCTTGATAGTTAAGGAATAATATATCATAGAATTGTGTGATTGATTATACTATAGGTACTAGTATAATCAATGTGATTCTTTAGTTATTTTAAATTCTTTTTAAAGCATTGTTTATATATGTAACATCTCTTACATAGACATTTTCCCGTATGATCCAACAGATTATCATATTGCTCGTGACAATAATTCAAATTCTTGTGATGAATTGGAGAGATTCGAGGAGTTTAAGGATTACAGGTCGAGCTCGTGTTCTTCTTCGTCGTCGTCTTCCTCGAAAGATCGGAGATTGGTAAAGGCTTCACCACGTCAGTGGTTTAGCGGTTGTCCATCTCGGAATTCAAGAAACAATCATACCGGTTTTCATTAAAGTTAAACTCTTGAATTATTGTTTTGTACCAGATTAATAGTTAGACAATAAGAAGAAGAAAGGAAAAATTAGTATCAGAATTATACTAAATGGAGGGAGGGTGACAATTGTCTCCTCTCATATAAAAAAAAAAAAAATTAGACTAGATCTAAAGTTATCCGACTATTGTATAAACATTCATATTTTCCTGTCTTATTTATTTTTATCGATCAAGTTTTAAATTACTATTAATTAACATTTTTTATTAAATTTATTTAATAGTTGAACTGATGTATGGTTATGTGGTGGCGTCTTCTTCGTGTAGTTGCCAAACATTTTCCCAGTTATTATCGTGGATCAATAGTCACTAACTCACTATCATTAGAAGGTCTGCATATCAAAATTTGTAACCCTAATCTTATTTGTTTATTAGTATGTTATTTCTGACTAAATAATAAGCATGTAAATGAGCAACTTGTAGATATGCTATGAAAATTAAAGATATTACGGAAGAATTATAATACTTTCATAAAAATAATTGTACAAATTACATTCTTTTGTATAAAAATAAAACAGATCTGAGTTTTTAAAATATAGATAAGTATGAATAAAAAAAACTAGATTTGGCCTAAATTAAGATAATTGACAAATATCAACAATTTTCTAAATCTTGTTTATTATTTTATAATTAATTTTTCGGATAGTCTTTCGACCGTTTGATTATATTCGTTCGTTGGTTCTTAATCTTCGTTGGTCTATGAAATAGTACTCGGCATTAGAGCTGGGACTATTATCCGGGATCCGAGATCCGATCCGGGATCCGCTCCGGAACAACGAAGATCCGAGATCCGGGATCCGGCAAATATATACACTGATCATTTAATTACGTTGTCATTTACCTATCTAAACAAAATGCTAGAAGGAAATATATATAGGTGTGTGGGAAGGGGACTTTTCTGTGTAGTTCTCGATGTGGGACAAAGTTATAAAGGAGAAAGAGAATTTCTTTTTTTTTTTTTTTTTTTTCGAAAGAGGATAATGTTGCAAGTCCCACATCGTGCAGTTGAAAAACTGTTGCACTATACCTGAGCTATAAATAACACTCACGACTAATTCTCAAGCCCATAAATTCAAAAGCCCAGTTTTTTGGATTTGGATTCTTGTAATTTGAAGTCCATTTAGTTCAAACTTTTAAGTCCACACCGGATCCGGATATAAAACGGGTATCCGGCGGATGTCTGAAATTTGAAACGGATATCCGCGACCGGATATCTGGAGCCTACGGACACTACAAAAAAAGTGAACATTGATAGCAGTTCACTATAGCACGGTTTCACTAATTGCTATGAATGATTGTTTTAGAATTTTGATAGTATGAAATAGCATTTAATAAACGCTATAATAAAAAATCAATAAGCGGGAAGCTAAAATCGCTTATTCCGCCAATATTTAGCCGAAAAACTTAGACCATCCTCAATGCAGCAACTTTTACACTGATCTTGGATATAAAAAAATAGAAAAAATTCAAATAGTAGAGGAACATGGGAAAAAACGGTCTTGAGCAAGATCTGGTCTTGAGCATTGATCTTGATTTATATATATATTTTTCTCTCTTTCTCTCTCTTATCTCATTATAATATTATTACTTCACTAGATAAATACCCACGCTTCGCGTGGGTTTGTTTTAAAAGTTGTTAATAACAAATTATTTTGATTGTTTTTGTTGCTAATTGATCACCCGCTTTACGCCGCGAGTTTTTTCCGTATTTTTTTATTTTGATTTACTTGATGTTATATTTTGATAAATATAATTTTTACTTATCTAATCATTTACTCATGCAATGAACAACTACTCTTAGTACTAAAATACATTTTCAACCAACATACTCAACAATGCATCACTCACACAATCCGTAAACAATCTTTGTCCTAAACCAATTTTATAGATGGTAATGTTGGGATTATAGAACCTCAAAAATTTGATGACTTTACGTACTCTCCACCCTCAGTGTCATATATAGATAAGAAAATTAAGAGAAAAACTTACTCAAACCATTAGCTAATCCACTATACTATTATCCACTCATATTTTGAGTTAAGATTACAAAAATTAGCGAAAAAAATTTTGGAGTATATTAAACCAATAAAATAATTTCATTGAAAAAACAGAAAATAACAAAATAAGTTAGTATTAGTAGAAATCAATATGTAAAATTAAATAATATATATAATTAAATAATAAATATATTATTAACTTGTGAAATAGATTTTCAAATCCATATGGTCCATCCCTCATGGGCTATTGTGTTTTTCCCATTTGACAATTCTAATTAAAAGATGATGTGTAAAAAATAAAAGCTGAATCATATTAATGAAATGTTTTGATTGGAAGATAGAAAGCTGATGTGTCAGCTCCAGAATAGTCTAAAATGCTGACGTGGCGGAATGATGGAGAGAGATAGCCTCCTTTCATATATATGATTTGTTTATTATTATAATTACTTTAAGATCAGTTGTGCGATTGATGATGCCCTTAGGAAGCCGCCAACACTTAAGCATTTTTCCTTTTTTCTCAAAGACCTAGACAAAATCTCTCAGACTCACGAATCTCGTCCCAGCCTCACACGAACCTCATCGCTTCCACCTTTGAACCTAGTTGCAGCCTCTTCTCCTCCCTCTATCCTCACCATCTCTGCCACTATGCTGAATTTCTATCCCCACCCTCCTCCTCCAGCTTCCATTCTCCCGAACAAACTCACCCAAACCCTAACTCCCCTCCAATGGCCCCTCCTCCGCTGGTGCCACCACCACCAAACCTAATTGACTCAACCAAAACCCCACATCTCCGTCTCTCAATCTCGATCTATCACTCACGATGAAGTTTCAATTTACCGTGGAGGAGAATCTCCTTGGGAACGAGAAGATGAATTCAAGTAGAGAGAGGAATGATTCGAAGAGTTTAAGATCGGGAAGTAAAATGGACATGGTAATGGTAGTGATGGACGAAATACTTCGATTTGGTGACTCTTCTTCTTCTTCGTCTTCATCCTCGTAAAATGGTAAGTCATCTCAATTGGTTACTTTAGGGTCTTTAATTTAGAAATTGGAAGCTTGAAAAAAACAAACATGTTCTCTTAATTAGGAGAAATCTGTTAACTTGTAAGCTTGAAATCCAAAAAGAGAACTCTTTATATCTAGAGATGGAGCTTGTGTGTGAAACATATCAGTTTTAAGGCGCTTGAGGGTCTGTTGGCAGGTCACTGTTCTTGTAACTTAGGCTGAACATGTTTGTCTACATGTTGATTTGCTTTTGTTCTTTGTCGTTGTGCCCTTATGAATTGACTATGAAGCTTGATACTTTGATTGTCAAGTGTTTGTTTTAAATTCCCAAGAGAGCATTGATACTTTGATAATACTTTGTTTATACTAGGTAATGCTTCTTCTTCCTCCTTTTCTTACAAGTGTTCTTGTTCAAACACTTAATTTCTGAAACTTTTTTAATTGTTTCTCCTCAGTGGCTATGGAACAAATATAACAACTCTGTCCTAGAAGCTTTTAGGGAAAATCAAAGCCGGTAAAGTAAACATATAGCCTTGGTTTCTTAAAGCCTTTTTAATTGTCTTTTGAAATAGTTTTTGATTATGTAGAGCTGATAATCCTTGGATTCAATTTTTATTATTCACTATTAGAGAAAAGGAGGAAGAAGACGTGGGAAAGGTGAGGTTTTGTTTTGGTCGATCTGTTGACACATGTGGTGTTTAAATTTGGGATTTTATTTGGTTACTACTTGTTAGCAGTAAGGGTTTGATTAGTCGCTAACTTTAAGAGCATCAATTTTCTAAGTTACTCAGTTCTAAATTTTTTGGCTTGACCTTTCTTTGTCAATAACTATTGTATTTTTTCTGTTAAGGACAATTCAACATGGTTTGAGCTTTTTGATCACTAGAGTGTGATAAGTGGGAAGAGAAAGGAATAACACCAGCCTTAGCACCAAGCTTGAAGCTTTACCAAAGACTTCTAGATTTGGGATACAAAGTTAGCTCTTTGCTTTGAGAATTTATCTATGAGTTTTTTCTTTTCTTTTTTCTCTTTGATTCCTATCAATTGAGTTGGTGTAAATTTGCAGCTTGGTCTAGAAGATATCTTCCCAGATTTTGGGTCATACGTTCTTAATTTTTTAGCAAGAACAAGAACAAGTCTTCAACAATTCATGAAGCACCATTTGGAGTTTTGACGCAAGAACCAGAACAGTTGTGTATCGTTGGAGAGCAAAGTGGTTGTGGGATTGTGTAGGAAGAAGAAGTAGAGATCAATTATGGATAAGCTGGTGGACCTATTAAGCTAGAAAAGGATCATTTAGATGATGAATGCTCATGGAGGCAGTAAGCTTTAGAAAGAAAATTTGTTTGGCCTAGACATAGTTAGTTGATTGTGTTTGGTAGAATTTGTGATTGTCGATAGGGTGCTTCTCTTTGTCCCTTATTTCATAAGTTAGTACTCTTGTTGTGGAAGAGTCGTAGTTGTTTTTATATAAGATTTAGTTTGGATTAGTCTTTTGTAAGACGTGTAATGTTTTATTATGGATTTTCTATGAAATTAAAATATATGTTCAATATATATCTTTGACCAAATTTAATTTATATAAAAACATATTAAATATAAAATGCAAAAAAGTGTCAATTTAATTAAAAATAAATAGCATCGATAAAATGCTACAGCATAATATATCACGACATAAATAATGAGCTACAATTGAATCGAATATAGCATTTAATTAACGTTATGGTAGAACAACCTATAATAGCATTTCAAAAAATGCTATCGTAGGTGAAAAACCTACCATAGCTGCCGATGTCATAGCATTTGTGAATTCGCTATGTTATATGTATAATAGCATATTTTTCGCGCTAACGATGAACATATTTCTTGTAGTGGGATCCGGATCCTGATAGTAAAATACAAGATCCGGCGGATCCGCATCCGGATCCGGATATACCCATTTTAGCCGGATATCCGGATCCGTCTCAGGGCTACTCGGCATCTTTCCAGTGTTGGAGAGAAATGTTAATATTACATTCTATTGGTATTGTAATGATGGGCCATTTATCTTAAGCCTATTGTATAGATATTCAATTGGGCAGATCCAAGTATGAGATAGAAGTGGCACTAGCATCCATGTCAAAAGTATCATTAAAATCAGTAATACCTTGCTATAAATTTCATGATATACCCCCAATTAAATATTTTGGCTGCCTTCATTTCCTATCTGTTATCCAAAACCAAACATTTCATCTTCACATAACAAATCATATTTAGTAAGCGTATTGCTTTAGCTGCATCAGCTCATGTGCACTATGATACACTGGACCAAACATACAAGAGATTGTAGCCGTCAGATATTCTTTAGCCAACAAAAATATTGTCATTTTTGAACGATTGAGATAGCTCCCACTAAAATGAAGAAAAGATAACAAACGCCTATTTCATTGTCCAATAAGCAGCAAATCGTATTTATTATAAAGGTCTTTTCTAGTTTAAAAAAAAGACAAAACTGAACGTGTTGTGTGTATTATATGAAAAAATAGGAAAGTGTCATGCGATAATTGACAATTTGCAATTATAACAAAATAGTAGGATGACAAAGCGAACGTGGGGAATGATTTGATGTAGCTTTTCAAAATCCGACCCATTTATATTCCTTTTCTTATTTTGTTTTGTTTTTATCTGCAGTCGTATTATTCATAGTATTTCGTTAGTGTTTTTAGAACAACCTTTTTCGATATTAAAATTGTATGATACGAAGGCCTGCATTTGATTCTGGATCGGTTTGTACAATGTTTTTATAGCTCGGTTTAAATCAATCACCTTCGTGTATCATATTTAGAAAAATGCAAGTGTATTTGTTTTTCATGATTGACAATGAAATCTAAAAACATGCATGATAGTCAAATAAGTAAAATATATTTCGGCGCCGAACTCTTTAGCAAAATTTCTTGTATTCATTTTCTTTTTAGTTCACTTGGCTTTTTTATTTGTTTTTATCACACCTCGTAGTATACCTTCTTTTTCTCTTTTCTTTTTTTTTTCGTCTGAATAATTCATGAAATAGAACCAAAGGAGAAATACAAATTTGGGATACATGGTAGAATACTAACACCGGCGGGACTCTAACCCCCGGAAAACTAAGCCGGCGGGACTTTAACCCCCAGAAACTAAGCCCCAAACAACGGGGAAACAAACATAAAACTAAAACAGATCTAGAAAAGCTTGGAAATTTAACACAGAAAAGCAAAAATCTTTTTACCCGAACAATCCGAAATCGCAAAAACTATCAGGTTGACAACAAAAGAACAGACCGCAACCTAAAAAGCCTTCGAACAACAAGCCTCACTTGATGATTAAGAGTCTTCATAAGATAAACCTTGGGAAACCAAGAGAAGCGGAACGGTGAAACCTCAGCCCAACAAGCAGAGACCGTTGAAATCGCAGTGGCCGGAGATGTCAAGTAAACGACTTGAACCGGTAAGAGGAACCCAAACCTGGGCGGATCTCGCCCTAGATCCGATCGTTGGAGCTGTGTGAGGAAACCCAAAAATTGGGTCGCCCAAACCGATTCACCACCTCACCGACAGTGAGTGGCTTAGAGCCATCGCGGTTTGGGCCATGGAGGGACAGGTAGAAAAAGAATTGTAACCTGCAACAAAAACAAACCAAGCAAACCCTAGATCTAAAAGGAGAAAAGGAAGGAAACGAAAATTCGCATCCAAATCCGAGATCTCTCCATACACGAAACCATAGCTAGCTAAATAAACAAAAGCACAAAAGCCGAACCGACGCTGTGACCGTGGTGGCTCACACGCGCCGGTCGGAAACGAAGACCTAGTGCAGCGGCGGCAAGAAAAAGAAGAGAGAAGGGAGACTTTTTTTTTTTTTTTGGCTTCTTTTTTTTTCGTAAAACTTTACATTTTTATAAATAAATAAAAAAAGTACAAAAAATGATATGCCAGATGCTAAATAAATGGAAATCAAGTTTTAAGCTCAATGAATTGAATAATGATTTTTGGACCATTATACTAAACATAACTTCAATTTGTTTCCATTTTTTTTAGCATTTGAATTAGAACAGATAACTTCACATAATAATTAATCGTATATAACTATATAAGTGAGTTGCTTAGTCCAAAAGTAAACTACACTACACCCACTCCGGTTTTGATGCCATTACTTTCGATCGATCCACCGTGACCCTCTTTTTGGCATCTTGCTCAACTTATATTAAACTTGTGGTTCCACAATCATAATAATAAACTTGTGGTTTCACATTCTTTGACCGCACATTCCATTAAATAACTCTAGCCCCGACCGCTTTCAGTGGAAAAGGTCGCATTAGAATATACTTACATAAGATTGAGATAATAGAACAAATTGAAGGAAAAAAAAAGGCTACACGATTATTTAACACGTGATACACCGAATTCATGACGCGACCTGGAGACCAAATACGTGCTTTAAAAGCTGGCATATATTTTACATTCTTTTTTTTTTGTGTTCATACGTTTTCAAGTGTTATTATTACTTTTCCGTTAAAAGGCTTTTAAAGTGTTATTTAACAAGTTCATATTTTACATTCTATATATCTAGTGTATTTGCACCTATATCGTATTAAATCGTCTCCATAAACATACGATTCAGAGTTCATAGTTATGTCAATGATCATATTGAATAAGAAATTTGAAGAGATTATATATAACAGTAGAACACACATCATACATGTATAGACAATTGTTTTTAATTCTGGTGTATAAAATAATGTTGATGCGTAGAAAACAATAATTGAAAGGAAGCATATAATTGTTAAAAACACGATAATGGTGCAGTGTGAAGAGATAGACAATGGGATAACGCAGCATGCAGATGACACGTGTGCATAGTAGCTGACACGTGTGGGCGGTTTACATGCAAACCATGTGCTCGCCATTACCACATAATTAAACCTCATCTATATTTCTTCTTTTAGGTCCAAACACGTAATTAAATTTAGCTTAAATTTGGTTTTAGCAAATCTCACCGAATATAATCCTTATATTGACACTTTCTTTTTATAGTCTCACTCCCTAATCTCACGCTCTTTTTTCCCACGCGTTTGGCTCAAACTCGAAACGCTAAACATCAAACGCTATTATTGTTATAACTGAAATTTTCGGTCATATCGAAAAAACTTGGAAAAGGCACCAATAGCCCATTTACTTGCATGATGTGTTCATGTGTTGCTAATGGCATGGCATCAAGTCCGAAAGGCAATTATACAGGCAAAAACATGTTTTGGTATGTTAGTGTGTTGTACGGTGCTGCATTAGTGCATCGTGGCACACGAAATTTGGTACTATAACAAGGTGCATTCCGACTTTCTTCAATATATTTATTTATGCATATTAAATAAATTATTTTCAATGCAAAGTATTGTCTTATATTAGTATTTATTTTTTAAAATGAAACGGAAGTAACATAAGCAATTATTGCGAGAAACATAAGTGTTGTATACCGACCAACCTTTTTTTTTGGCCACGACAAAAGCTAGATAAGATTGGCGAATTTTGTTTAGTTTTATTTTTAAAATTGTAAATGCTTTCTTAAATTCGATATGTGTGCAGTGTTCACCGAATTCCTAACAATTCAGCATCATTACAAATTAAAAGAAAAAAAGCAGATGGTGATGAAAAGAATGGAAATTGGCGCCAAAGCTTTCATAAGAATAGCGAGTCCACAAGACGCGCGAGTTCTGTCTCTCTTTTTTCGTTTTTTTTTGTTAATTAAAGTATTTTAAATTTTCATGAATCGTAGAACGTAGTGAAAAAGAACCAAAATTATTCATATAAAATATTTTCTTAAAAGGAGATGAAAATATCAAATGGTATTGGAGTGGTCAAAGAATGACGAAAAAGATTAGGAGGAAGGCCAAAGTTTGTAATAATTGGATACAGAACAGAGGGGACACGCGTCACCTTTTTGGACCATCTCCAATTATTCCACTTTCCTTGCACTATTTTGTACTAGTAATCAGCTCTATTTAAAATAAACGCATAATTCAAATTATTTTTTAAAAATCAGCCTAGGATCAAGATTACTGGTTTAATATTGAAATTAGCATAAAAATATATTTACTTAGAAAATCTTATGAAGTAAAAAGTTATTCTAATAATGCTACATTTATAAGATACTAACATCCCCTTATTATTAAAAGGGAAGTACAAATTGAAAAATGGTCAAATTTGGCCTCAATTTCAATTTCAATTTTGGATTTTGTTCTTTGTTAATCAAAATCGTCAAGGTTAATTTGGTCAAAAAATTTCATTAAACCTTATAGGATCCGCGTGTTAATTACTCGGGTGGGTTAGGAGTAATTACTCTTAATCATATATTCAAGTTCCTAATCGGGTTTAGCATCCAAATAATTCAATCTTAGCCGTTAAAATTATTTTGTAAATTTAGCTCATTTTTGGTATCTAAATATGAGCATATTCGATCCATAATAACTGCAAATTCGATGTAATTATCTCTCATAATAACTGCAAATTCGATCATATATTGCCTAATCCCAAAAAAAACGTAATTACTATCTCTCATAAATATAATCCTAACCATAACCAACTCTACAATATTCATCATTTATCTAAATATAGCCAATCATTCAATTCTATTCCAAATTCGAATATATTTTGTTAATAGTATCTTTGATTTTATGCTTTGTCTCCAAGATATTCTCCTAGATTTAAAAATTATTGGAGCCAAAAACCCTAGCATCCTAGAATGCTATAAATATCAACGTCATTCTCATTTCCAATCCATCACTCAAATTCCTCTAAGCTTAGCATCCTTCTTATTTAGATATCACAAATGGCTCAAGCAATTGCTTACCTCGATGACATCAAACCATACAAAACCACTTGGAGAGTTCAGGTCCGTGTCCTTCATACCTGGAAGACATTTACCACAAAGTTTGGTGAGACTTTCGACATGGTTCTGTCTGATGTCAAAGTAAGAATTCTTTGTCATGTCTATATTAGTTCAATATATTAAAATAAGTTGTCTAATGATATACTAATATATTTCTATTTCTATGGTAGGGCAAGAAGATCCATGCGTCTGTGAAGAGAGAGCATCTCAACCGTTTTGAGAAGCTCATGGTTCCAGGAGAGTGGAAGGCTATTGAAAACTTTGGATTGACTTATGCAACTGGTCAGTTCAAAGCAACTGATCATCGTTACAAAATGGGCTTCATGGCTCAAACAAGAGTTGTGAGGATGGACCCATTGTCTGATTCTTATTACCTGTCATTGACTCCTTTCAATGATGTTTTAACTGGTGGTCTCAACCAGAACTACTTGATTGGTACATTTTCATATTCCCTATATTTTCATTTTTATCTAATCCTTTATGCAATATATATTGACGTTTTGTTATTCTCTTTTGGTTCTAGATGTTGTTGGTCAAATCGTGAATGTTGGTGAAATGGAGACTATCGACGTCCAAAATAAACCTACTAAGAAGATTGATTTTGAACTGAGGGATCATACGTAAGTTTCATTCATTAGCTCTGTCTGCATTAAAATTAAAGAGTCTTATTTTTTTTTTCTGATATTGCTATTAAAATATTTAGGGATGAAAGGCTACCCTGTACTCTATGGGGTTCATTTGCAGAACAAGTTTTCACTGCCTGTGAAGCTTCTGCTGGTGAAATGGTCATATGTTTGGTGAGATATGCTAAGATCAAGACTTACAAAGGTATTTTGTTTTGGTATTAATATCATACCTATAGACTTTTTGAATTTTTTAAAAATTGAACTGATGGCACTTTCTTTATGTTTGCTTTCTAGATGTAAGGAGTATCTCCAATGCTTTCAATACATCTCAGATCTTGATCAATCCAGACATCCCTGAGATTGTTGCCTTCAAAGAAAGTTTACCAAAAGATGGGCTTGCTCTTACTCTTCTTGAGTCTAAACCAAAGCAGGAAATGATCGAGCTGCCTACAGGGGATTTCTATCTTCAGTTTCCTAAGAAGACCATCAAAGAAGTCGCTGAGATGTTTGATGTAATAGTTCTTTTTTTCTTTTACATTCTAATTTGATTGCATAGTTTATTCTAACCAACTTTTAAATGGTTCTATTTTCAGACTGGGAGGGTTAAGGTGCTCTGTACAATATATGATATTGACAGAGATTGGTCGTGGTATTATATTGCCTGTAGGAAGTGCAATAAGAAAGTGTCTAAGGTTGTCACAACTTCTCTCAAGCCACAATTCTGGTGTGACTCTTGCCGATCACCTGTGTGCAATGTGGTTGCAAGGTATGGTTCATAATCTAATGATATATTAATGATTTATTTGTTACTGAAATGTCTAATTGTAACGATGAACTCAACAGGTACAAGCTACATGTTAAAGTAATGGATTCAACTGGTGAGATGAAGCTGATGCTTTTTGATAGTATGGCTTCTGAGATTGTTGGCTGTCCAGCAAACAGTCTCCTTGATGGATCTTTCGATGAGTTTGAGGACCCAGAGAACCTACCTGATGCGATCAGACATTTGACTGGTAAGACATACCAGTATCTGGTCTGTGTTGAGAATGAAAATGTGTGGAATGGACTGGATACTTATAAGGTATCCAGAGTTCTTGCTAATGATTGTGTTGGAGAGGAAGATCTACCAGATGATTCAATTGATCAGGTATGGAATATTCTAAATTTTGTCTGAGGTCCTACCCCCTATGATTTGAGAAGAATTCGATATATCAATAATCCTAATCTTATTATGGTTTAGACTCAGGGGAGCCTGCTGCTTACCTACTCTGGAGAGCCTTCAGAGACTACTACTCCATCTTCTAAGAGGAGTAGTGACAGTTCTCTGTCACCAGCTGATAATTCTTCTACAACTAAGAAACTTTGTCTTGAGTCAATCAACGTTGTGAAGATAAAGCAAGAGAAGGGTGTGAAGACTAATGAAGATAAAGTCGATGGAGTCAAGCTCGAGTGTGTTGCTGTGAAGCAGAATGAAGAGAACACTGATGAAGACAAAGTCAATTTGGACAAGCTCAAGGGTTCTGATGTTAAGCAGAAGAACAAGAATATGAAGTAGTTGACATCCAGCAATGTTTTTTCTTTTTGGAGTTGTGTTTTCAATAAGTGGTTTATGTTAGCAGTTTCCACATTTGCTTCTGTTTTCTAAAATTTGGAATGTTATTTGGTTCTATTGGTTTTTCTTACAGTTCATATCTATTGTTTTTCCTTTATATTTTAATTTGGTTCATATATTCAAAAGCAACTAAACGACAAAAATGTTTCTTTTCAAATAACAATACCCTGTAAAACTTCCCAAAACCAATCAGAGGGATCTTGAAAACAAAAACCAAGATGAAATAACTCTGTCAACAAAATCAATCAATGGTCAAATTGTTTTCCAAGATTTTGAAATTTTGAAAAAATAACAAAAGAATTTAATGATATTGTGCCTCTTTTAAAAAATCCTTGATGCATATATAGATAAGTCTTTCACCAGTTACAGAACCACCAAAGAAATCAAAGAAAAAAAAAAAAACAGGTCTCAAAGACAGAATGGTTTTGGTTAGTTCTTTGTCTGATTTGCAACGTAGGATGACGAATTGCATGGTTTATGTTAAGATAATGTCCATATGGAATCATCCTCCAAAGAATAGAGATGAAATTACAACCATGATCATGGCTGATGTGAAGGTATTGAAGATCTAACCACAAAATTATTTCGTTATTATCTTACTTCTTAACAGATCTAAACTTACGCTAATAAGAAACCTCTGATTTAGGGGAAACGCATGGATGCTACAATTCCAACAAGAGTATACAATGCAAATTACAGAACAAAACTTAGAGAAGGAGAATGGTACCTTTTGTCAGACTTTAAGGTTGTACTTCCTACAAGGAGTGTAAGGTACTCACAGCATCCATTTGAGATTGAGTTTACCTGCAAAACATCAATGGACCATGTTAGGTCTAGATCCAGATGGAATTTCTTCCACGAATATGATTTTCATATGATCAAAATTGCAAAGCCTGAGGAAAAAAAATTTGTTGTTGGTAAGTTATTATTACATATTTTAGTGTATCTAATTTTTTCCATTATGTCTGTATTCATTTTCTAATGTATATCAAACATCTAACTTACTAACTGAATTAACAAACAATTCAGATACCATTGGATTGATTCACAGTGTTGAGCCTGTGGAAATTCTGCCTTGGGTTACTAGACCTGGTGAATCACATGAAGAGAAGAGATACATAACATTCACCATCAAGGATACTTTGTAAGAGTTTTTGCATAAACAATTTTTTGTTAATTATTTTAAAATCTTTTGTGGAGATAGGTGAAAGACTTAGGTAGCATTTTAGACTAATTCTCTACTGTATATTGAAAAATTGTAGGGGACGGTTTATGAATTGTGTTGCATTAGGCAAAGCTGGTGAGGATTTTCTTTTGCAATGGGAAGAAAGGGTAAGTCGTGTGCAATACACTCATGAGAAGATAATTGCTTCACTTCGATTTTGGAGGATCTCTGAGTATAAAGGTAATTTTATACCACTGTGATAAGACATTTTAAGTTAGTTTCCAACACTGAATGCTAACCTGATGATCTTTTGTTTTAGGTAACCCATGCTTGCTCGCAGATGAGGGTTGTTCTAGGACATTTATTGACCCAAATTTCCCGGATTTTGACCTATCTCACTATATGTAAGCTTAAATATGTTTTAGATGCATATATAGTTATTCTCTTCATAATATTTTTAATGTTACATTCTTATTTCTATTCAATACAGTTCTGCATTCTCTATTTCCGAAGAAGAAGAACTGAATGAAGAGGTGGTTGATTCCAACTTCTAGATCAATATGAAGCATGGAATTACTTTTCTTACAAATCTCATTACAACGTATCTTTTCATGGCTATGTAATGCTTCTTTAAATGTTTCTTTAATCACTGGAAAACATACATCAGTGTTCTTATTATGTTGGTTTGATATTTCTCTAATAACTTTTTCTTAATTTTATAAGTTTTTTCATTTGTTTTTTTCCTATTGGTTCTTTATGTTTTTAAGTTGAATCCTTCATCTTAATTCAATATATGATGCTTAAGGTATGTTCCAAGAAGCTAAATTAAATAATATAGTAAAAAAAGACTTACTTTTATGGTATTCTTCAGCATGTATTTTCCAACTGCACCATAAGCTTAATGCACCTAATCCTGTCAAAATGAATCAAATATGTAATTTTTACGGTTTATTCTCATCGAGATTAAGGTAACATACAAATATTCTCTTCTTACCAAATACACAAATGTAAATATATTAATATTTCAGAAAAATAATAACAAATATACGGTTAAGAGAATAAAAATCTTAACAGTGAGAGAAGTATGGAAACTCTAAATATATCAAATCATTGTTATAATTACTTTTCCATTTTCAATGCTAATGTCAGTCCATATGTAATCATCACTTATAGATAATATTGAACTTTTATTGTTTTTTTAGTCTTAAACGTTTCATATATCTAGATTAGGAACTTCTCTTCATAAATATATAACAAGATCTCCACAGAAGTAGTCACAGGGAAACCCTAAATCTAAAAACATTTTCCTCAATTCTAAAAGTTTCTCTTAAATATGGAACCTCATCATTACCTTTCTGATTTGAATGTTCATGCAACTAGATGGTTGGTGCATGTGAAGATATTAAGTTTATGGAAAGAACCTACTTCTTTTTGGAGGACAGAGATCAAAATGATATTGGCTGACGAGAAGGTATAAAATTCTATGACTTATGTTTCTTTGTTTTGCTAAAACTCATGCCAAAATTTTTGATTTCAAAAGGGAAACAGGATCGATGCAACCATTCCAAATCGCCATTACCACTGGAATTTCCTGGCTGTATTGAAACCAGGGTTATGGTATCGCATGTCTGACTTTGAGGTTGTGCGTCCTGATGCGAAGAAAACCAAATATTCTTGCTTCCCAGTCGAAATCAAATGCATCGCAGACACTACCATGTGGCCTATTACAAAGGAATGTCCTTACAGTTTTTTTGATTTTGTTTTCCCACAAACTGTTGAATTTGCACAGGGAGAGGACAAAGAGTTTGTGACTGGTAAGAGATTTTGTAATGTTAGACAGTTTTAGATTATAAAAACCTTACTGAACTCTTTTTTATCTTTATATCATGTCTTTAGATGCTATTGGTGTTGTCAAGGCTGTGACTACCATCAAACGGTTTCCTTATGTCTGTCAGAATGGAGGGACAGATTATGAGTCAAGATATGTGGCTTTCAAGTTAGTGGACTATGAGTAAGTTTGACTTCAATTAAGTTTGTAAAATCCAGTGTTGTTATTTTCATATCATCTGAAATTCTTTTTTTACATAAAAGTTTTGTTCAAACATACTATAGGGGTAAGGAAATCAAGTGTTGTGCTGTTGGTAGGTGCTGTGAGTTGTTTGTAATCAAATATGCTCAACAAATCAGTAAGATTACTTACAACTACCAACCTATAGTCGCTGTTCTCCGAGGGTGGAGAATCAAAGAGGTTTTTGGTAAGTTTTTCTATAGAACTTTCATGAGGATAATTTGTTTTGTCTATAGTTCAAGGGTTCTGATGTTAAGCAGAAGAACAAGAATATGAAGTAGTTGACATCCAACAATGTTTTGTCTTTTTGGAGTTGTGTTTTCAATAAGTGGTTTATGTTAGCAGTTTCCACATTTGCTTCTGTTTTTTAAAATCCGGGAAATTTATTTGGTTCTATTGGTTTTGTTTTGGTTTTCCTTACAGTTCATATCTATTGTTTGTGTTTGTGTTTGTGTTTTTATATAAAGGTATCAAGTTAGCGGTTTTAGTTAGTCTAAAAGAGTATTGATCAGTCTAAACAGAGTACTTCTGTCTATATTTGTTATTAACTATACAGCACTTTCATCCATGAATTTAGGTTCAAATGTTTTAATGAGTGAACATGGTTGTTCCCATCTCTACCTAAACCCAAGGTTTCCGGATGTAGATGTCCCAAGATACATGTAAGATTCAATTCTAGCTTATGATTCAAAAAACTACCTTCTTTTGTTCTGTTTCTACACTCACTCTTTGTGGAATTTACACAGTCGTGATTTCATGGAGAACCAAAGAGCTGACGCTGACAATGTCATGATGGAGGTGGTTGCAGAGAACCAGTAGATGTTCATTGCTGTTTGGTGGAGGACCTATGTTTAATTATGTTCTGTTTTATGTTTTCCTATTGCAGTTTCAGTATTGAACTCTTTTGTTTTTGTTTATGCAAACATTTGGTCACTAATTGATGACCCGAGTTCATATGTAATAAGTGAAACTCTATTTTATTACGTATACTTCTATCTATATCATGATAGATTCAAGCTATTTTCTAAAACTTTTTGTTTTACTATTCTAGAACAAAATGCATTGTTACAAAGCTTTATTTATCATTAACCATTATATGGTAACTTACTACAACTACTACATACAATTAAAAGTTTGTCAATGATCCTATTGAAGCTATTATCAAAGCAGTTTACGGAGAATTGGGTTTGTTGCAGCCTAATAATGATCCTAAATTCTTTCAAGAGAGAGCTATATTGTGTCCAAGAAATAGTGATGTCAACACCATCAACGACATCATGCTTGAGAAACTTAATGGTAAGAATTACGTTTTAATACTATAATCTTTAACTGTATATGTATAAGAAACTTATCTAACAAATTTTCCCTAAACAGGTGAAGCAATGACTTATTTAAGTGCAGTATTTTCTCAATGGTCAGCTGTATGTTGCCTTATCAAGAGTCACTTCCAAAAAAGGTTTGAAAGTTCTTATTGTGGATAAAGAAGGAAAAACTCAGAGTCAAACAATGAATGTCGTCTTCAAAGAGATCTTTCAGAACCTAAGGAATTAGGATAGTTTTAGTGTTTTTGCTTATGTTATTTAACTTTGCAGATGTTTTGTAGTGTTTTTTAGAACAGCAAGTTCCTTTCCATAGTCATTTTAATCCAAACATAATCAGACTCTCTTCAACTACATTAGTGTAAGTTTTAGAGTTCATTTCAAGACAACCTATGTCGTGTTTTAACATTTACGACAAAATCAAGAAAGCTTAGTTCAATTATAACTCCGATTGAGACAAACAACAACTTCAATTTGTGTCTAAAACTGAAACAACATATCCGAAACTAACTTTATAGAAATGATTATTGCTTTAATTGTCGTCGATTATCATAATTTGATCTCAAAATATTTTCAGATGGTTCTGTTCTTGACTGATCTCCACTCCCAGATTTCTAGCAGAAACCAAATCATCATCTCAAATTCTTTATCCGAATCCTATATGAAATCTGAAAAAGGTAATTGATCACAGAATAGAGATCCCGATTAGATCCTCAAATTATTACAGATGCTAAAAATTTTTGAAACAATTCAATTGAATTACAATGAAGCTTACAAATTTAGAAGAATTGGCGCAGAGAACATATCGATTTTTGTGAGCTTATGATCGGATAATCAGCTTCTTCGGTATCATCGTCAATGCTTAAGCATGTCAATGGATGTTAACTTTCGGTGGAGAACGAGAATCATCGTTCTCATATGTTTGTTTGTTTTTTTTTTTTTTGTCATTGAATACTAAACTTATGTTTCTTTAATTTTAAAAAAAATTGAATTTTAATTTTATTTGTTTACTTTATCTTCAATTTTTATAAAAAATAATTATAAATGTTAGAATCTTTGTTATGCTAAAAACATATGAAAAACCATATAGTAAAAGAACACTTAGAGCATCATTATTGGGGGGGCCTTAATTTTGGTTCTTAGTAAGAGTCATGTCTCTTAGCCCAAATTTTGGCTCTTAACTAAGAGTCATTCTTAGCAATTTGTTGATTAAAACCTTTAATTTTAATTTTTTTTAACCTAAGAACTAACTTAAGAACCCACCAATAAGGATGGTCTTATAATCTAAAAAACAATTACACCACTTTTACTATTTCACATTTTAATAACTACTTTACTTATATTAAAATTACAAACACATTTTATAATTAATACACCTATTTAAACACATTAAATCACATTCTTCTAATTATTAAATAACAACCAACCAATACAAAATACCAATTATTAGTTATAAATATTCAAATTTAAAAACAAATTTTATAAATTATGTATATAAAACATAATCAACTACTTAATAAGAAAACCAAACAAAACCTACGCCCGCGGGATACCGCGGGTTAAATCCTAGTTTGGATTCTATTTTGGAAGTGCTTCCCAACTTGATAACATTGATAAATATATTTACAAATGTTCAAAAGATTCACCGTTTGTGTAGATAATACGTAGACCGTTCGTCCTTCCACGTCACAAGAAGAAATTCACAAAGACAGAAATAAATAATGAAATAGCAAATAAAATAAAACGAAAGTGACGTGAGATCAGTCGCCGCCCAGTTCATCCCATCAAAAGCTTCCACTTGCCCTTTTGCCGTCTTCCTCTCTCTCTCTCTTTGCTCTACTATTTTCATTTTGCTTTTTACTGTTTTTTTCTATAAATAATTTAGTTTCATCATTACATTATTTGGTAAAACGTATGACTTTTTTTGTAGCAGCTAGCTGGTGACTAGACTAAGATCTGTAAGATCACTAATTTAAATTGATTTTCTTATGTTTTAATCAATTTAAGTTGAAGATGTGGTAATCCAAAAACAAAAGATGTGCGAACGTTAGGTTAAGTAATTTTGTGTTAAATACTAAAACTAGTAAATATGGATCTATCATTAGCTAAATATATGCATCCGACATTCTAATTGTTTTTTATAGTATGATTATACGTGGTCTCTGCATGTGATTTTCTAACAAAAATTATCAAAATAAATTTATTTAGTCTGGAATATAGACTACAGAGTCTCGACCCTCGTGCTCGTCTCTCTCATACATTTCCTCACTCGTCTCTCTCATCTTGACCTCTATATCTGTGTCGTGTCCTCTCTCTTTCTCTCTCTATCTATCTCTCAAACCCTAGAGGAAGGAGTTAAAAGACGAGAGACCTTCCACTATTTCCAAAGTCGTGAAATCACCAGAGATAAATCTCTCTCTCATCCAAAAGCCTTCACGAGTCCCCAAAGAGAAAAAAAACCCTATTTCCAAAGATGAAGAACAATAACAACAAATCTTCTTCTTCTTCTAGCTATGATTCTTCTTTGTCTCCTTCTTCTTCATCTTCCTCCCACCAGAACTGGCTCTCTTTCTCTCTCTCCAATAACAACAACTTCAATTCTTCCTCAAACCCTAATCTCACTTCCTCTACATCAGATCATCATCATCATCCTCACCCTTCTCATCTCTCTCTCTTTCAAGCTTTCTCCACATCTCCAGGTTCTCTTTCTCTCACCCTCTCTCAACTTATTAGTGTTTTTGTCTTTTGAAAATTTTGTATGAATTAGGACAGACCAACTTTGTGTTCTGTTGCACCTAGACCACTTCCTTACCTTTTTTGGTTTAACTAAACTTTTGCTTATTTAGATTTAGTAAGGAGTCAATTTTTAATTAGTTATCTCTTTTATCTTCTTCTTTTTTGGTTCGGTGTACTTGAAATCAGTCAAATCTAATCTAGTGTATCCTACTATCTATAAGATCTAGTTAAAAATTAAAAATCTATTAGTTTTCCCTATAGAATCTTTCACTAGATATTGTCTCCTTCAAAGTAAAACACTAATTACTTTAATACCCTCGTAAAACGAAACCAAATTTCAGTCGAACGGCAAGATGGGTCACCGGGAGTTTCAACCGGCGATGCCACGGCGGTTCTTTCCATTTACCCCGGCGGTCCTAAACTTGAGAACTTCCTCGGCGGAGGAGCCACAACGACGACAACAAGATCAATGCAACAAGTGCAATCTCTCGGAGGCATTGTCTTCTCTTCCGACCTACAGCCACAGCTTCATCCTCCCTCCGCAGCCGAGATCTACGACTCTGAGCTCAAATCAATAGCCGCTAGCTTCCTCGGAAACTACTCCGGTGGACACTCGTCAGAAGTCTCTAGCGTTCATAAGCAACAACAGAACCCTCTTATTGTTTCAGAGGCTTCACCCACTCCGAAGAAGAACGTAGAGAGTTTCGGACAACGTACTTCGATTTATAGAGGAGTCACAAGGTGCGTATAACCAAATTATCCGTGTATTTCATATGATTAGACGATAATATAACATTTATTGTACATTAATATTTAAACATATGTCTTTATATGTGTAATTTCATGAGTTTATTATTAGTGAAAATGTATAATTGAATTTTGATTAATTTTATCAGACATAGATGGACTGGAAGATACGAAGCTCATCTATGGGATAATAGTTGCCGAAGAGAAGGCCAAAGTAGAAAAGGAAGACAAGGTACATTCTTGTCTTAAAATGCGCGTGTTAGGAAGATTCAGTTGATGTTTACTATAATGCGCATCTTGTATTTATATTTTTACTTTTACTTTTACTTTTTACTTGTGAGGTCATGGCAAAATCTAACGTCGCTTTTTATGTTGTGTTTTGTCTCTGTGACGTGAAATGATTACCCAACCGTGGACGATCTGAAATTTGTGATGATTTTAATTGTTTCTGCAGTTTACTTAGGTGAGTTCCAATAAATTCTCTTTTAAATAATTTATTTCATCATCGTATTTATATCTCTTTCTTGTCTATTTAATTCCCTCTGAAACGTTATCATTCTCTCTCAATTTTAAATTTGCATATTTTGAAATGTTTTTTTTTGGTTATGTACAGGTGGTTATGATAAAGAAGAGAAAGCAGCTAGAGCTTACGACCTTGCAGCTCTTAAGTATTGGGGTCCTACAACTACGACTAATTTCCCGGTAATTTGTCTTTCATTTTTGTTTGTCTATCTGAATTTTTCAGGATTGTTTTTTACTTTTTTAGTTGATTAATTTTCTGGATAAATACTTTTGATTAGATATCAAATTACGAGTCTGAACTTGAAGAGATGAAACACATGACTCGACAAGAGTTCGTTGCTTCTCTAAGAAGGTAATCATGTTATTTGTGATCTGTTTTTTCTCATAGTTGTTCCAAGGAAATCAATTTATTTGAAAACCAATATACGTTTTTTTTATTAAAGGAAAAGCAGTGGATTCTCTAGGGGTGCCTCCATGTACAGAGGTGTCACTAGGTTAGTTTATTCTCTAACCAGTAGATATTTATTTTCAACGTTAAGTTCTATGAAATAGTCTTTAGTGTATGTTTCTAATAAAATGATATAACTTTATTACAATAATGCAGACATCATCAGCATGGTCGATGGCAGGCACGAATTGGAAGAGTTGCCGGCAACAAAGACCTTTATCTTGGCACATTTAGTTAGTCCCATTTCAATATTTTTATGAATCTGATTTACAATATTTGTTATGATTATGTTTTAACAGAGAGTAATTGGATATTAAACTTCAGGCACTCAAGAGGAGGCTGCGGAAGCTTATGATATAGCAGCGATCAAATTCCGCGGTCTAAATGCAGTCACCAATTTCGACATCAGTCGATATGATGTCAAATCGATTGCTAGTTGTAATCTCCCTGTGGGTGGACTAATGCCTAAGCCGTCCCCAGCAACTGTAGCGGCTGACAGAACTGTTGATCTATCTCCATCCGACACTCCATCTCTAACGACACCGTCCCTGACCTTCAATGTGGCAACACCGGTCCATGACCATGGAGGAACTTTTTACCACACTGGAATACCAATCAAACCAGACCCGGCTGATCATTATTGGTCCAGCATCTTTGGATTCCAGGCAAACCCGAAAGTCGAGATGCGACCAATAGCAACCTTTGGGCCGGATCTTCATAACCCCTCTCCAGGTTATGCTATAATGCCAGTAATGCAAGAAGGCGAAAACAACTTTGGTGGTAGTTTTGTTGGGTCTGAAGTGTATAACAATCATTCCGCTCATTCGAGCCCGGTCTCAGCAATTCCGCTGTCATCGACAACGAATGGTAATGAAGCGTATGGTGGAAACATAAACTGGATTAATAACAACGTTTCAGATTCTTACCAAACTGCAAAGTCTAATCTCTCTGTTTTGCAGACACCAGTTTTTGGGTTAGAATGAGTTCTCTCATCTTTGAGACCAAAAAAAAGGATGTAGGAAAGATAAAAAAAAGGCTCTGTTTGAAGAAATCAGATATTTTCTTCTTAGATTATTTAAGTAGTTTAAAAAATATACTTAAAAAGTTTTTCACTTTTATGTTTGTCTGCTGACCACGAATTTAGCTGGATCTGACAGTACTAACTCTTTGTTTAATGACCTTATGGGTTCTTTTTCCACTTTCCAGAACTTTTATCTACTTTTTTCTTTTTTTTTTTCATTTTTTATGTTGTGTGGACAATATGTGAATAAATGAAAGGTGAAAATCAAACCATCTTCGGTAACTTAAGGGCTTGAATGGAGAGGTGGGAAAAAAGCAGTTCTTCCGGTGGAGCAGATCATACGCACACTAGTCACCATTCAGCATTATATAACAATTACAAAACGTTTCATTTTGAGAAATAATATAATATTAATGTACCACTTGCAGTACAATTCCTAGAGTAAAAATACACTGTACTTTACGGATCTTGTTCCATTGGAAATAAGAGGTGGTCCATGCGTTTCCTCCGCCTATGAACATCTTTTATTTTTGTTATTATAATTTTTTATTCGTTAAAAATAATATAGGTAGTTAAATTAAAATCATACTTCTCCATTAACATTATTCACTTTCTTCATTTACCAAAAATACTTAATTTTTTATTCTTCTCATTATCATAAATAACAAATAATTTTTTCTTTTTCTTTTTCTTTTCAATAAATAATTTTATATTGCCATTCACCATTTTCATTCATTTACAAAACAGTTTTTTTTTTTAAATAATAAAATATTATATACATGTATAATAATATATTAAACCAGTATTACAAATATACTTTAATATAATTGTTTTTAGTATGTATAGTTTATGTAAAATATTTTATTTAAAATTAACATTTTTTACAATATAAATATTTCACCCACACTGCGTGATCCGCTTTTACCATTCAACACAAATTTAAAGCGTTCGAACCGCGTGATCCGCTTTTGTTCCGCCAGATCTGCTTGATCCGCTTTTGTTCTGCTTGATACGCTTGATTCGCTTGATCCGCTCCGCCCGATACGCTTTCTCCATTCGGAGCCTAAATATCGTCTGCATGGTGTAGTTTCGTCATTTTATTTTTTGTTATTATTGTATCTGAAACTGCAAATGTATGAAGTAAAGCCTTTTTTTTTTTTTGTGACATCCTTTTGAAGAAGGCCTTTTAATTTATCTATATTTGTCACAATGTGATCAGGGAAAGAGATAGTCGTCATCTGGATCTTTCTACGTTCGAAATTTCTTCTTGGAATTCAACCTCTGAAACTAAGTGGTTTGGAAATTATACTTTGGTTTTGATCAATGGTGGTATATACACACACTAAAGTGAAAGAAAAATTGTTTTGTTCACTTGCACGTCGGAGGATCATCGGAATTCATCAACACAAGTGTTAATATTAAGTGACTCTAAATCGTATATTAAGTGGTCTAGTTTATTTATTTTTCAACAGTGTGTCAAAGACCAAACGGTAGATGAAAGCGTCCAAAATATTGTACGGACAGTTTAGCGTGAGATGTTAAACCAGTGCACCACGATGACCATCACCAAAGAAAATCTTCCTATCTATCCTATGAAGAAAAAAGAAACAAACTTCAGATGAAAAAAACACATTTATTTTGGTAGTTAGCTAATAACAAAGAAAAGACTGGTTACATGGCAAATACCTTTTTTTGGTATCTGGACCGTCTTCATGGGCAAACTAAATTGTTAATGGAGGATATATTAGTGCTTGTATAATAGCTTTTTTTTTTTTTTTTTTTTGAGCAAAGATGAAAACCAATTTTAAAGATGAGCTACGGCAATTGATTATTTAAGGAAATCTTTTGCATCGGTTGATTTAGAAAACCAAGTTTCTCCTCCTATTTTCCGTGGAATTGTAGTTTTAGTGTTGTTCTAACGGGACTTCTCATATTCATGTGCTGCAAAAAAAAAAAAAAAAATTGTGATAGTTGTCTAAAAATCTGCATTTTTGAAACTTCATAAAAACTAATAATCCTTTTCTCACAAATCTAAACTCAAAATTCTTAAATTATACAATTGTTTTAGACTTAGCCGTAGTTTATACCGCGATATATAGTTTGGTTTTACGCCGGAATCAAAACGGAATCGATAAGAACCGAACCAAATCCAAATCAAAATTTTAAAATATCTGAATGGATTTTAAGCTCTAAAACCGAAACACCGAAACCCCTCAAAAGTATGGAACCGGAATCGAACAGAATACCCAAATACAAAAGACTAGTTTGTACACTAATATCAACATTATCACAATCACTTCTCCTCTCTTGTTATCAGAATTTGGGTTGCAAGAGAAGGAAAAAATAAAACCTTTTCGTAACGGAAAAAAATAATATTATTTTAATAAAATATCAAATGTTTTATGATAGTAGTAAATAAAAATAATTTTATTGTAACATATAAGGAAGGAGTCATAAGCGATATCCTAGAAAATATACATATATATACAATAAGTCCAGCATTGGTTAACTTACAGGTCAAATCAAAGCATTTGCGTATATAATATCTTCGAAAGCACGTGAAGATATTTGGATATTTCCAACTTTTTTTTAACATTAAAATATACAAAAACCAAAATTCTAAAGAACTAAAAAAAAAGCTCTCAGAGCAGAAGATTCATCCACGAGAGGGTTTCCTTATTACCACACTGGAATACCAATCAAACCAGACCCGGCTGATCATTATTGGTCCAGCATCTTTGGATTCCAGGCAAACCCGAAAGTCGAGATGCGACCAATAGCAACCTTTGGGTCAGATCTTCATAACCCCTCTCCAGGTTATGCTACAATGCCGGTAATACAAGAAGGCGAAAACAACTTTGGTGGTAGTTTTGTTGGGTCTGAAGTGTATAACAATCATTCCGCTCATTCGAGCCCGGTCTCAGCAATTCCGCTGTCATCGACAACGAATGGTAACGAAGGGTATGGTGGAAGCATAAACTGGATTAATAACAACATTTCAGATTCTTACCAAACTGCAAAGTCTAATCTCTCTGTTTTGCAGACACCAGTTTTTGGGTTCTCTCATCTTTGTGACCAAAAAAAAGATGTAGGAAAAAAAAAGGCTTTGTTTGAAGAAATCAGATATTTTCTTCTTAGATTATTTAAGTAGTTAAAAAAAAATATTTTTAAGTTTTTCACTTTATGTTTGTCTGCTGACCGCGAATTTAGCTGGATCTGACAGTACTAACTCTTTGTTTAATGACCTTATGGGTTCTTTTTCCACTTTCCAGAATTTTTTTTATTTGTTTTTATTTTTTATGTTGTGTGGACAATATCACAATATGTGTATAAAATGAAAGGTGCAAATCAAACCATATTCGGTAGCCGACAAAAAAAAAAAAAAACCATATTCGGTAACTTAAATATCGTCTGCATGGTGTTGTTTCGTCATTTTATTTTTTTGTTATTATTGTATTTTTTTTTTGTCAATCAAACACCATATATTAATTCACGGAACAGAATTCTCTTCTAGAGGGAGTCACACGGATACCGTCGAACTTACATGGGAAAACCAAAATCTGCGATCTCTTGCACTTTTCGTATTACTACTACGAGGGATATGCTTCAAACTAAACGAAGAAAATAAATCTCTGTAATAAACAAAATCCAACAACTCTGTAGAAAACATGGGCCACGCCTCCGGATTAGAAGTCATCTCTAACTGATCCGAGCAATCCGTCAAAATGAGTATACTCGTCATAGGGATCGCCACTAAGCACTTCATCGTCCACAATAGGATCTCCAGTTCCGCATGAAAGGGAGAAAGACTTCTGCGCGAGCCTTTTAATCCTAAGTGCAACAATCTTCCTCCATAACGAACAAGCCATCCATGCCCACTCCTAACATCCGTCCCGTGCCAGGACCCATCAATATAGCAAACCGGTCTATCCTCGGGAATTGTCGTCATTTGCAGGCTATGTTCCGTCGCGGCCTGGGGATCTTCTTGAAGATTTGCTCGCCTCCACGCCCCTTCCTCTTGAATTGCTAGGTCTAAAGTTTCTTGAGGTGGTACACACAGGTTCTCAAAAATCTTGCGATTGCGCGCCTTCCAAATATACCACATGATCAATGGAAATACTCTTAGGCTCTCTTCATCCGCACCGTCTCTTTACCCCGCCAATACAGATAATCTAAATTATTGTAGACTGAAGGTGAAGGAAATAAGGCTAGCGGAGGGAATATTAGAGAGGGCACAGACTTGTCTAGCCGGGGGCATTCAAAGATCAAGTGATTGATTGTTTCTTCTGCTGCACCACATCTTGAACATCCTTTATCTCTACCAATATGGCGATAAAATAGTCGTTGACACGAAGCCAAACAACCAGTCACACAATGCCACACGAAATGTTTTAATTTTTGCGTAGTTTTTAATTTCCAAGCTTGCGCCTTTAGAGTCGTAACACTAGGTCCCTGAGAAGGATGGTCACAAACAGGGCGAGAAATATTTCTTGCGGTCTCGTATCCAGTTTTGACGATGTAATTACCAGACTTTGTCATTGTCCAACAATAGCCATCGCTCGAGACTTTAAGGCTCGGTTTAATCCCTAATATGAGGGTAATTTCTTCCGGAGGGAACAACTCCCGGAGATGGTCCAACTTCCACTGTTTAGTCCCGAAGTCTATCAAAGTGTTGACATATGTCAAAGGGTCTCTTTCAATCATTAGTCCCTTAGGTGGTCGCGTCGGAGAATCTAGTATCCAAGGATCGGTCCAAATACAGGTTCCAAACCCGGAGCCAATGGTCTTGCGGATTCCAGATTTAAGAACGTCTTTGGCAGCTAGCATGCTTCTCCAACCATACGACGGTCGATTTGAGTCAGTGATCTCTAGCGAACTAGAATACCGGAAGTAACGTCCGTTAAAGACCCTACTAAGGAGAGAATCCGGGAATCGTAATAATCTCCATAATTGCTTCGCTAAAAGTGCGAGATTAAAATCTTCCAAGGACCTAAATCCTAAACTTCCTTCAGATAGTTGAGTACAAATTTGGTCCCAAGCAATCCAGTGTATTCCTCGACTCTCTGCTTTATTACTCCACCAAAAGTTGGCAATCGCACTAGTAAGTTTAGAACATATTGCTTTTGGCAGTAGGAAGCACGACATTACATATGCCGGAAGGGCTTGTGCTTGTGATTTAATTAGGACTTCTTTGCCACCTTTAGAAATGAATTTTAACGACCACGAGTTCACTCTTGTTTGTAATCTATCTCTCACAAACGCGAAGACTTGGGCTTTTGATCCATGGATTTTCTCAGGGAGACCTAAGTATGTTCCCATCCCGCCTTCACGTGAAATCCCAAGAATTGTTTTGATTTCCTGCCGTACGGGGGATGGGACCTCATTACCGAACATAATGGATGATTTAGTTAGATTAACCTCTTGCCCAGATACCCCGCCATAAGAACGGATGATGTCAATAACTTCTTTACTCTGTTCGACATTAGTTTGACAGAAGAATAAGCTATCATCTGCAAACAAAAGATGTGAGACACGGGGACTCGCATGAGATATTCGAAGCCCCTGAATTTTGCCTTCCCTCTCAGCCTTTCTAATCTGTGCGATAAGTGCTTCCGTACATAAGATAAATAGATACGGAGAAATTGGGTCCCCTTGACGAATGTCTCGAGATGGTCTAATCCGACCTTTTGGATCGCCATTAATCAAAATCCGATATGAAACTGAGGTAATGCATTGCATTATCCAGTTTATCCATCTATGGTTGAAACCCATCTTTTCTATCAAAGCTCGGAAGAACCCCCACTCCATTCTGTCATAAGCCTTGCTCATATCCGTTTTTAGTGCCATAAACTTTTTCCGATTTGCCGGATTAGAGCGAAGTGCATGGAAGTTTTCTTGGGCGATCAAAATATTGTCAGTAATTAATCTTCCTGCAACGAATGAAAATATTGTCACTCATCTTTGTGACCAAAAAAATAATGTTGGAAAAAAAAAAGGCTCTCTTTGAAGAAATCAGATATTTTCTTCTTAGATTATTTAAGTAGTTTAAAAAAAATATTCTTAAGTTTTTCACTTTATGTTTGTCTGCTGACCACGAATTTAGCTGGATCTGACAGTACTAACTCTTTGTTGAATAATGACCTTATGGGTTCTTTTTCCACTTTCCAGAACTTTTTTTTTTATTTTTATAATTTTATGTTGTGTGGACAATATGTGTATAAATGAAAGGTGCAAATCAAACCATATTCGGTAACTTAAATATCGTCTGCATGGTGTTGTTTCGTCATTTTATTTTTTTGTTATTATTGTATCTGAAACTGCAAATGTATGAAGTAAAGCCTTTTTATTTTATTTTGTGATGACATCCTTTTGTAGAAGGCCTTTTCATTTATCTATATTTGTCACAATGTGATCAGAGAAAGAGAGTCATCTATCTTTCTACGTTCGAAAATTATAATTTGCATCCATATAGTCTTTCGTAACTAACATTTAACCTTTTTTCCTGATTTGATTTTCGTCCATGCTGATCTCTTCCCAAATTTGTGTCCAAGTGTTAGCACATTTCTCTCTTCCAGTTGTTTTAATATGTTACTGCAAGTGAACTTTCGTTAACTTTTTTGCTTTGCAAATGCTAGCGCAATTTATTTGTTACTTATACCACGAAGGCTAATTAACGATACAATAATATTAAAAACTTTCATCGGCTATGTTATGTTACAAACTTCATATGATTTTTTACGTGTTTACTATGTAAAAGCATTGTTCTTCTTCCTCATTTTGATTATTTATTGTTTCTATATCTAAACAATAAATTATGAAATCTAAACCCTAACTCCAACACTCTACTTATTGAGTTGAAAAATCTAAGATCGATCAACATGACCAAACTAAAAGTATGCGGATTTAAAACTGGTTTGGACCGGATTAGCCCTACCCCACCCCTTATCACCTTATCCCATCTCTTGACGTAAGAGATTTGGAACATGTTCGATCAAAATGATGGCTCATTTAACACATTTTAGTTGAATCCCTCTTTTGATCCACAATACAACTTTCTAACCTGAAATAAGTTGGGTTAAGATATAGAATTATATATCATGTGAATGTTTATGCATGGATATTTTCTACAAAACTAAGTATAGCGTATTTTTCCATGTCTTTGTCATAATCACTCGTTCATGAATTCTATCATATTAATCGAATATGGATTCTTGATTATTAATTCTTTTGCCAAAAAGTCACTCGTCCCAAGAATTAGTTGAAGAAATCCTACATGGGATGCTAATAACAAAGAAAAGACTGGTTACATGGCAAATACCTTTTTTTGGTATTGGACCGTCTTCATGGGAAAACTAAATTGTTAATGGAGGATATATTAGTACTTTGTATAATAGCCATAATGTAACCTATTAAAGTATTTGTAGAATGAAAGTACTACACTAATTTTAAAGATGAGCTACGGCAATTGATTATTTAAGGAAATCTTTTGCATCGGTTGATTTAGAAAACCAAGTTTCTCCTCCTACTTTCCGTGGAATTGTAGTTTTAGTGTTGTTCTAACGGGACTTCTCATATTCATGTAATGCAAAAAAAAAAATTAAAAAATTGTGATAGTTGTTTAAAAATCTGCATTTTTGAAACTTCATAAAAACTAATAACCCGTTTCTCACAAATCCAAACTCAAAATTCTTAAATTATACAATTGTGTTAGATTTAGCCGTAGTTTATACCGCGATATATAGTTTGATTTTACGCCGGAACCAAAACGGAATCGATAAGAACTGAACCAAATCAAAATCAAAATTTTAAAATATCTGAATGGATTCTAAGCTCTAAAACCGAAATACCTAAACCCCTCAAAAGTATGGAACCGGAATCGAACAGAATACCCAAATACAAAGGACTAGTTCGTACACTAATATCAACATTATCACAATCTCTTCTCCTCTCTTGTTATCAGAATTTGGGTTGCAAGAGAAGGAAAAAAAGAAAACCTTCTCGTGAAGGAAAAAAATAATAGTATTATTTTATTCATCAGCGATATCCTAGAAAATATACATATACAGAGGTCAAATCAAAGCATTTGCGTATATAATATCTTCGAAAGCCGTGAAGATATTTCCAACTTTTTTTTTAATATTAAAAAATACAATAACCAAAATTCTAAAGAACTTAAAAAAAAAAAAGCTCTCAGAGCAGAAGATTCATCCATTAGAGGATTTCCTCTTAGAAACATCTTTTCCTTTTTACAAAATCCCCAGAAAAGATCTCTAAACTAAACGTAGAAAGAAAGAAAAATCTGAGAAAAAAAACGAAGAACACGAAGAACGGAAAAAAATGCAAGCCGCTTCGGTAAATAGCGGTTTTTTATATTATATTTTATGTATATTGTTATATTTGTTTTTGAAGGTTTCTCATTCGGTAAACAAAACAACCAATCCTCATTTTTTGCTTAATTATTTTACATATTTATATACTGAGTATTTATTTTTTTAATTCAAGAAAATTATCCTCGAACATAAGTTCTTAGTTCTTACAAGAGAAGGAGTATTTCATGGGTTCTCTTTGGGTTGTTTAGAGATAAAAACTTTAAAATAAAAATCGAAATTCTTTTCGATCTTGATTGTTCTTCATCATCGTAACTTCTGTTACATATTTGATCTTTTTTTTCCGTTTTGAGAAAAAATTGTCTGAACTATTATCGGATTGTTGTGATGGTTTTTTTTGGTTCTTGCTTTAACTTTGACACAATTAAACCTTTTGTCTGAAATCGGATCTCTGCAGCTCTCAAAGATCTGGCGTTTTGATGGTAATGTGGGTCCAGAGAACATGGATTCTTCTCCATTTCAAGGTACGATATTTTCTCGACGTGAACGCTCTCTCTCACTGTTGCTAGTTTCATGCGTTTTAGGGCGTTAACACGACGCCGTTTTATTCAATATATTCGTCGTCGTCATTTTGTTTCTGGGTTGTTGTGATTCATTCAAAGTTTGAAACTTTTCATAATTTTTACCCAAAAAAAGATTCAGATAATTGTGATCCTCTCTTTTTTTTTATCTTGAGGAGATTTTTAGGGTTAAAGGATTGGTCTTTTATGGTGGGTGCAGATAATGAATGCGTTGAGACTTGTAAACCAAACGTTTTGAATGTAAGCGAAAGGAGAGAATTGATCCACGCATTGTCTAACCAGCCACAAGAAGCTTCGGAGCTTTTGAATTCATGGAGCAGAAATGAGATCATGAAGATCATATGTGCTGAGATGGGTAAAGAGAGGAAGTACACTGGTCTGAACAAACCAAAACTCATTGAGAATCTACTCAATCTTGTGTCTCGTCCTCTTGGAGAGACTTCTTATTCTGACCGTAGAAACTCGAGGAAGAAGCAGAAGAAGATGATCGGTTACATCATTTGCTGTGAGAATTTAGCTTGTAGAGCTGCGCTTGGAAGCGATGATACGTTTTGCAGAAGGTGTTCTTGCTGCATTTGTCAAAAGTTTGATGATAATAAGGATCCGAGTTTATGGCTTACTTGCGAGGCTTGTGGATCGTCTTGTCATTTGGAATGTGGTTTGAAGCAAGATAGGTATGGGATTGGGAGTGATGATCTTGATGGTAGGTTTTATTGCGCGTATTGCGGCAAAGATAATGACTTGCTCGGGTAAGGTTCTTTCGATATTGAAATCTATGATGGATATACAAATGAAAAGAGATTGTTTGGATAATGTAATGTAATGTGTGTGTGTGTTTGTATGCGAGTGCTTACAGATGCTGGAGGAAACAAGTGAAGGTGGCGAAAGAGACGCGGCGTGTGGATGTACTTTGTTACCGTCTTTCTTTAGGACAGAAGCTGTTGAGAGGTACAAGGCAGTATCGGAATCTGTTGGAACTCATGGATGAGGCGGTGAAGAAGCTCGAAGGTGATGTGGGTCCGTTGTCGGGTTGGGCGATGAAGATGGCTCGAGGTATCGTCAATAGACTTTCGTCGGGATCACAAGTCCAGAAGCTGTGTTCTCAGGCAATGGAAGCTCTGGACAAAGTGGTCTCACCATCGGATTCTGTTTCAGGACAAGGTTAGTGTGTTCATACATTACTTTTGTTTTAAAGTCGAAGCTGTTGACTTTAGTTCTCGTTAGGTGACAAGATGACCGTGATAGTAGAAGAGATTCAAGCAAGATCAGTCACTGTGAGATTAGAGTCCGAGGAGCCGTCTTCTTCTACACAAAACCAGATCACAGGTTTCAGGTTGTTTTGTCGGAAGTCGAAGGACGAAGAGTGCTCGTCTGAGGTGAACTGTGTTGTGTATCTACCTGAAACAAGGTCTACCATCCAAGGACTTGAACCCGACACCGAGTTCTGTCTCAGAGTCGTGTCCTTTAACAAGGAAGATGACTTAGATGAGTCCGAGCTTCAGTTCTCAACATTGAAAGACAATATAGATGAAGCTCGGGACCGGCAAAGCCCTTTGACAAACTCAAGCAGTGGTCTTTGTAGTAATCCATCTTTGCACGAAGATGAATCTAATAATGTCCATAAGAGCTGCAGCGAAGAAAACGGTGACAAGGACAACACCGAACACTGTAATGCAGGAGAAGGAGAATCCGAGCTTGAAGAGGAGAGGCTTGTAAAGAGGAAAGCTAACAAGATAGATGGAAGAGACTTGCTTGTAACACCCTGCAAAAGAGATATTTCTAAGGGGAAGCAAGGAGGGAATAAAAGATTCAAATCAAGAACAATATCAGTGAACGAGAAACCTGAGATCAATAATGCCGCAAATGGGGTAGGAGATAAAGACTTGGGTCAAATTGTGAAGACGATTAGATGTTTAGAGCAAGAAGGACATATAGACAGGAGTTTTAGGGAAAGGTTCTTGACATGGTATAGCTTAAGATCTACTCACCGAGAAGTTAGAGTTGTGAAGATCTTTGTTGAGACCTTTATGGAGGATCTGTCTTCTTTGGGAGAACAGCTTGTGGATACATTCTCAGAATGCATAGTGAGCAAAAGATCATCAACAAGTGGTGTTGTACCTGCTGGAATCTGCCTCAAGCTTTGGCATTAAAGCTTTTGAAATCAGTCTATTTATTAACTTTCTTGATATTCTACACTATAACGATATTTTTGAAGTGAAATTATGTAAGTACGCATTTCCAATTTGTTTCTGACGTCTAGTGAAAACCTCAAAAATGAATAGTCTGAAAGTTAGAGCCGGGAGAGTACACACAAACATTAACACTTTTAAATATCGAAATAGATAACTCATGAGCTGTTTCCAAATTTGGAGAGTACATGTTTGTTCTCTAAAGGACATCAGAACAGAGTCTGGGGAAGAATTGCAGAAACTAGTAACTACTACCTGGGAAATGCAGCTCGAACCCTCATCTTTTTGACTAGTGTTTAAGACAGCGTGACAAGGACCTGCAAGATATGTTCAAAGAAGAGGAAAATTGGTGAGCCGAAGTAAAAAAATGGATAAAGAGACACGACAAGATTCAAGTTAACTATCAAACAAACTGAAACTGGTTAATTTCTTCAGAGTAAATGATGCGGCTTCATGTCCATTTCCAAGGGCAAGTAAATTCTAAATTCAGCCGATTCGTACAACCAGCACTAAGGTGGAAGGATCGTTTTTTTGCAGTGACTCACACAACTTAATCTTGTAAACTTGTAGGATGTTACCGCGGAGTCAAATGTTCCAAGGCATGATAAAAAAAAAACTAAAACTAGTTGATAATGCAAATGACAAAAAGAACCGAGTGAACTATCTATATAGAGCTTGTGAATATATCTCCTGAAACAAAGATCTCTAACTAAATAACTATCAGTGAGCAAGAGTGAGAAGAAAGACCATAATTGAAAGAGGGGCAACAGAATGCTAAGTTGTTAAATCTGAAAAGATGTTGCTGAGTTCATCTTCAATGCAGCCAACAAGTCTAAAACCTAAGTCCTAGTTGTTGAATCATACAACTACAACCTAGACAAAATATCTAAACCTTGAGAAGCTTAGAGTGAAGCCTAACCTTGAGAAGACTAGCGATTACGCTCAGCAGGCAAAGGACGGTTAAATCCACCGCGACGGTTCATGTACTGTCTTGGCTGACGCTTGGTCACAGCTCTAATCCCACTAACATCAGCACCAGCAACTGGTTTACCTTTGGTGGAATCAAATCCAGTAGGAATCCCTAACATCTTCATCATCTCAACCTCATTCACATCCATTCCTTCTTCAGCTTCGCCTCCGTCATTATCAGCAGCATCGCTTGGTTGTTTATCCTTCTTCTTTGTAGTAGTAGTAGGCTCTTTCGCAATCTCGTCAACGAAATCAGATACACTTCGTTTGCGATTCCTTTCTTTCTCATCGTCTGCTGAACCCTGGCGAGGCCGTTTTCGCGACGACGCATCTGGGGAAGGAGTCCTGCGCCTGTGGTGTCGTTGACGGTCCCGGTCACGGTCAATCGAGCGGGAACGAGACCGATATCTCTCCGGAGAACGCACGTGGCGAGCACGAGCGTGGTGGTCTGGAGTACGAGATCGGGATTTCTTGCTTCTTAGCCCTCGGTCACGGTCGCGCTCTCTATCTCTTTCCCGGTCTCGGTCACGGTCGTCTCTACCTCGGCGTCTATCACGGTCGCGTTCACGGTCCCTATCCCTCCCTCGTTCGTGGCGGTCGCGCTCTGACATGGTGGTGATGCGACTGAGGAAGGTGGGTAGTGTCAGGGTTTAACCAATTTCGACGGAGAGACACTGAAAATTTTCCCCAATTTTTTTTTCCCTCTATTAAAAATGAAAATTTTGGGTTTTTTTTTTTCTCCTCTATTTTTCCAATTTTTTATATCCTATACTATTATTTGGGGAGTACACTTTATAAGATACCCTTAACTAACCTTCTCATTTGTAAAAAATTACTTAAGAATGCCATTAGAGATAAAAATTTAAAGAGTAAATTAATTCAGCTCATTAAGGATAAACAAGTCAAATACTAATTTATGCAATTTAATTAATTTAATTATTAAAAACGAAAATATATTATTAATTTAAAAAAAAAGAATGACCAATCAAAATGAACATATAAGATTTGATATCTAACTTACCATATTAATTTGTTATTAATCATTATAGTTCACCTCTCATCTTTATATGATTCTATTTTTATGAAACAAATAAATCATCATATCATCCATATAAACAAAAAAAGTAATTTTTTTCTCCATATGCCAAGATTTGAATTTTTAAAAACGAAATTAAATTGTAAAATCTATGAAGAAAAAAATTTAACGGGTCAAAAATTCACATTTGAGTAATATATTTCTTTTAACCAAAAATAAGTTCAACAAAAATTTAGACTGAGTAACGGGTCAGAATTTGAATATTTATATTCAATTTCATACATTTATTTTTTGAAATGTATTATTTTATATACTATAATAAGATTTTTAAACATTTTAATTTGCAACATATAAAATTAGTTTTACTTGATATTTTTCAAGAATATCATCAATATTTAAAGAATATCATCAATAAATATTCTACTTTGATTTTTGTAAACAAATATTTATAATAGGCAGTGGGTTAAATATAATATATTATATTAACAAATGAGTTATGATCCTTATAATTGTTTGAATATTTCTATTTAATTTCATATAATTCTTTTTTGAAATTCATAATTTTATATACTAAAAGAAATATTTTTAAAGATTTTAATTGGAACATTTAAAAATAGTTTAATTTAATATTTTAATGAATATCATAATTCATAAATATTTAATAGATTAAAAAGATAAAAAAAAATTATAAATACTATAATTTTCTAAAAAGATATATTTAAAATAGTTATAGTAGGCGGAGGGTTACATGTAATATATTATATGATATAAAATTATGATCCTTATAATAGAAGGCATGTTAAGATTATATGATCAGATAGATTAAATAAGGTTGACACCTCAAAATATTTGAAAATTTGATTGTGCAAGCAATTTTGGAAATAACGAATAATAGATTGTGCACGCAATATTTTCATTAGGATTCTAAAATAAAAATATAGACTCCACGCACGGGTTGAATTTGGTATATTATATACTAAATATATGTTCATAACATATTCGATTACGCGAATAATTGATAAATTCCGTAGTTACCTCAAAAAAATCTCTATTTCAACAACCAAAGAATTAGAAATTGAAAAAAAAAATTTCTAAATTAATTCAAAATAATAGCTAACTATCTTAATTAATTAAAAATAATCTACGTTTTAGAAGCGATTTATTTATAATATTTTGATTTTTGATCTAACTGAATTATATGCAATCTCATTTTGTGGTTGTTAATATAAATTTACTCATTTTTCAGACTATATTAATTTATTAAAATAATTTTATTTTCTGTTTTCATATCTTTAAAAAAATCCATAATTGAGTATAATTAAAAAAAAAATATTCATTCTAATATTATATATAGGGACTGACAAAAATCTAATTATATTTTTTCAATTACTATTATAATATATCACAACTTTATTCTAAAATATATAATATATAAATTTTATAATAAATAAAATTTAACCCGTACTGTAGTACGGGTGATGATCTAGTTCATTATATAAATTAAATACATTAATACATAATTAGTCGCTAGAAAAATAATACAACATGCGATTACAAAGCAACCTTTATAAATAGGAGTTAGGTCTCCGAACTAGTAGTATCAAATATGAAACTGGACTTGAAGATTATGTTCCAATAACATAAGAAGAGAAAGCATCTTATCGAAATTTGTAATCATAAATAAAATTTACAGAATATGAACACAAATGCACTCCTCAAACTTCAAAGAGAACAACAGGAACAAGCCCTACAGACAGATAGAGAGAGATGACATTTTCACTATTTATATTATAAGCACTAAAAGTCCTAATGAGGAGGAAGAAGAAGAAGGACTAAAAAATATGAGCAGCACCAAAGTCCCACCACTGAGTATCTCTCCCCTAAAGCTCCAGTATCCTAACAGAGAACCCTTTTCCATCTTCTTGCACCTCTTTCATTCATAGACTCTGTTTCATTACGTGAGATAGCTCGCTAGTGATAACTCGTGTAGCTCACTTAGCATCCACTCTTCTCCGGTCTGACCACCCAGCACTATGGCTCGTGTTCCTCCCACAACACAAGTGCCATGTCCCCAAGCAAACCGAGGCGGTCTCCCTGGGATGTTTAGTATTCTCCAAGTTGGTTTGTCTTCCGTTGGGTCAAGAAGATAAAGCTGAGATGCTGAGTGAAGCCCTGCCACCGAACCGCCAAAGATCAAGATTCTGCCTCCAGGGAGGTTAACTGCTACGTGATCCAGCCTCGGTGGTGGTGCTACTCCTCCTGGGTTTCCTGCTCCAGGCATTCCGCTACCGGTCACACACCTCCAACAAGGCTCCTCTTCGCTTAGATCCATTGTGAAGACATCGCTCGAACGGAATCTCAAAGGCCCGCTTTTAGCAAGACCACCAAACATTAAGATCTTTCTTCCTCCATAAACCGATAGTGTGTGGCCTAACCGGGAAGGCGGGGTCCAGGCAGCTGGAATCTCTCTCCACACTGGCTTCTCTATTGAAAGGTCGAGGAGGAACGTGTCACTTAGAAGAACGCCGGAATCTGCACAGCCTCCTGAGACGATCAGTTTGGTTCCGTCAAGGGTGCATGAGCTATGCCATGATCTTGGTAGAGGTGGAGCCAAACCAGAAATCTCCCGCCAAGTAGGCGGCTTGGCATCGAGATTCAAGACAAACACATCGTTCAGCAAACCTTGCTGACCACAGCCACCAAATACAACCAGATTGGAGCCATTTACACAAGAAAGCGTGTGGCCCCAGCGTCCCGGAGGAGGGGAGCTCACTTTGACATGTTGCCATTCAGGGTAATCCGAATTAAGATCTAAAACAAAGGTATCATTCATAGGCTGCATATCCACACCTTCTCCTCCAAACAGAACCACTCTGTTCCCGACAGCACAAGCACTGAAATTACAGCGAGACGGCTCAACAGAACCTCCAACAGTAAGTTTTCTCCAAGCTGCAGCTTCAAGGGTGGTCAGTTCTCTAGCCAGGCGCCCCCAACCGAGTCTTTTAGCACCAGGAACAGTCTCTAATACGCGTGTTGTCTCACTTCCCCATGCATTCTGACAAACCCTTCGCCAAAGATCCTCGTTCTTTGTCAGCACATATAGCCTGCGACATACAGAGCTAACAGACGCAACGTCTCTTGGTGTCAGGCGTGACAATATCGTCATAGACACAACCTCGTCACTTAGCTGGAATAACCCACACATCCCTCGGGAAACATTTCGCTCCCCAGCAGCTAAAGCTGAGTATATCCCATCGATTGATTTTTCTTTTGTTGAAGATCCAAGAACGGGTCCAAGGTCAATGTCTGTCTCAATAAAGAACTGGATGCCGATTATATGGGTGATGGTATCGTCATCTCCATATATAGGAGTAAGCCGCAGTCTATTCATCAACGGAGATCCATCTTTCCTAAAGTTCAACAACTCGCCTTGAAATTCAATGCCCTCATCAATACATTTTCTTATCTCGGAAATAACCATAGAGTCAACTAATGGATGCCTTCTTTTAGCAAACGGTCCTCTACATTGCAAGAAGCGGCTGCAGAATCCGAGAAATTAATTTAGAAACAATATAAGACCAAAAACAAAATTTATCTCCAACTTACTGAAAAATTTGGCCGTGCATGTAGAGACTGAAAACAAAACCAAAAAAAAAACAAACAAGCATAGGTTATAACATAGCCAGAGTTTGATTCTGTTCAACAGTAACAACTATTTTGAATTCATCAGCTCCTCCCTGTAAGATCTAAGCTTAGCAATACTGAGAAAAAAAGGAAGCTACTAGCTTTTCCCCCATGGTAAACTAACACACAGCGAAACGCAATGGACTTAACCTTTTAAATGAACTAACTAGTCACTGGTTCACTACACAGCAACATTCTAAAGAGTTTATTGTGTTAGCTATGACCCCGAGAAACTACACAGGGATAGCTCGATTTATCTCAGTAGACACATATATATACACCTTCAAGTTTACCTAACATGCAGAGCAGCTGAAACAGCTCAACAAAAGCCATGAAAGCTCCATTAATATAAACAGCACAATAATAACACTCTGAATTGTTTAAGCACTTAAGATTCATGCAGACACAAATAGTCCATTGTGTCCAAAGATTCTCTGAAATTCCGCATAGGCACCTATGATTATCTATCAAGAGTCAAGACATCTATTCGTTTTTATTCCACCAAAATCTCCAAATCAAGTGATCAATGAATAGTAGCGTTCTCAGAAGTAACTTCATCTCTAAATCCACAGATATTTGACATGAATTCCAATGAAAATCGATTAGTAATTAACTCTACGTTCCTCACCTATACTCAAACTACACGATCCTTCCTTAATCAAACTCCACCAAGTAGCCAAAATTCGGTAAAGCAGATACGTGAGCCAATAACCAAAAAATTGAAATCCCTCGAATCAATTAGAACACTAATCTCAAAGATAACAAAAACAACTAACCAATTTCCTCCGAGAACCTCCTCAGCACGATATCCAGTAACCATTTCGAAGACGGTGTTGACATAGATAATAGGGTGGTCCGGCTCAACAGCATCAGTAACAACGAATCCACAAGGCGCCGTGTGAAGCAAATTCCCAACGGGAAATGGAATTGGTCCACCGCCGGGAAAAAGACCTCCCTCTTCATCATCCGCCACTGACGAAGCATCATCGGCGCTTAGATCGGAACCACTGTCCCACTCCATGAAATTTCAAGAGTTACGAGACAAATTCAGTCGCCGGAGATTATGAATACGGCGATTGAAAAACAATCCGGCGTGAGATAATCGGAAAATCTGGGCGAAAGAGATTTGTGGGGGTTGAGAGAGAGAGAGGGAAGATGGTGGACAAAGAACGAGTGGTAACCGTCGAGTTTGGTGGAAAAATCTCGGCCGTATGAGTTAATTGGTTTTTTTTTAACGGGTCGGATTTTATCCGGATCCGGATTTCTCTGTCGGGTCAAGTAGATAAAACGCCCGCTAGTTTTTAGACTCTTTAGATGAACTGGACTACTGGAGCATACTTCCCAAATGTTTGGGCTCACATCTTAGTACAATAAAGCCCATCATAGTCCAGTAAATTATACGTAAATGAGATACAGACTGAATTTCGTAATTCATCAAAAAATTGGGAAATTTTTGGAAAATAGCAAGGTTTATAATTTTAGTTACGTAAATGAATATATTATAAGGTTGATATTAGTAGTTGAAAAGAGCTTTCCCGAAACAAACTTCGAAAATTTGAACACTTCAAAATAATAATAATAAAAAAAATTCATGTATTTTATAAAATAATTACATTTCTACATAAAAACTAACAATGTTAAAATCACTATTTCCGCAATATTTGTATCACCAATAGAAAACTGTCTAAGATTTATTTTAACATATCTTGCCTACTATGGAACAAATAAAATCTCACATTTATCAACAAAAAACTACTTCTTATTGATTTGTCCAGACTTTATATCTCTATCGTTTTTACTCATTTCTGAAACCCTCTCAATTATCAATTTATCTATCCTTAGTTTAATCTGTTCTGCAATGTTCCTTTTATATGCAGAGGACAAAAAAAAGTTACATCAATAGATAGTGGAGTTAGTTGAAACAATAACTTTTCGCAACTACCGGTTAATCAAATCGGTTCGGTATATCATAGGTGCAAACAGACTTTCAAACTAACATCAATCAACTGAATTGGAATTAAGATTTAACGCAAGTTTAGTTTTATATAAACAATAATAACAAACAACGAAGTCTTAAAAATTCTTAGTCACCTCCTTCTTTTCTCCGACCTTCTTCTTCACCTCCTTCTATATAATGCCATAAAAATATAAAATAGATTGGCAAATGAAAAGATTAAAAAAATCGCTTATATTATTGTATTTAGTTTTTCAACAAAAAGTATAAAATATAGCGCTTTTCATTTGCACTATTGAAATAAATAAATAAAATCATTTAATTTTTGTCATTATTGTTTTTACTCAACAATACTTAGAACATTATAATTGTAAATATTTTTTTGTGTGTATTACAAATTAAAATGAAACTTGATTTCTCAAGATATTTCAACACATAAAAAAGGACGTGAGAGAACAAGTGGGTTTGGTCGGTTGTTTCTTTACACTTTTGCAAAATTCTCTATTCATTCATATCTTCGACGAGATGCTAAAATCCCCCACTATATTATTCCTTTTTCTTTATACAAATTTCCATAATATCATGATTAATTGTTTCAGATATTCATGATTAGTAATTTTCTAAGAAACTTAAATAACTACATTGTACTGGGATGATTAAAAAAAAAAAACTATTGAGAATACGAACATGAATATCAAAATAAGTGTTGGTCCAATGATCTCCAACAAGCACCCCTTGTATGATTCGATTTCTACATTTATTCATCACCTCGCGTTTATTTCTTTTTTATTTCTCTTGTTTATTAGATTCTGTTATCATGTGTTTTGTTTCGCCCTTTATTATTATTATATTTTAGAACCTTGTTCTTTGTTCACAAAAAAAAAAAAAAAAAAAAAAAAAGAACCTTGTTCTTTCATGAAAATCTACTGTCAACAAAACTGAATTGAAAATAAAAAGATTAATGATTCAAGATGAACGTAAATTCACTAAAAGAAATTTACCAAAAAAAATGTATACTAAAAGGAGAGGATTGATCAAAAAAGACCTCTTCATCACTAAATTGGGTTCGAATAAATTCGCTGGTCTTTTCTCTTAGGCCACATGGTATGAGCATTATTTTGTAAAATTTGTTGTCATCTTGTAATTGCCAATGCATCATGAGTAGAGAGATGTAGTCTAAAGAAACTTCAAAGTGTGATTTTACACATCAGTTGGTGGTTAATGGTTAGCCATAAAAATTATGTGTTGTATTGATATTGACATTGGTGGAATGTCGAAAACATATTTCTTCATACACGTATACTGTAGATTGAAAAGTGTTAAACACATCAAAACGTTTAAAGTAGAAAATCTAACCACATGGTGGTGGGCGAGTGGTTCTCGTTTGGTTGGAAGGATCGCCCTGTTGGTCTAGGCCAGGGATCGATCCTCTCCAGACGCAGTTTCGCTCTCTCACTCCTGTGGCCACCTGGGAATTTACCTGCGGACTTGCTCAGGCGCCCCAGACCACCAGTTTATCAGGGGGCCCTTAAGTGGAGGCTTAAAAATCCCTGTGACGCGGGCTTAGGCCCAGTGGGCTAGTCAGATCACTGTGTGGTCTGGATACTGGGTTATAAAAAAAAAAAAAAAAGTAGAAAATCTAGAAATATATATTAAAGGAATTTTGTATGTACATATTAAAAAGCCTAAGAATCTTTTTTGAGCAAAAAAATGTAATATTCTAATTTTAAGACTTTTTGAGTGTGTTTACAAAAACTAATAACCTTTATGAAGCAATTAGGATGGGTTTGTGTGATCTAAAATTGAGGTAGGATCGTGGGACCAGGAGAACATGAGATGCATCAAAGGCAAAGTCCAAAGAAACTACGTCACTTTGAGTGGATTGTGTACGTGAAGTTGTACGAACCATCATTTCACGTTACATATGTTGCAACGCTGCGTAATTTGTCCCCACAATCCAATTTTTTTCTAATTCTTTTTCATAATTATATTTGTATCTTAACTAATTAGAATACCTACCTATTAGAAAGAAATATTACTAGCCAGGGATAAACGTGTTTTTTTTTTTTTTTTTTTTTTTGGGGATAAACGTTAAAGTCTATGTACCAAAATATTTTTGGTAATACGTTCCTAAATATTACTATTGAGAAAACCTTTAGTTTTGAACACAGTTCGTATGTGACATGCATGATTGTTATATAGGCAGATGTGCATGCTAAGCACTATAACAGAAAAAGAGACAGTTTTTGAACATGAGTAAAACATAATATAATAAAGTTTTGAGAGCATCAATGTGAGTATAAACAGACTAAATTATATAGAACAATATATATGGACCATATAGCAAGTAAAATATCTCGGATTGACTAAATAGGTGGAATTATGTATACTATGGTTTTGAATGGTTGTGTAATATGCTGCAGACCGGACTAAAATTGGATCAGTTTGTACTAAATTCACCATTCACTATTACGGACTAGTTTACACTATTGCAAACTAAAAATCTCCATATCAGTACGCATTTGAACATACAACTCTATACCATCATAAATTCATTGTTGGTCCGCATTTTTTCATTCCACTCTTCAAAAGCTCCATACCATCATAAACTCAATACCAACGTACTATTGTCTACTCTATACTACAGTCCGACATTTTGCATACTAAAATATTAGTACGCATTATCCGGTCCGCATCATATGGATCAACCATTCAAAGTCTATATATCAATGCTTGCAATTCAAAACGTAAAAAGTGATGAATACTGCGAAAAAAACAGTTAACTTCTATATTGAAAATATATTTGTAGACGGTTTATACGTTTGTGATCATATCAATTAACTAATGAAAAAGTAGCAAGTGTTATTCCACAAGTGTTTTTGAATTTTCTATTTGAACTTTAATGATTTTAAATGTAACGTTTATGGTTTTAGTACATGGCAGTCTATGGAACCAAGTGCAACAAAAACTTTCAAGTAGATTGGCCTTATATGTGAAGAAAAGAACCATCTTATTCTTCACACCGTTGACAAAAAAAGATAAAACGTATGTCATTAACTCTCTTTTTTCTGGTACATGTCAGAGCACAGCAAATTTACCCAAAGAAAATTTACCCAAAGCTTATTTTATTTTGTTAAAAATCTACTTAAAGCTATTTTCAAGAATCGGTCTTCCGTGACACTAGCTAAAGGAATGTACACGTGTCAGTATATTACTGGACCACCAGATTTTCCAGTTTTTTTTTACCATAGTAATTAGTAACAGAAGCATCACCGTAAAATATGACTGTCATCTTTACCAGAAAATAACGCCGTTAGCTGTTTTCAAGTCAACAACAACCATTTTAACGGCAGTTTTAGATCTATTTTTAAAAATCTAAAGATAATTAAAAAGATAATCATAGACGCTTAAAATCTGAAATTGTCGATAAAGTTTTTATAAATTCTTCTATGATTTAAATTTAGGAGGATACTAATAGCTTTATCATGATCATCTTGAAAGAAATTAAATATAGTATTTTTAAGGAAATCTATGTCATAAAAAAAAGATGAGTAAATTACCTATCTATAGAAAATTAATAAGATTAAATCATAGTTGGTTTCTCATAGCTAGAATAAGATTTACTCTTTTGTCAAATTAATAAGATTTATTTGACAACAAAAAAGAAGAAACCCTTTAAATAAATTGAGAGAGATATCTATATACTGTAGGACATGATATGACAAAAGTGTCCTCTTCGATGAATTTCAGTAACAAAACTAGACCTGGTCTCTCATGCAGTGCCGGCCCTGAGCACAGCCAATTGAGGCAATGGTTTGTGGCCCCCAAATTTTTTGTTGCAAAATGAGGCCCCCAAATATATTTTTTGTTGCAAAGAGAGGCCCCATTTTCTTGAAATTTTAAGATTTGGTATCAGGTTTTAAAATTTATCTATAAAACCCAACAAATTTTTTCTTTTTTTGCTGGGGCCCCATATTGTTCAGGGCCGGCCCTGCTCTCATGTCAAAATTGAAATCTCACTGAATTAATATTTAATGACATAACAAGTCAAATTGATAATATTAACCTATTTTTATCCTTCACAAAACGATAATACTTCAATAAACAAATTAAAAAAAGAGAGATGATAATTTTTACAGAATAAAATATTTCCGACTTGGACTGGGAATAATAAAATTGGGTGACCTAAAACGACGTCGCTTAGGTACGAGAGGCATATAAATAGAGAGCCACCAAATAGCCTAACGTAGTCCACCTTCACTTGCTCTCTTTTTTCCGAAGAATCTGGTTCGTTTCTCTTTGAATTTTCTCTTTCTATGTTCTTCTTTTATTTCTTTAAAGTCTCGAATATATCTTCCTTATCATTACTTTATTTGCTTCGTTCTTTCCGCAGTTTTTGTGCAAAGTTTTAACGATTTTTGTATTTCTTTGGTTTGAACGAAGGCTGAGAGAGAAGATGGCGAGTGGTCTCGAGGATATTGTGAACGAGAATGTTGATTTGGTATGAAATTTCTTCTCTTTACTCTTGTGATTTTTTGTGTTTGCTAGTTTCGTTTTGTTTGTTTAACATCTTTTATGATTTTACGAGATGAAAGTTTAGTTATGTTTTTTTTTTTTACTTACTGATCATATCAAATTAGGGTTCTACACAAATCTCTTTACATCGATTACATCGTTGAACTTTTGATTTCATGTTTAGCATGAGATTTTACTGGTTTGATTTGGATGAGAAAAGAATCCATGAAAAAGTGTTAATATTATTATAATTATTTCAGATTCTCTGCGTTTTTTAACACCTTTTCTCTTTATTGTTTTTTAACTAGATTTTGCAATTGCACTAGTCTAAAACAATTTGCAGTCACCAGAAATTTAGCTTACAATTATGTTTAGGTTGTTTCCAAATAAAGCAAAAGTAATTAGTAGTACTCTTTACTTCCACATAATTCGTCTTAATGAGTTTACCTAATTTTGAGATTTCTTAGAGAAGTTTTAGTCAATTTTGTTGGCAATTACTATGTTTTTGGATTTTTCATACTCACGGAAAATCGCATTATCAATCGGTTAATCACTTCCCTAGATAAAACTAAACTCCAATCTTCACCTGATTTTCTGAACTGAATTAAAGATCCCATATTATATTGACGGATTTGCCCCTATCGATATATCTTCCGTTACAATGGGCCTTTTATTCAATTGGGCCTATTAGGCTTATTATATACGGAAATTAAAGAACAACGCTTGTGGTCCCACCTTAGATTCTCTGACACCGACCGCTCTAAGAACATTCCATAATCTTGGTCATATAATATTGTTAATTTGTATGTAATATTTTTTAATTATAATCTTGTTTTATTTTTTTCTTTTTCTTGGAAAAAAGGTTAAAATATGTATTTGTAACAAAAGATGTTGTACAGATAAAAAATACTTGTTATTTGTGTAGAAGATACATTATTTAACACCTTTTGATATAATTGAATTATATTGCAGGAGAAAATCCCTATTGAGGAAGTGTTCCAGCAGTTGAAATGCAGCAGAGAAGGTTTATCAGGAGCAGAAGGAGAAAACAGGCTCCAGATATTTGGCCCCAACAAACTCGAGGAGAAGAAGGTAACATAAAAGAAACTGTTTTATATATAATATATAGTTTGTTTAACCAAGTCAAGTCACTAACTATGTTATGGTGATTTCAATAAAATAGGAAAGCAAAATACTCAAGTTCTTGGGTTTTATGTGGAACCCTCTCTCTTGGGTCATGGAAGCAGCTGCAATAATGGCTATTGCTTTGGCTAATGGCGGTGGAAAGCCACCGGATTGGCAAGATTTTGTCGGTATTGTTTGTCTTTTGGTTATCAACTCAACTATCAGTTTTATCGAAGAAAACAATGCTGGTAATGCTGCTGCTGCTCTTATGGCTGGTCTTGCTCCCAAAACTAAGGTCCCTCTTTATAACCTGTCTTCAAACTTCTCATTTGCTTCATTAAAGATCAATTGGTTGTTTACATTTTCATTAGCATTTACATATATGCGAATTACGCAGGTTTAACTACGTTCCATAAGTCGATTTTTAGCACCTAGTAGTGATCTAACTTGAAAATGTTTAATATAACACATTTGTTTGCATATATTTCTTAATAAAACCAATGATTTTATACAATCTTGAGGTTATAATCTCAACAAGCTTTTAACAATATTTGTTTTGTTATGCAGGTTCTAAGAGATGGTAAATGGTCAGAGCAAGAAGCTTCTATTCTTGTTCCTGGAGATATTGTGAGCATCAAGCTTGGTGACATCATTCCTGCTGATGCACGTCTTCTTGAAGGCGACCCTTTAAAAGTTGATCAATCCGCTCTAACCGGAGAATCTCTTCCCGCAACAAAAGGTCCAGGGGAAGAAGTTTTCTCCGGTTCTACCTGCAAGCAAGGTGAGATTGAAGCGGTTGTGATCGCCACTGGAGTCCACACGTTCTTTGGTAAAGCGGCTCATCTTGTCGACAGCACAAACCAAGTTGGACATTTCCAGAAAGTTCTTACGGCGATTGGAAACTTCTGCATATGTTCCATAGCTGTCGGTATTGTGATTGAGCTCATTGTTATGTACCCGATCCAGCACAGACAGTACAGAGACGGAATCGACAATCTTCTTGTTCTTTTGATTGGTGGGATCCCCATTGCAATGCCTACTGTCTTGTCTGTGACAATGGCTATTGGATCTCACAAGTTGTCTCAACAAGGAGCTATCACAAAACGAATGACCGCCATTGAAGAAATGGCTGGTATGGATGTTCTGTGCAGCGATAAAACCGGGACTCTCACTCTAAACAAGCTTAGTGTTGACAAGAATCTGATTGAGGTTTATGCTAAAGGCGTTGAGAAAGATGAAGTTTTGCTTTTTGCTGCTAGAGCTTCAAGAGTTGAGAATCAAGATGCTATTGATGCTGCTATGGTTGGAATGCTTGCTGATCCAAAAGAGGTATATATATAAAAACTCTGTTTTTTCCTCTGTTTTCTTTCTTGAAGAAAATGGAATGTTCTGTTCTCATTGTTTGTTTCTTTCAGGCAAGAGCTGGAATTAGAGAGATTCACTTCCTTCCATTCAATCCAGTTGATAAGCGAACCGCTTTGACGTATATCGATAGCAGCGGAAACTGGCACCGAGTAAGCAAAGGAGCTCCCGAGCAGGTAACTAAAACTGTTTTTGTTTTACTTTTTAAGTCAAGTGTTGTGTCTCTTTAAACTTTAATGATCCAACAGTAAAAAAACTGATTCTTTGATGATTTCAGATTCTTGATCTCTGCAACGCGAGAGCTGATCTGAGGAAGAGAGTCCACTCTGCAATCGATAAGTACGCTGAGCGTGGACTCAGGTCACTAGCTGTTGCAAGACAGGTGAGAACATCTTGTAACAAATTATAAGAAGAAGGAAAAAGACAGAGTTTATGTAAATTTTGTGTGTCTTTGTTTCAGACTGTACCTGAGAAAACAAAAGAAAGCTCTGGTAGTCCATGGGAATTTGTTGGTGTGTTGCCTTTGTTTGATCCTCCAAGACATGATAGTGCAGAAACCATAAGAAGAGCTCTAGACCTCGGTGTCAACGTCAAGATGATTACTGGTTTATATCTATACATTACTCTTTGCTATAGCGAAAACACCGACTTTATATTCGATTTCTTACTAATGTTTCCATTGGTTTGATAGGTGATCAACTTGCTATTGCTAAAGAGACTGGACGTAGACTTGGAATGGGATCAAACATGTACCCATCCTCTTCTTTACTCGGTAAACACAAAGACGAAGCCATCGCTCACCTTCCTGTTGATGAGTTGATTGAGAAAGCTGATGGTTTTGCTGGGGTCTTCCCAGGTTTGTTTAAGTGCTTTGTGTTTTCTTTTTTCACAACACAAACTTGCTCTTCTCTCTATAACACTTGTTTTTTGTTTTTTTTTGTAATTTCTTGTAAATTATTTCAGAGCACAAATATGAAATTGTGAAGAAGTTGCAAGAAAGGAAGCATATCTGTGGAATGACAGGAGATGGAGTGAATGATGCTCCCGCATTGAAGAAAGCGGATATAGGTATCGCTGTTGCGGATGCAACTGACGCTGCAAGAGGTGCTTCTGATATTGTCCTCACCGAGCCAGGACTCAGTGTGATCATCAGCGCGGTTTTAACAAGCCGAGCAATATTCCAGAGAATGAAGAACTACACAGTGAGTCTGCTCTTAATCATAAGTCATAGCGTTTTTAAAACCAAAATTTGACTTGTTCTGATGATTGTTTTTCTATTGTTCTTTTAAACAGATTTATGCAGTCTCAATTACTATTCGTATAGTGGTAAGTAATCAATCTTGTATGTATTCTTGAATATCATCAAATTATCTCTCTCTTTTATGATTTCTCACTTGGTGCCTTTTCACAGTTTGGGTTCATGCTCATTGCTCTAATATGGAAGTTCGACTTTTCACCATTCATGGTTTTGATCATTGCTATACTAAACGATGGTGAGTTTTTCTTTCTCTTTAAAAATAAAAAATCTCTCTAGATTGCTATAAAAGACTAACATCATTAACTTACTCAACAGGAACCATCATGACTATCTCAAAGGACAGAGTCAAGCCTTCTCCTACACCAGATAGCTGGAAACTCAAAGAAATCTTCGCAACCGGCGTTGTTCTTGGAGGCTACATGGCTATAATGACTGTCGTTTTCTTCTGGGCCGCGTACAAAACCGATTTCTTCCCGGTATGTAACATATAAACAACCTCTCTTCAAGTTCCTTGTCACACAAGCATTAACTCTGTTTCTTTCTTATAGAGAACATTCCACGTGAGAGACTTGAGAGGCAGCGAACATGAGATGATGTCTGCTCTTTACTTACAAGTCAGTATAGTGAGCCAAGCTCTTATCTTCGTCACTCGATCTAGAAGCTGGTCTTTCACAGAACGACCTGGATATTACTTGCTAATTGCTTTCTGGATAGCACAAGCGGTAAGCATTGTACCTTCTTCTTCTTGATTGATTATAAACTCTCTTGAATGATTGATTCATTATAACTTGACCTTGTAGATTGCAACATTGATTGCGGTTTACCCGAATTGGGAATTTGCAAGAATCAAAGGAATAGGATGGGGATGGGCTGGAGTTATCTGGCTTTATAGTATTGTCTTTTACTTTCCATTAGACATAATGAAATTCGCAATCCGTTACATACTAGCCGGAACAGCCTGGAACAATCTCATTGACAACAGGGTACGTTTTGCTTTTTCTTTTTCTTAGTTTACTTGTCTTTCTTCTTCTGAAATGTGATTTTAAGACTAACAAAATCTCTTTGAAAAAACAGACTGCGTTTACTACTAAGCAAAACTATGGAATAGAGGAGAGAGAAGCACAATGGGCTCATGCACAGAGGACTTTACACGGTCTTCAGAACACTGAAACAGCCAACGTTATCCCGGAGAGAGGTGGTTACAGAGAACTGTCCGAAATCGCTAATCAAGCCAAGAGACGAGCTGAGATCGCAAGGTAATGATGATTCGTAAAAAGTAAAAAACTTAAGTTTCTTGTGAGTGAAGTTAACGTTAGGTTTTCTTTTTTGTCTACAGGCTTAGGGAACTTCATACGCTTAAGGGACATGTAGAGTCAGTGGTGAAGCTTAAGGGATTAGACATTGAGACAGCTGGTCACTACACCGTTTAATAAAAAGATCTAACAAGAAGCTGATTCAGGAAGAAGAAGATCCTTTTGTTTAAGAGATGATAATGATGATGATTTTATAACAAGAGCTAGAAATAAGGTTTTTTTTTCTTTTCAATGTGTGTTAAGTTCCTCTAAACTCCTGGGGTTTTTCTTCCTTCTTCATGATTTTAGACTTTAATTATAACCATGTTTTTGTTTCCCATCTCTTGAAGAAAAAAGAGAAGATAATATCATAGGTTTTATACATTTTCGTTTATAAAAGTTCAATAGATATGGTTTTTGGTTATTATAAAGTAACAAATTTTAAAAATTCACCTTTGAATTTCCAAATAAGATAAATTTTATCTTTACTAATTAAGTTTCTCACATTTATCCTTCTTCAAATTAAACCAAAAGCAGATTGAGGTCCGGTTAGATGAATAACCGGTTCTAATATTTCTTCTTGATAACATAAACCGAATATCATAATCCGTGTGAATACATGTGTTCTCGAGTAGGCCACTAGTTATAATCCACGTGGCAATAGCTTTATCACAAAAACCTCAGAGCTACAAATACAAAACCAAGAAGACGAGAAAGATCTTTAGAACAGAGAAGAAGAGCTTAGAACAAATCACAGAGACCAAAACAAAAACAATGTCTTTCACCGCCGTAGCTTCTACACGACAAAGCTTTTTATCGAACTCTTGCAGTTTCCGACACAGCTTCAAACCCAAATCCAATGTTAACCTCACTCGTCCTAATTCAATCTGTTGTAAATCTTCACACCACGACGACGAAACTGATTCTTCCCGGTAATTTTTATTTATCTTTTAGAGAATTCTTTGTTTTGAAATTCGTGGTTGCCTTCTTATTCAATCTTTTATTTATCGATTGATTAGGAAAAATGAGAATCAGCTGGCGAAATTGGCAATCGCGACGCTAGCGGTTGGCGTTTTGGCTTTGGGAAGCGTTGGAGATGCGTTTGCGGCCAAAAGCGGTGGTAGGATCGGTGGTCAAGCGTTTCGGTCTTCAGCTCCTCGTCCTCCTCCTAGAATTAACAACCGATCGAGGTAATTTTTTACTTGAAGCTCTAATCTAGATTTTAATTATTTGAACATTTTTGAAATTCAAAGTATATGATTAAATTAAGACCTTAATTCAGAGTTCTTAACATTTTCGTCTTTCTTAATTTAAATCTCACTGTGCAAATATAGTTTCAAGATTTATATTTGAGTCAATAATATTAATCATACATAATTAATATTTTAATTTTTTGTTGAAAATATTGTAAACGTTTATCAAAAAATTGTAGGCCTGGGAGTTCGGGTAAACCGGGTTGTTCGGGTCGGTTTATTCGGTTTGAGGGAAATTCGGTTTTTTGAAAATCCCACCGAATAGACCCGAATGGGCTTCCTGAATGGGCTTTAGCAGCCTCATATCCATATTCAAAGCCCATAACTAAACTTTAGCCCCTTATATTTTTCTATAGTTTACATATTGAACCCATACTTATTGTTTTTACATGTTACGACGTAGTTTTATAAATTAATGAACTCACTACTAGCATTTTAAATCAGAATTATTTGTTAACTATAAGCGCAAACTAAACGATGATGAAAATTTCATGTATTTTAGAAAATGAGGGTTTTGTGATTTTTGTAACAGCTTTTATATCCTAACAGATTTTTCTTCACAGGACCAACATCTACGTGAATCCTCCGGTTGCACCACCTTTGATCGGTGGGTATGGATATGGTTACGGCGGTTACGGATTGTCACCATTTTCCTTTTTTGCCCCTGGTCCTGCGGTGGCAGTTGGTGTTGGCGGTGGTTTCGATCTCCTACTTCTCTTCATGTTTTTTGGAGCCGCTTCAGCCGTTGCAAGAAACTTTTTCCGATCAAGAAATGATGAAGATGACGAAGATGACTATTAGGAAAAAAGTAAAATAAAGAGGCTTATGTAATATGCTAAAATAACAATAGTCATACGTACGATTTTGTGTAGAAAAAATACGATGGAAGAAGATGGATATGTGAAATCTTGAAATAGGTAACTAAGACCAATCTTTAAATAAATGGAGTCAATTTGAAAACACCTCGAAATTTCAAATTTACTATATACAATTTTTCTCTGTTTTTTTCTTCGCACTTTACATTTTAAGTTCTATCCTTCTCAATATGTATGACCTCATTGAGCTCCAAAAGCAAATGAAAATAAATTCTTTACGCAAACAAATATAAAGAAAACAGAACACTACTTAATGGATTATTATGTCAATGGTTTATCAGTGTTCAGTAACGAAGAAGAATAATTAGACCTAAAAGTGAAATCAGTAAATCTCGTAAATAACAATAATGATAAATCAGATACAAAAAGAAAAATCAAGAAGAAGAAAAAAGAAAGAGTCAGTGAATTAACAAAAATCAAGAAGAGGTTCGGTTAATACTAAGTCCTTGAAAGAGCCAATGAGGTCTCTTCTTCTCTCGATCCAACGACGTCGTACTTGAGCTGCTCATAGGCGTGTTTGGTCCGCTACTTTCTTGGTTATTATTACTGTTATTGTTATTATTATTGCTCTGATTATTACAATTATCCGATGATGATCTCATCGACGTTGTTGATGAATAGTCCATGTCCTTGTTCGTCGTCGTGGTCATAGTAGTAGATGAAGAAGACAATCCAATGCTCAGTGTCAATTCGAGTTCGCTCTCTTCGATATGATCCGTCGTAGTTTGTGTTGCTCTAACCACATTTTCGAGGTCTATGCCTGAACAACTTCCGGTTCTCTCTCGTGAACCGGTTTGGTCTTTGTTGTTAACAGTCCAATATTGTCTTCTATGTTTGAGTTGATTCATCATCATTTTCTGTGTATTATATACTCTATGTAGCTCTCGTACCTGCGATTATCACTTTGTTATATCCATGGTTATCTTCACAAGTTCAAAATGTTATGTTTGGTGTGAAAAAACCGAATTGGTCCAATCCAAACCAAGCTGAAAAAAATCAATGAAAAACTAATCCGATACTTTTTAAAACTGTTTTACGTTTTAATGAAGATAACCAATAATATTGGACCAAAAAGGATAAGAAACATAAACTCAATATAAATCTAAGTTAAGTATATATATATATATCAATACCATTATTATCAATTTAAAGGTATTTGCTATGGATTATAACCTGAATCGGTCCACGAATCTAAACTTAAGTAAAAGAAAACCGATTGAAAAACTCATTAAAACTGATCATCCTTTTCAAAAACCAAAAAGCTAGAGCTGAATTAAACTAAAAAGGGAAATTAGCTAGACTCAAAACAAAACATAATTCTAAAAAAATTTCAAATTACATTAATAAATTGAATGAATCATTCAAAGCTGATCCATTGATACTAGATTTACCCTTTTAGTTTGGTTACTTTCAACCAAAGAAGAAAAAAAAAAACTAAAAATCTGAGCCAAAACCAAACATGAAACTGGATTGAAAGACCAAATCCAAATAATGATGCAAGTATAACGTACCTGTTGCTTAAAAATATCTTCTTGGGCTTGCATTGTATTTCTGATGGATTCAGTATTTTGTTTTTCAAGAAACCTATCCATTGACCTTAAAATAAAAACCCCTTCTTCTTCTTCTTCCTCTTTCTCGTCTGTCAACGTCTCTTTTGACGATTCTTGTCGACCATTAACAACAAATCTGATGAATCCACTATGATCAACACTCTTTAATCCACGTGGGTTTGTCGTAATTCGCTCAACGATCTTTGTTCCCATGCCTGAAACGTAGAGTCATATATATAGTTCATAACCATTTGATGAGTGATAAAACACATTAAAAACCCTAACTCTACTTAAATTGTATATGTGAGTGAGTGTTGTGTGTGTGTGTATGTATATATGTGATTATGAAATTGATGGAGTAATCGTCAGAAGCCACTAGTTCGTGAAGTGAAGGGTTTATAGACAAAAGAAGGTTGACTAGTGGGACACACTTTTGAATTTGATTAGATTCTCTCTCATGGTGTTTTGTCTTAAAGCCAAGTATTTTCTTCTAAACCGAATCAAAATGTCTTTCCGATCACTAAAGTAATGGATAGAAGAAGTTAGACCACAAATTGTTGGATTTATGATTTTTTTTTTAAAATTGTTAGTAATCATAGAGGTGGAAGATTACTATTTTCAATTATATATGACCAAGCTAATTTCTGTTTATTTCTTTTAATTGAATTTACTTTTTTTTAGTCACTGCAAAGAAAAATTCAAAATTTTAGTTTAAATAAAGTATAAACATTGAACAAGTAATACACTTCACCGAGCTGAATACTAATTAGTCAGAATCTAAGTAGAGCCATCATGACACTAGACACGGCTTGTCTTACCAATAAGATAACATTACAAAACTTTTTTTTATTCGAATTTACCTACTTTCATAACCAATGCAAAATATCTAAATTATCTTTTGTCTTATAGTAAAATATATATTATCATCGACGTGAGAAATAGGATATCTTATGTAGTAAACGATTCGGGAAATAATATTTTGTTTTCAAATCAGTGAAATAATTGATGTGGAATAATACAATAATATCATTTTCACAACTAAATTTCAAAATAGAATGATTCGAGTTGAAATTGCAAGAAATATATAAAATATGTGGTGAAAGTTGGCAAAGGACGAAGGAAAGAAAAGAGCTAGTTGTCGATTTTTTTTTCCTTTTCTACGGATAAGCATGACTTCGAATATGAGAATGATTTTTTTTCTTTTTTTTGTTTGATAAAAAATATGAGAATGATTAACAAAATGTAGATAGAGACATGGAAAAAAGTAACAACAAATACTAGTCGAGCAGTCAATTTAAAGTCAACAAATAAGAATTTTTACTATTTAGTGTAAATTGATGATCATGCGAGGAAGACTGTATCACCTAAGTTTCTTTTCTATTAAAACTGGAATTAGACATATTGTATTTAAATTGGTCACATCGTTCATTATGTTTTCGCATTCATGCGAAGAGAACTATGTCACCTAAATTTCCACTTATACTTGTTTCCTAATTTTTTAAAAAAGTTGTCTACACAAAAATCATATAAATAAATAAATATATGTGACACATGTACTTACGTATCTACTATACACACGCTCGCAAGTACACAAAGACATGAAAAGATCATGTCTATGTATCTATAATTGTATAGAACCAAATTAGATACCCAATAGGATAAGACAAGGACAACAATTGGTTAAAAGATAACGATTTATTATTTATTTATGTATGTGTATATTTCTAAACAAAATATCTATTTCGCTATCAAAAAATTATTCTAGCTATACTCTTGAGGTATTGAAATTTCAATCAACTGAAAAAAGAAAACCCATGAGTACTTTTTTTCTTAGATAGACACACACATACATATATATAGAAAGTATATCTATATAAATAGAAAGCACCAGCAATATCCGGACCGGAATCTGTTTATGGACATATATAACAATCCTTTCGATATACGTATATATATGAGTAATGAATATGATATATATATATATATATATATATACAAATTACCTGAAAAGAGGAGTGGCCAAGCTGTGATTTTCTCCAAAGAAGCTCATTGATCACATGTTCTAATGTTCTATGCTCATGCCACAAAACTCACTTAAGAGAAACTCTTCAAGACGCACACTTACCTTACCATATGCTTTTTTACCAATTTGGTCCAAGCATAACCCAAAAGCTGAGAGATTACTATAGGATTTGTTTTGTCAACGATCAAATATTACGACTCTAAAGCTGTGTGGAAGAAGAGATAGTTAGAGAGATATACAGAGAGAAGGAAAGAGAAGGAGAGAGGGATAATGGGAATTCACAGCTAAGGAAATGCTTAAATTAAATAAGGATTAATAAAAAATAATATATAGTGATGGAAGTTAAAATAGTTTTTCAAAGGCTAATTTTGACAGGCTGTGATATTTGTGAAGGAAGGAGGCAAGGAAAAAGCTTTTTATGTTCATCTAATTGTTCTCTCTCTAACAGACAGACAAAACAATAGCTATTCTCTTTTTATATTGTGGATTTACTAGTTTGTAATATTTTAATCCCTTACTTGAGAGTCCTTTATTCTCTGAGAAGATGGTTTTTTTTTCATTTGCCACTATATGAAATAGTTAAAGAAAAGTTTTTACCATGTTGTAGTTTAACTCAAAAGATGGCTAAACTAATTTGTCCAAGAATTTACATATATTAAGTGCTAGTGATAAATCATAGAATCCTAAGTCTTATGAAAGTAGATTCTGTATATTATGTATATATCATAGTTTATATATAAGTGGGGGTCTGAAATAATTGGATGTGCTGATATAATATAAATTGAGAAGATCAAGAGGATTTGGACAAATGATGAACAATAAAATAAATCAGAAAATGTGATTTATAAGCCAATATATTCCAGACAAGTCCTCACTGGACATGATCAAGATATGCATGTAACCATATAAAAAATCAAAATAAAATAAATTTTATATCAACAACCAATTGAAGACAAAGCTTCTATCTTTTGTGTGTGTAACAAAATAATGGCGTTTTTGTTTTCTGTATTATTTTTAGAAATTCAAATGATTCCCCTTTCTATATATATTCTTTTATCAATTTGTAATTTTGTATATTAAAACGTATATATTCTCCATCATCAACATCCGTACTGGTATTATCCAACCATACCCAACAATTCCCATGACTATCATTTTTATCTGGCACCAAGTTTAATGAGATAGATCCTCTTATAGTATATCATTTGTTAGCAGTTTTATAGACTGAATAACAATTATTCAAATTTCCTTTTTTCGTCTTGCGTTTTTTTCTTGTAACTTGCATATATATGGTACGGATACTTTCATGTATATATTTGATGAAATAAAATTATATGGTTGATGATTTCGGAGATTTTTAAAACCTAGATTCATATATCTAGTCTAGTGACGAAATGGATTTACCTGACATGCGAATAAAAATCGTGAAAGATAATTTTATTTCAGTAAAGACTTTTGACGTTATTAAAATTTGAATTGGTGATAACACCACGTTTAGGTTGGTAAAAAAAAAAAAAAAAAAAAAAAAAAATTTGCTTCCACAAAAATATGCACGTAATGTTACAATTCAAGACCTTTAACCGATGAACCCTTAGATTACCTAATAGTGATCTACAAATTATGCATCAGTTAGATAATAATATCACGGCCAATGACTAAGAGGATCCGTAACTAAACCCTAGAAATAGAATTTAAGTTTGTTCATAAGATTCCAAATTAAACAACCCTCTAAAAAGAAATTATCAGCACATGATTTAAGTGGCATTTTAAGTTTTATAATAATTAAAAGATATATTTCTATACTTTAACGTTGCTTGTCTTCTACTTGTTTCGTTTTCTCCTCTCAAAGAAATCTTGTGCTAACATGGGGCTTCGATTACGCACCGACTTATCGTAATTATACTTGAATTAATATACTTAATTGTGACTATATTACTCTTTAATTTCACTAATCACTTAGAGATAATTGTATCTAATTATCTCTACATATATATAGTTCACCAGTGTAACATGAATAGACAGAAAATCTTAGTCTTGATCCAAAAAGTCTTCTAGCATTATTTATAAAATTAAAAACCTAGATCATAAATTCATCATAAAGTACGTACGTACCAATATGTTGTAACAAAATAACTTATAAAAGAGCTTATTATATTTTGTCTCAAGTTCATCAGTACGTATCTATCGGTAAAACAGTAACGATGCTAATATGTTTTTAGTGAATCTAATTTATAGCAACCATATAAGTGAAGTATATACTAATATTTTATTTTAGAGTTCATAGATCTAACCAATCTTTCAACTAATTGCCGGTGCATTAAGAAACACATCTCATCGATCGTGGTTTGCTATTACCGTCCTTAAATCCAGATCCCAAAAAGATTAGCGTATATTAATATTAAACAATTCAAACAATTAAGAAAACTATATAGTATTGATCTGCGGTCAATTGTTTGGTAATAGAAAAATGAAATGATTCCTTCCGCGGATGCATGCGTATGTTATTAAATTTGTAATTGTAAAAAAAGACAATTTAGTCTAATTATTGTAGAGAAATAGAGCTGGCTGGATTAGGCGGAGCCATGTGAAACGAGAAGCAAGAAGGAAACGAGAAAGAGTCATTTAGCATAATTAATTATATTCTAAACTCAAAACCAAACATGATATGATATCAAGTACAAGTACTTAGCAGTAATTACCGACACGATAATTGCTTTTATTGGCTCAGATTAATAAAATCAGATTTTTTTAGAGTTCCAAAGTTTGAATCTGCAGGTCAACAACTAAATTTCGAATAGTAGTACATCACATGAATTATTGTCTGTTGATTCTCTGTGTGTATATATATATATATAGTCAAATAGACCCATATATACTTACAATGTTTCGTATGTAGATATTTTAATATGCGTTTGAGATAAATGTTTATATTTATACCCTATATTTAATTATTAGTTTTCTCACCTCCTTTTTAGCTTTTTGGTTTGTTAAATAACACATTTATATAGCTTTACCTAACAATTTTTGATTGTATTTACGTGAAATATAATGAAGAAAGAATGAATCAGAGAAAATCAAATCAATTTTGTCCGCCGCATATTAGACAATATTAAAAGAACCAATAACAAAAGACATGGGTGCTATATATATGAATAACAAATTTGTTTGGTCCTAGTATGAATAACAATTTTTCATTATTGTTTTGTTGTTATACCTAAACAATTAAATAATTCAAACTTATAAAATCATTCAAATATTTGAAAATTTTAAAACATAAAGTAGCACACGAAAAATGCATTTGGATCTACCTTATTTATATTAATAATATAAAGTTTTCTCTGATCTCTTGTTAAAAAATTGAAAAGTAAAGATATTTGGATCACATAATGACTTTATGATTCTCCTAACTAAAACCCTATTATGTGAATAATGAACGATATTTTCATGAAACTTATCACCAAAGTATAAATGGTGAAAACAAGTGGTGATTTGGTCATATTATGATATTATTATTGGAATAATGAAAAGAAAATAATTAAATAAGGAAGTTAAAAGTGAAGTGACGGCATGTGGAAGCAAAGAGAGAGATAGATTTGGGATTAAATTTTGTAATAATAATAAGAAAAAGAATAAGCACGCGTTGTAGCCTTTCTAACGTACACTATGGGTCCTATTCCTACCCCACTATAGTGACTATACACACATGACACATCCACATTGTTTTTTTTTTTTTTTTTTGCGTATTATTTACATTACGAACTTATGAATTATGATTAGCATAATTAGATTAAAAATATACGCTATAATCTTGTATAGTATCTTTTATCTGTAAAGATAAAAAAGAGTAAAAATAAATAAATGCAATTTTGTTTTAATTAGTATTGTATGTCCGGTCATCGATTTCTCACAAACTAAAATCCAGAACTAGCAACGACTAATCTTAAGAATGTATAAAATTCTTGAGTATCTTGAAATGACAATAATTTCTACCATACCAAATTTATGTACATGTTAGATATATACCACACAAAAGCTCAAATTCCAAATAACGCAAACATGCAACGAATTTGTTTGCAAAGAAATTGAACTCTATTCGGTGTCAATTAACACTCTATCACTACACTCGTGTTATTATTTTCGATTAATGTATTTCACCAATAAATTGTGGTATTAATAAGATCGCCGAAGATTATTGTCGAAAAGGAAGAAGATCGGACCGAAAGTTGTCATATTCACTGAAGTTAACAAAAAAGCTAAACAATTTCAGGTAAAATAAAATAAAAACATTTTTTTAGGTGAAATAAAATAAATAAAAAACTCAGATAATTACGACATCATTAAGGTTTTCTAAAGCGATTTGTGGGTCCCACAAGACACGTGGCAGATACCTGGACATTAAAAGTGGGGCTTGGTCATGTGGGTTATTTCGTCAAATGCAGTTTCTCCACTTGTCACTCGACTATTAGATTAGCTTTAGCTTATCTTCACTACTAGATACTTTCTGCTTTCGTAGATTATTTATGTTACTTTATTTATATATAGTACAGTCGAACTTGAAATTACAATTTTTTTAAAAAAAATTTAAAAGACTATTTGATATCCAGTAATATGGTGATCCTACAACAATAATAACATAATTCAGTGAAAATATAATTTTGAACCGAAACTATGGCAATTAAAGTATATTTATTTTATTTATATAGTTACATGATATGTTTATTATAAAGATTATGTTATTTTCTAATTTTACTAGTCAAAAACCGACACTTTCATCCCAGTTTGATCTTAAGACAAAATTAACCAAATTTGGAGAGTATATTATATAATTATAGATGAGTACTATGGATATGATTCTTTATTTTCTATATTTGTTTCTTTATTTTCTTATAATACTCCAACTAAGGACAAGTTCAGCTCCCACATACAATGAATCGGATTCAGAATATGACTTTGTAACCAATGAAAAGCATTAAGGACAAAACACCATTAATTATTATTATTTTTTATATCAATATATTTAATGCAAAAGTTAGGGAATCTCTTGATGTTCGAGCCAGATGTAATCTTGTGTGGATCCAAAAAAATGCCTTATTTTATTTTTAATGAATTTTCGTTTTCACAGAACAGTAGTAGCATCTTTGTTAGATGTAAAATTTTAAATATCCCACGTTGGTCTATTATCGTCCTTTTGATCTTGTACTTGATCTCGATTTAGTAGTTACTTATCCTATCAATTATTATGGCACTTCAATTATTGATGTCCATATCAAACCATTAACTTTTGTAACTACACAATATCAATCTTTTTAATGCTAATTTTGAAGTTAATGCTCATTTGTTGTCATTTAGACAAAGTGGATGTATCAACTCAGGACAGAGACATCACTTATAACTACACAATAGTAAACATAATTATCCTACTCAAGGTAAGATCCGAAAAAATCATGGTTTCTTAGATCCTGATCAGATTTTGAGATCTTCAAAGGACTAGTCCTTGAGTCAGAATTCACTTCCTTTGTTAATATTTTTATTTTCTTTTTGCCTAGTTTAATAGACTAATGTTTAAATTTTATACATTTCAAGGTTTATAAACATTTTATTTCATTTAGTCACGAGCAGACGTTATAAGCCTTTAAGTTTAGCCTACAAATTTTAAAAGTTGTAATTCCTTTTGGACTCGACCAGACAAATGCTAGACCAGGCATAATTGGTACGCAGTTCGCAAATGTTATTGTCTCTGTGGTACAAAGAGAACTAAGAAGCAACAATTTTATTCAATCTTAGTTTCTTTAAATAGTATATCCGATGATCTTTAAGCCCTCCTTCACTCGTTTCCCTGCACAAACAAAAATGTAGCTTTATTAACACTACGGTATTGGCAAAATCTTAATAATAATAAATAAAATACGAAAAAGTGAAAATATTTTCTCATAGCAAAATGACAAGTTCTAAATAAAGAAAAAGTTAATACCAGTAACCAATACATACACACAAAAGTTCTCGTGAAGAATCTAAATGGCAAAGAGTAAAATCAAGTTACCTGCAATTTAAGAGAAGAGAAAGATGATATTTTTGAAGTTTGAAGGAGTCACTCAAGGACTTTCTTGGGGTCAAGCTGTCCACTGGAGTAACTAGAAGGAACCGCAGAGAGTTCGAGTCTTCCTTTCCATTCTTCACCCGGTTTCAATGTGATCGGTCTCTCTATAGCCGCAGCTTCCACACATAGCATTTGCTTATAGTCTTCATCTCCCAAGTCAGAGATCGTCTTTGATTTCTTATCCCAAGGATTCCACACCACTGAAAGATGATAGTCAAATCATTCAGTCATATTAAAAAAAACTCAGATTCTGATCTCAATACGAAAGACATGGTTTCTTGTCTTACCAGCATCAGCAAGCCCATCCTTGCGAATAACGAAAGTCCTCTTTTTCTCATGGTCCAAAATAGCAATCTTTGTAGGCGTGCTTAGATAAATCTTGTCAACCTATTTTTTTCACCAAGTAACAAGTGTTTGTTATGAGTGATGATGATACTAGACAAAAGAGATATTTCAGAAAAAGGAGAGTTTAGAATAGAAAACTTAATTGGTGCACAAAAAAAAAAAGAAAGAATAGAAAACTTACTTCAGATTCAAAAGTTATTGCGTCGCCTTGTTCGGTAAAACGTTCTCTGTTCTTTAAGTTGTCAAGATAATCCAACGTTTCCAATCCTTCAACCCGTACTTCACTGAACTCATGAAAGCCAATGGATATTACAAAATCTTTATTTCTATTCCAAATCTTCTTGAAAAAGAAGTAAATAAATGTATGCAATGAGATTTACTTGATGTCTGAGACAGAGAAATAGGTATGATAAGCAAATGTGAATGTAAACGGCTTTCCATCAGAGTTGGTGTTCCTGATACGAGATGTCAGAGTTAATTCTCCTTCGGTCCCCAAGGCTACCCTCAGCCTGAACTCAAAACTGAAATATACACACCGAGATGAAAGTTAGTAATGCTTTAAATCTGTGGTTCTTCTCTGTAAGATAATTCTACTTAAATACGAGCATACTGTTCTGAGAAAATATACAGAGCAAGTTTTGAAGAATCTTACTTGTGAGGCCAGATTTTCAGATCTTCTTCGGTTGGCCTTAGGATCAGGTCAACAAAAGCACTAGAACAAGAATTTAATGGCAATGGAGGTGGGTTAGCCTCGACTTCCCAGATCCTATTTCTAGCAAAGCCATGTGATTCAAGTGTACCAAAGTTACTGAACTGCACATACAAAAACATAATTTCATGAGCATAATGAACTGTAAAGTGGAACAAACAAAGGAAGAAATATAATCACGAACTTGTGGAAAGCATAGGGGAATCCCTCCACGTATTGGTTTCGGGGGCTTGAATATGGCCTGCACAGTTCATAACACATGGTTTCAGATCTCTGTTGTTTGTATCTCATACACACACATAACCAGGCAAGAAAGACAATTCTAGTATGAGCAAATTACTAGACTTCAAAGAAAAATGTTGTCTATTCTTTACTTCTTTACGAAATTAAGCTAAAAATGAAGTGAAGATCCTTTCCTTTTACATGATGATCTATGTAAATAGCAAAATTTAGGCAAAGATTTTCCCAAATCTTTCATCAACTTCGGTGAGCCAATCATTCTAGATAAACGATAAATACGCTTTTTAGCGTTATCGAGACACAATCAACCAGAGAAATAACACGAGATACATAAATGTTTAGCACCAATTTGAACTTCTTAAGGTACCATATCATCTCTAACGAAGTTAGACATATTAATCATGAACCAAATGTCCCGTTTCGTCAACAAGAAACTCAATATTGAATCAAGTGGAGTACCTTGCTACTGAGGTGAAGTAACTCTTCTCCATTCTCATTCTTCCAAGAAGTCACATGACTTCCATACAAGTATACCTGCATTCGTTCAAGATGACTAAAATTAAACAAAACCGTAATAATACAGAACAAAAACAGAGATGGAGATCAATAAATTTGCAGAAAGCTCACACTTCATTAGATGATCAATTTGCAAAAATCAAAATTCACCTCTGAGAAAACATCAACAGATTCACAGATTACACTGAACATTTAACACATTCTTCGTCGAAGATTCACAGATCCGGTTCATTCGTTAACAAAAACGAATAAACAAATACCGAACTCAATTACACTAGAGCTAAAACCCAAGGATCTAAGAGATACATAAATCATACTACAAAATCGATCTCCAATCAAATTGATCTAAATCTCAGATCAAACAATTTACAAAAGAGATAGAGCAGCGGCGTCGCGGGAAGAATACCTCAGCAGAGCGGCCGCGAGACTCACGGAGGATGATCTTATCAAGGCCATTGATACCTTTAGCGAGCTCAAAATGATGACGCTCCGTCGCCATGGAGAGTATTGAAAGTAGAAAAAACAAAAACAGGATCGAAATCCTGAGATTCTCCGTATATATCGTCGTTTTTACTCTTCTTCTCTCTCACTCACTTTTTTGTTTTCCTTTTTTCTTCACTGCAAAAAGAGGAAAAATGAAGCTGCTAATTTTTTTTGCCGTTTTTGTTCGAACCGGTTCTAGATTTTTTTTTATAGTCAGATATTTTGTTTTTGTTTTTTTCTGTTACAGACTTTTTGAATGACAAATGTTTATTTTATTACTATCATAAAGTGATAAAAGAGATAAAATTATGGATTAATGAAAGATTACTGACGACCGTAGAATATATAACATGATAAAAGATAAGATTTAATTTACATTGGTTCTTCAATAATATTAAAGCAATTAGTGAATTTCAAGGCCAGGAACAAAAATAATCTCACAGCCAGACATATTATGTGAGATCATAAAAACAAACAAATTAAAAGAAAATATCCCTAAGTATCATTTTAGAAATTTTGAATATGTTATGATTAAATATAGAGAAATATACGAGTTTTAAAAAATTTATGTGCTTGATTATTTATTTGTAAGCAGCTCACAAGAATAAGTGTATCATGCCCTTGAACTGCAAAAACAATAGAAAGAAAGATCAATAAGATAGTCTGTGTGTTAAATTTGGTCTAGTAATACTTTATAGATAAACATTGCATCATAACATGATCAAGAATCTCAGTTATCAATTGAAGCGGATCTCTTTGCTTATCAGGTGTTAAGATTGTACCAAAGTGATGAAAACAAACCAGAGAATAAGGCGAAAAACTTACGGGGTTTTGGGTTACCATGAAGAAGAAGAAGACTGAGTTCTTGAAAAAAGAGTGTCGTTCAGAAGAGATTAACAGACATTTTCAGCTTGTTTTGTTTCCATTTAGGCAGTTTATAGAACTCATTCTTTGTCATCTCAAACTTCTCCTTGAACTCTGATGAAGTCATGTATGCCTGCAAAAAAACCAAGCTGACCTCATGAAACTCAAACTTAATAAACGAATGTATATGTGTTGAGAGTTTTGAAGAATCTGACCTCTCTTCTTGTGAGGTCGATATCTGAAGCAGGATCCTCTGAGTCGGTTTTAAGGCGTTCATATGGGAAAGTAGGGAGGCTGCTATCTTCTTCTGCTTCTCCTTCTTTTGAATCTTCATGAATGCTGCTCATTGCTTCTTCCTCGTTTGGCTCTGATGTCGATTTTGGTGCCTCTGCTTGGTTTGTAGCTTCATACATCAAAAATGATCAAAAAAATGGTAAGCTCAAGATAAAAAACTTTATTCACCAAATTAAATATAGTTTGGGGTCTAAAAGTGAAGCTTTGTTTTTGCTGCAGACCTTCTGAAGAACTGGGGCTAGTAGGTGGTTCTTGAGAAGTAGGAGGAGATTTTTCGAAAAGCGCTGTACGGGCAGCTATAGCCGTGGATTTAGGAGCTATCTTTGAGAGGTCTGGGGCATGAGATTTCGGGTAAAGCTTCCGGACCATTGGACTAACCATAGGTGGCGGAGTTGATTGGTTTCTTATATTTAGTTTCTCAAAGTTTGCTGCAAGTGCGTTGAAAGCTGGAGACCGTCCCCTCACGCGGGCCCTGTCTGGACTAAAGGTCATACTTCTGGACCGAGGCTGCGACTTGTCTGGAACTGTGGACCTGCTGCTGTATGCAGGGACTCTCCTTTTAGGTTTCTGAGCAAAAAAAAAGGACACAAGATCAGACAGAATCGAGAATGATTTTACACAAATGTAACAAAATGAGTTCAAGATTTTACATCTAGAAGCGGCTTTCCTTTATTTGTCAGGATCGCAAGCTTTCTCTGGAAAGAGTTTCCATGCATCTGCAAGAAGCAGTTTTATAGCTTAGTACGTGTTAGATTCTGAGATGTGATTTTCAAAAGCAAGTGTGGAGAGAGAGAGAAGTCAAACTCCAGATTTAGAAGAGTCCCAGGTGAAGAACCGAGTGAAAAATGGAGGTTCGTTTCCCTCTGTTACAATATATATCGGTGTTTCACTTGCTAGATTCTCTAGGAGGAAATCAAGCTTGAGAAAATTCTGTTGAGGAAGACAATAAAGTAGAGTATTTATAAGAACAGTTTGCAGTTTAGTTAGTTAATCTAGATGAATGGATCGTTAAGTACCTCTCCAATAGCTAAAACTTGAGGTTTCTTCTTTGGGTCAACTTGTTGTCCCACCCAGACAAAGATCTCAGTGTGACAATCAAGTATGAAGATATCTTCAGTCATCAAATCATCTTGAGTGAAGTTGAAGATCTCTGTAACCTATATGGGAATAGACAGAAAGAAAGAAGAGTCTCAATTTAGATACCGAGATGTGGGATGTGGATTATGAAAATTAGATCCATACTCTACCTTCAGATTTTCTGGTAAAGATAGCAACATTCACAGAGTATCACCGGATGACCAAACCAGCAAAAACAATCAAATAAAAGTTCAGAACAGTTATTAGAATGAGAAAAGTTGAAGTGCAAATCCAGGGAACAGATGTGGCAAAATGGTTTTACCGTTTGTAAATGTGCAAGAGAAGAGATGAGGATCACTCTCTCCATCCTTTTTGATCTTTTGGCTCGGATATTCTGATTTGCCACCTAATAATTCCCAAAACTGTTCAGACTCTGAACCTTCCTTTTGTGCCTTAGTGGGTTCATTTGGCTGTATATAACAGAAAAACCGAGAATCAGAACCATATATGAGAATTGAGAGGTAAGTTCCGAAATGCAAAAACAAAGCTTATTAACAGATTACCTTGATCAAATCCAATATTCTCTCCATAAGTTCTTGATCATCCGAGGAAGTAAGATTGCCACACCAAGTGAAAACAGTAGAATCACCGTGTAATATATAACAGTGTGAAGAATTTAGTCCTGTGGAAACCTGTTGGAACCAGATAATAATTTGAATTACCAATATAAACTGTTGAACAAAAAGCTGTTTGATTATGGTTTATATTACACATACCGCTTCTATCTGTATGGCTTGCATGTTCTCAGGTCCAGAACCTTGAACCCGAAACAGCGCAACACCTTCTGCTTCATAAGTAGTATCAGGGATTTCGTTCTCTGCTATGTACTTTTTGAAAGCCTCACTTAGACCACCCTGAGAAAAAGATAACAATTTTGTAGAGTTTGTGATAAAGATGGCCTCAAATCTACCAGAAAGATATCTGTACAAAAAATTAAATATTATACCTTAAATGTGATGAAGCTTTGCATGATCACAAAAAACTGAATTGGCTCTTTTCCCTCGTAAATGCGAGCCTGCATGGAATAATACTAATCAAGTTATATCCATAATGTAAGTCGACATTAGCATCTATAACAGAAACAACAGGAAGAAATACCTGAGCCGGCATAAACTTCATGGATTCAACCATCTTGTTTGCCATCGAAATAGCGGATGCTCTGTCTTCCTATATAAATCATCATCAATGAGAACATATAGAGAGTAAGAAGTTATATATATAATTATACTTTATGTGAAGAAATTTACCTCGACGCTTTGCTTGCCAAACCAAGTACCCACTAGATGTTCCTCTCTGTCTTCTCCTGGATATGAGTATTGGAATATATAACAATCACCGCTATAGAACTTTGATTGCTCTGCTGCCTCGAGAAGGATCTTTTCTTCACAATTGATTCGCCAGACCTGCAAAATTTCATAGTTAGCAATCAAAACACTATGTATTGGATATGTTCACTTATCTGTTACATCAATGATGGTATCAACAAAGACATAGTCACTACCTGAAGATTTCCTGTACCGTCAATGTATGGCTTCGGTTCGTCTTTAGAAGAAGAAGAAGTCTTAACCAGGCCTTGAACGTTAACTCCTTGCCGCTGCAAAAGAGCTGGCGAAAGAACAAACAGAGAATAAGTATCTCATAATTGAAAGTCTAAAACTTTCAGCAATGATCAATATGGATAGTATCAGTATACTTAACCTGCGACTTTGCCTCTGCCTTGCTGGGGCTCAGCTATGGTACTTGAAGCCGGCCATGAATCAAACTTAGATCGGAACATCACTGTTTCATACCCTTCCATCACACTGACCAGGCTTGATTTTGGCGGTTCAGACGAGCGGAAAAATTCCTGACAAAATGAATATTAATAATATGACAGTGAACATAAAGAAACACATCAAAACAAGACTTTTGTTACAGTGCATGAGAAGAAATTTACTTCTGCAGCTTCAGTTGCGTTCTTTCTTTGGTCGATTGAAGTATTTCGTCCCTTCCAAACGAACAATTCAAGACCGCAATCGAGAATATAACATTTGTTAGTGTCCAGAAGTTCTTTCGTCAAAGACTCAGCCTCTACGGCATCTGTCTTTCCCTTATCGACACTTGAAAGACCAAACATGTCTCAAGTCAGAACATAATCATCTGCTGCAGTAACTAGTCAATTATTAGGGAAACTCTGTTGGAGTCAAAGGTGTTCTACCTGAAGAGTTTGATCCCATCAGATTCAGCGGTTTCTTCATCATTGACTGCTGGTTTCTTAGGAAGCGGAGCAAACCCACCAAACAAGCCCCAAAACTCTCCAGCTTCAGCATCAGCCATCATCCTCCCATCCTCTACAACAAAAGGAAAGCCATTAAACTCAATATAGTTTGTATAATCTTAACCTCCATTGTTTTTTACGGTTTAGTTCACTTACCAACAGCTGCGATATCGCACTTTCCATCATGGTAAGTGTCTTTAATGTACTGAACAACCTCAAGAGCTTTTGCTCTTTCTTGAATACTCGATTTGGAACCATTGAATTGAAAAATTTTAGACTCTGTATCAAGAATGAAAACGTCTTCGTGGTTGAGAGTCGATCGAACAAACGGAACCTGTGAATGAGAAAATCAATGCAAACCAAGATGAAACATAAAGGACCAGTTAAGAGAAAAGACATTTCAAGACATGCTAATTGACTTGCCTCTTTAACACGGACGACATGTTTGCCTTTGCAGATATACAGACACGTCTGATGCTCCTCGGGTTTTACAT